AATAAGCTTATAATATTTTTAAAAGTTATTTTAATTAATTCTTTATAATTTATTATTATTATTATATTTTATAAAGTTAAATTTATATTATTTTAGATTATATATAATATATATAAGTATATAATATTAATATTAGTATTTTTTATAATAATTTTTATTATAAAATATAAATTTCTTTTATTTATATTTTACAGCTTTATAATCTTCATATTATTTTTAAATTTTAAATATAGTATATTATTGATATAATAATAGTTTATAATTAATAATATTAACTTCATTATATTAATTTATAAATAAAATATTATTAATAAAGTAAATAATTAATTTTAGTACTTTAGTTATTAAGTATTTATTTATATTAGTTTTAATATATTGTTAAAACTAGTTTTTAAGTAATTAAATTTTATTATAAATAATATATAAGTTAATTTATTTAATTTTATTTTATTATTTAAAAAGTTTTTTTAATATAAAGTTTATTAATAAAGTAATATTTAAAAAATTATTAAAGTTTTTATTATTTTTAAAATTATAGTTAATTTAGTTTAAGCTATTTACTTAGGTTTTTATTACTTTTATAAATTTTTATTTATAAAGGTATTTTAATCCTTAGGGTTTTTAGAATTTATAGTTTTTATATAATTTAATAATATTAAGATTTATATATTTTATATTATAGTTTTATATTATAATATTTTAAAAGTTATTATTATATTATTATATAGCCTTTTATTATATTTATTTATAAATAATTTGTTTTTTATTTTTAAAGTTAAGTAATTTTTTTATTTTATTATTTTATTATTTTTTAACTATAGTTAAACAGTTGTATTTATTTTATTAAGGGTTTACTAAATTAGTATTTTAATATAATTTATACTTTTTTAGTATTATTTATTTTATATAAGTTTAAAATATTATTATTTAATTTTTATTATTTTTTCCTAAGTAATTTCCTTAAGTATATTTAAGGTTTATATTTTAAATCCTTTAAAAAATTAACTAAAGCTTTATTTATTACTAAGGTATATTTAATATTTATTATTATAATATACTAAAAAATATAATATATTATAATTTGCTAAGGGTTATATAATATTAATAACTTAATTTTTTTAAGTTTTAAAATATATATAGACTTTTTATTATTATTTTTTTAAAGCTTAATAGTAATTTTTTATATATTTGTTTTTTATAATTATAATATTTTATATTTTTATATTATACTTTAAGGTTTATAAATCATAGTTTTTTATTATTATATATTATAAAATTCTTTTTTTTCCTTTAGTTAGTATTATTACTAAAGTAAAAATACTTTAAAATTATTTTTTAAAAGTTTCCTTTTAACTTACGTTTTTAATATTATTAAAATTATTATTTATTAATATAAATAGCTTTTTTTATAAATTTATTAAAAATATTAAGTTTTCTATTTTTAAAAAGTTTATTTTTAATATTTAAATTAAATCCTTAGTAATAAAGTATATATTATATTTTATTATTTAAATTAGTTTTAGTAATTAAATATATAAAAGTAATAGTATATTTTATATAAAGTTTTTTTTATTTAATTTAAAAAAGTATATTTTTAATTTCCTTAGTTTTATTAAATTTTCTATATAATTTCTTAAGCTACTTTTTAAATATAATATAATTTATAAATAAGTTAAATATATATATATTTTTTTTATAATTTTAATTTATTTATAATCCCTAAGGTATAATTTAAATTAATTTTTAATAGTTTTAGTTAAGTAACTTCCTATAGTTTAAATTTTTATAATATTATTAACTATAGTAGTTAAAAAGTAACTAAAATAGTTTTTTATATTAGTAAAAATTTTTTAAATTTACTTTAAGTTTTTTTTAAACTTATTTAATAGTAATAGTTTAATTATTTCTTTAAGTCCCTATTATTATATTATAAAAGCTAGATTTATTATAAGGTTTATTATTAATTATTAATTTTAAAGTATTATTATAGTAATTACTTAAGTAGTAATTATTTAATATAATTAGTTTACTAATTATTTAAATATTAAAAAGTATTATTTAGGTTTTTATATATTAATTACTAATTATAAAGCTATTTTAATATTACTATTATAATTACTTTGAGCCTCACTTTTATAATTAATATTATTATTTAATACTTTAAAGTTTATAAATCATTAAGTTTTTAGTATTTTATTACCTATAGGTCTAAGATAATTATTTAAATAAAAGTTATTATTATATAATAAACTAATACCTATAGGTTAATATAAGTTAATTATATTTAAAAAATAAACTTTAGAATAGTTTTATAATTTATATTAGTAAAGTAATTAAGTTAATAATAAATAATTTTATTACTAATTATAAAAAAAAAAATTTAAGTATTTAATTTAAATACTATTATATTAATGATAACTAGCTATTTAAATATTCTAAATAAGTATTATAAAGTAAATTTATATATTTAGTTATATTAAACTAAATTAATAAATTAAATATTAATTTATTACTAAATTAATAATTATTTTATTAATCCTTTATTAAATTAAAAAATTATATTTTAATTCCGTTTTAATTAATTAAAGGATTAAAGTTAATTTAGTCTAGGTTAATCTATTAGCTTATTTTTATAACCTTAAGAGCTAAGTTATAATATTACTACTTTACTTTAAAAATTAGTAAGTTAAGTATAAAGAAAATCTAAGGTTTCTTTAATTTCTTTTTTCTTTTTTTTTTAACTTTTTTTATTAATTTAGTACTTTTATTACTAAGAAATTTCTATTAATATTATTTTATTACAAAAGGGATATATTACTTATAAAAAATATAATTAATACTTTATTATAAAAATAACTTTATTTAATATATTTATAATAATAAAATAAATCTATAATTATATAATAAGTACTTAATTTATAAAAATAATATAAATAAAATATATTTACTTTAAATTTATTAATTAAAATAAATAATATAAGTAATAAATATTTATAAACTTTATAAAAAATAAACTTTAAGATTTTTATATTTATAATAATATAATTAAAAAAAATTAAAAAATTAAAAAAATAAAGCTTAAGTTATATTTATAATACTATTATATAATTAGCCTTAAGGATAAAATTAATAAAAAAAAGATATTATATTATAGCTTAACTTAAAATATAGTATATTAAAAATATATTATAAAAAAATACTTTACTTAAAAAACTAATTAATATAAAAGTAATAAGCTTATTATAAACTACCTTAAATAAATTACTTATAAAATAGTAATTTTATACTTAGGTTTATAATTTTAAAAGTAAGTTACTAAAAATAATTAAATATATAAAATTTAACTTTTTATACTTTTTAAATAACTTAAATAAATAATTATTAATAAAATATTAAAATTAAATATAAACTAAATTTTTATTATATTTTACTTATTTTATAATTATATTTACTTAAAGCTACTTTTTATTTTTTTTATTAATATAAACTAATTAACTTTAGCTTATTAACTAAAGAACTTACCTTATATTATTTAAGTATTAGGTTAGGATATAATAGTAATTTTATTACTAACTATAAAATAAAGTATTTAAATATTTAGTTTAATTACTATATAGTAGTATAAACTTACTTAGGAGCCTTTTACTTTACTATATAATTAAATATTATATTAAATTAAAGGAATAAAAAATACTTACTTAAATAATAAAAAAGGGCTACTATACTTATATAAAATATAACCTAGGCCTTAAGGATAAAACTAATAAAAGGGGAGTATTATATTATAAGCTAATATATATATAATTATAATATTAAACTTATAAAGTAAGTATTATAAATTATCCTTAGACCCTAAGGTTAATTAAAAATATATTTACTTTTTAAAAATAAATACTAGTAAATAATTACTTAATTAAGAAAATATTTACTTTTTAATAGTAAACTTAAGTAAATATTAAACTATATATTTATTTTATAATACTTTATTAAAATAGTTAAATAGCTAGTTGTAAATATAAAATAATACTTAATTATACTTATAAAAGTATTATCTATTAATTATATAAATAAACCTTTATTTTTATTAATTACCTACTAGTTTAGCCTAGCTTATTTACTAATATAAACCTAATATAAGGTTTATCCCTTAGGAATCCCTTTTATACTAACCCTATAGGAGCTTAGTTTATTATAAATAAGCTAAGGTTAATTAGTTTATATTAGCAAAAAAAATAAAAAGTAGTTTTAAATAAATATAATTATAAAGTAAGTAAAATATAATAAAAATTTAGTTTATATTTAATCTTAATACTTTATTATCAATTATTTATTTAAGTTATTTAAAAAGTATAGAAAATTAAATCTTATATATTTAATTATTTTAAATAACTTACTTTATAAAGTTTTCTTATACTTAGTAAGCCTATTACTTTAGAGTTAAAGCTTATATAATACTAAGTATATATCCTAGTAAGCCTTTAGAGATTTATCTTAATTAGTTATTTCCTTTATACTTTACCCAGTAGGTATATACTTTGGATTAGGTCTTAATACTTACCATACTTTAGCTAACATAAGAGTCTTCCGTATTTGCACTAGTGTTCCTTAGTATTTCAGGTGTATGTATTTTTAGTCTCCTTGGTAATGTATTCTTCTCGGCATAATCCTGCAGACTAATCAACTTTAACTCACTTGTCCAAACATCTTACAGTGTAATACGAAAGTAATAAATTACGGAGTATGAAAAAAGTAGCTAAACTCATCCATCGGTCTGAAAAATGGAAGGAAAGGGGCATGGACTATCTCCCCATTCGTTAGGCCGACATTTGACAGGCTCCAACAACTCGACGCCATTCAGCGAGAGAAGAATCCGTAGAAGATTATTGTGAAAAGCCTGAAAACCTACGGCTAGGTAGAGCGCAAAGATTGTCCCATCAGTAAGTACACAGTGGGTGAGCCCATCGAGGCCTTCAGTAGCTGAAACAACTCTTCAACATCCGTGCTACTTCAATTCGGGTATAAACTGCATTTATTTTCGTAACTCTTTCCGATATTCTTTCTCTCATGTAACTTATAGCCGTTATATTCAAATAGCCGCGAGGGTGCATTCAATTACTGGACCAATAACGGGTCAGTCTCTAATGAATTTTCCTAAGCCATCTCCAACACATCTATTCTCTGTTTAGACCTTGGCTCCAACTTGAACAGAAACTTGTTTGGCTGGACATTGAAGCCTATGTTGAAGTCATAATATGGAGGCGTGATGTCCTGGCCGGCGTCATCCTTTGCTTTTGAGATGTTGCAGCCCCATGCTATCATGGCAATGCCAAGAAAGACACTCAGCTCGGCTACATGCTGTCCAGGACAAATTCGACGGCCGGACCCGAAGCAAGTGTAGTTGACGAGGTTAGGGTACTGAGTCAAGGGTTCCTTGTAGGTTGGATACTTGGGGTCGAGCCAACGTTGTGGGTTGAAGCTCTCTGGGTCGGGGTATTGCTCCGGATCACGATGAATCGCCCACTGATTCGCGTGGAAAAAGGTGCCAGCCTTGAAGAAGAAACCTTTGTAGACGTCATCTTTGGTGAGCATGTGAGGCGCTCCACCAGCGGTGACGGGGTAAAAGCGTAACACTTCTTTGGCAAACGCACGCACAGTGGGAAGTTGTGGTAAGTCAGCGATAGTCGGCACTCGTCCTGCACCTACAACTCTATCCAGTTCCTGTTGGAGAACTCCGAGCTGTCCCGTACGCGTCATGAGTAAGCAGAACGACATAAGCGTTGAACCGGAAGTACCGCTGCCTGCTTCGAGAAGGCCACCAAACATGTGTGCTGCAGTAAGGTCGTCCAGACTCCATTAACCCGTGTTACTCAACCACACGTTTACCCAAGACTTGATGCCTTTACCACCACTGTTATCCCTTTTCGCTCCATCCAGCATGCTGCGGAAGAACGTCTCGTGCTCATTTCGAAGCTTCTTGAGCTCAGTCTTCCATGGTGCTAGAAATTCTGGTAGAAACTTCATCGCAGGAAGCAAGTCAACCAAATATTGTGCCGGCGAAGCAACACATTCTAGGTCATGTACCGCCTTGAGCGAGCTCTGGCATCTGGGGTCTCGGCCGCTTTCGATACGAACACCAAACGCAAGACGGAGAATGATGCCACCACTATAACGCTCGAAAAAGTTTTCATAATCAGAGGGGTTCCTTATGAAGTCACGCGCCATTCGAGTAGCTTCTAATTCTAGCTCTGGGGCGTAACCAGCTGCCGCCTTTGTGGACATGACATGGTGAAAGAAACTGCGTTGAGTGCGCCACACATCGCCATAGCGCAACAAAAGAGGGATCAGGCCTCTGGTCATCATGTTGGCAGCGTGGAACGTCGGTCGGTCGCTATAGATGCTGCCACACTCTCGGAGCAGATCGTTGGCGACTTGCTCAGTGCCCAGGAGGACGTGATCTTGGCCTGCAATGGTGATCATGGTAATGGGCCCATATTGGTCTGTTAGTTCTTTGAACTTGAACCATGAATGAACAGGTGGTATGTCGAGCATGCTACCGATAATTGGCTTGCCAACCGGACCAGGCGGACTGCGTGTTCCTGGGGGCATGACGGTCTTGTTGGAACGATTCAGGATATATATAGCGAAAGTAAGAGTTGTCACTGCTAATGCAGTAGTAATAAGAGACACCATGTCGACGGATTGTTCAGGAGGTTGAAATAGGTTATAATTACTCCCCAAACAGTCACAGACTATGCGTATAACAGATTGGATGGGTATTACAAGGAGGACTCGCTGGGGGTCGATGCCCAATTTATCAAGAGACCCGGGATATAAAAAGAAGGAATGATAGCCAATGTTTGAACCATTCAATACACTTATCAAATCAAAAAAGAGGGGCTACGCTCTTTCTCTTTGCCTGTCCAGAGAGCCGGGACACTTGCGCAATTCATAAACTGCCATATGATTTGTTTACGCCAGCGCTATAATCTTATCGCTCCATTTATGGGTATAGCCATAGTGATTCGCTCTCCAGTCGCAGCAACGCTATACATCTACAATTTCCATTTTATCTGTTCAATGTCGCGATATACGATATTCTGGTTTGTACTGTGCTCACTGAGTTAATAAGACGGGAGAAAACAGCCTACGATGACGAATTTAGCTTGTGAAGTCGTTTTTTTTTTCCAACAAAAAAAAGGCTTCAAGATAGATTGAATAGATACATATGTTGCCCTACTCTAGTGACACTAGCAGATCTCTTTCATTCAGAGTAGCGGTATATTCCGCTTCCGACGGATTGATCCCCAAGATTCTCATACAGTCCCATGAACGTCGCTTGCCTCTATCTGTATTATAAATGTAAATGCTATATACGAAAAACAACAACAGGGACGAAGGCACAAAGATACAGGTACTATGACTCGGAGGGCGAAAGAAGGACACCAGACACAGAGTGTGGCTCATCTCGCCGGCTATGCGAGAGCCTGGGCTGAGAAACTAGGACGGTACATTGAACAAGATCAACCACCAATTTGGCGTACGGATTTGGCCAATTGATGTATCATTTCTCCCAGGGCTACCACTTAAATCATAAACAGGCTGATTTTCATTGCTACCGTGAACGATCGTAAACCAGTGCGTAGGGGTTCCTGATCTTCAATATGATGAAATCAGAAGAATTACGACTGAAGCAATTGGAAAGGTTGTCATTACGAAGAATGAGTCCAGGCTTAGATCTGTCAATATTGGTTACGCATCACTTCCCAGTAGTGGCGCATTGGACAACGACTAGTGTTTTCTACGTGCTGGTTGTCCACTGAGTAGGGACGCTGATGGCCAACATGAATCACTGGTCTTCCATTTTAAAATAGATAATATTGGGTTCGAAATATAAATATGTCTTCAAAGATACGTATCTATCGTTTGTAAGCTCTCAAAGTCCTCTCGGCTTTCAGTGATGAAATTGCGCCGCGGTTATAGGTACAGTTAAGCCAATTGGTACTCCGCGATCAACTTATCCGCACACGTCATTCCTGTAACATAGGCGGAGCTCTGAGTGTGAGCATTCGGGAGAATCGGCAGAACACTGTTATCTGCTACTCGCAAAGATGAAATACCCAAAACCTTGAAGTTAGCATCAACCACAGCATCTCCGTCACCAAGCCGCCCCATCTTAGCAGTGCCAACCATATGCCAAGCTGAGGTCATGTTGTCTCTCCAGAATTGGAGTAAACCATCATCAGAGGTAGCCACTTTCGGGACAATAATGTCGTCTTCGCTATCCTTGGCAAATAACGGATGCCGAATCACCGCCATGCCAGCCCGTAGTGCTTCAATGCACACTCGTTCGTCGAAGGGATGAGAAAGGAAATTGGGATCAAATTTGAGCGGCACGTTGGGATCAGCTGACTGTAAGGTCACCTCTCCACGACTTTGCTCATTTAGCAGAAATATCGAAAGAGTGTCGTAGCTCAAGTTTTCTGGCGCAAATCCTGGTATGAAGTAGTGGATTGGGAAGTGAGTTAGGAGCTCATAGTGCGGGACAGTTTCTCGGAGAAGAAATTCTTTCTGCGAGGAAGGCAGATTTTGGAACTCCGTCGACGAGCTGACAGAGTCTGACTTAAAAAAGCCAATCAGGTTCTCGCATCCGTATACAGACCATGGGCCCGTTCTGTCTTGATTCCATTGCTCTTGAGCGGCATCCATTGCTTCTCGGCTGCCATAAAAGGAGCGGCGGTCATTATCCGACTCATTTCGCTTAACAACCAAATTCAGAAATGCATGGTCGCGAAGACCCTGCCCAACAGCTGGGACATCGTGAATCACGGGGATGTGATATCTGGAAAGCTGATCCGCGGGCCCAATGCCAGAATGTAGAAGAATTTTGGGAGAGTCCAGGGCGCCTGCACAGAGAATGACTTCGTGCGTGGCAAAGTCTAACCAGTTGTCAGTATCCGTCGATATAGCCTTGTGTGATTGCACATACAATGTTTTCCATTTGACTCAACACCGACTGCTTTTTTCCCTTCAAGAATTATGCGTTGGACGGCTGATCCTGTGGCGATAGTTAAATTATCTGGCTTGGGCTGCAGCAGATCTGCAGCCACGGAGCGAAGGCCGCTATGAGCTGAATTTATCAGTACTCCCATCCCCAAAGGATCTCCTGAATTATGGTCCGGGTTGACCGGATACCCGATTTTCTGAAATGTCTGCAATAAGGGTTGAATATCCCGTTCCCACTCAGAGGCATAACCAACGTGAAGTGGCCCTGCAGATCCATGGTCGCTTGTCTGAGATGATACACTCAATGGATTCGTTCCAGTTGGAACATCGTAATGGAACGTCTCTAACTCTTTGAACCGGCTCTGCATGCTATCCCAGGCAAAGGCGGGATCATCAACCAGTTTGGCCCATTCATCAAAGTCATCCCGAGGGCCCGTAGTCCACACTCCAAAGTTTATCGTACTTGAACCTCCTAAGCCACGCCCACGGTCATAAGCTATGACTCGGTTGTTGCAATTGAGCTGCGGGGCCGTTTTATAGCCCATGTTCATAGATGGCTGAGTGAATGTAGTCCATCGCTGCCCATCGACGCGGAGATGGGCTTGTGTATGGTCATCTCCAACCTCAATCAGGAGTACGGATGGTTTTTTAGGTGAACGGGATAGACCGTTCGCCGCAGCGCATCCCGCCGGGCCACCTGGCGATGATTAGCAAGGGATAGGTCTAGAGTAATCTAGAGACAACTTACTCCCCACAACAATGAAATCGTAACGCGTGTCGGCTTCAGACATTTTGCTCAAGTGATTCGTTGTTAATGCTACTAATGTACGCAAAGAAAAGTTGTTGACGTGAAGAGTTTTATTGAAGACCAGATACTGCAGCGGATTATACTTTGCAAGAATTCCTGCTATTTAACATTCACTAGATGATGGGTTTGGCGTCTAAAAATAACGCGGTCCATACTCTGATTCCACAGGGCTTGCACTTGATCCCACAGGGCTTGCACTTGATCCCACAGGGCTTGCACTTGATCCCACGGGGCTTGCTTTCGATTCCATAGGGTTAGATTCTAGTCAGATCGGATTCCACAGGATCGTACTATAGTTCCACTGTACAGACTAGTTGGGCACTTTGAATTGCCGAGACCGCCATCCGTGAGCGACGTGTCTCGACACTTTCCTTGCCAAGAAGAAGAGGCCTGCTAGTGTTTAATAAGCTTTATCATATTGATTCAATATTTCAAATTGATGCTGACTTGAAATCTAGACCAGACGTGTATCGTTGCTAGGCTTTCAGCATGTAGGCGAGTCAGCCGAAAGAATACCTAACTGGTGATTAGCCTATTAACGAATAGGAGAATTGGTGTATGGTGTATACTCCCTCTTTCCTTTCAATAATAAGCTTACCTGTGTCCGCAGCGACCAAGTTGAGCTAGTAAAGGTTTCCGCACCTAGTTGCGAGCTATTCTGCTATCAGCTACCAACGAGGGCGACGACTATTGCAGAAGTGGAGCGATACATGCCAATTCGCTTTCAGCTTACTTCGATACCAGATCACAGCCCTGCTTACATGAATTGGATTTCAATAAGATTGATCTCAATAGCAACCTCGGCTTCAATAAAGTTGATACCAATAGCAACCTCGGCTCCAAAGTGTCCTCTTTCAAGCCTATCAGTCAGTAGCGGTTCTGACTTTGAGAATTTGGCCCCTGTGCGCCGTCGTATGCTTTGTCACAAAACAAAACTCTTCATGATTGATGCTATTTCTGCAACAAATTGGCCGCTTGTATCCAGCCCCCCGCTTTTGTTTTACTACGGGACTGTCGGAAAAATTTTTCAACCCTCCACTCTCTTGCTCATATTAAACGATCAGAGAAAAACAGCATCCAGTATGAACATCCTTTCAATCCGTGATTTACCTCATCGAATTTCATTATGTCACACTTGAAACTGTCGAAAACAGCGAAGCTGTTGATAAGGCTATGCTCCCATAAGCCGGGAGATCATGCGTAAACGCGATATGTCAAGGGTTACTTAGTAGACGTTAATAATAAAATAAATAAATAAATAAATAATCAATAGGCGGCTCACGAAGCTGACGTAGAGCGGCTTCCGTTAGGGCGCTTCCTTACTATACGATGAGCTTCTTCAAAGAGATTAAAATAGAGTATTCTTGGTAGACGTACATCTATAAGTAATCAGGTGCCTCAGCACTCAAACTGAAACAGATGAGCCATTCAATTACATCCTAGATACGCAAATACGTGGCCAGAAAACAAGATGCCCACCTATTCCTCCGTATCCAAAGTTGATGTGCTTATAATAGGCGCTGGTCCGGCTGGGCTAATGTGCGCACTATGGATGGCTAGGCTTGGTGTTAATGCTCGTGTGGTGGAGAAAAGAGCCACTCCTATTGCTGCAGGACAGGCTGATGGGCAAGCGCTTCGAATGAGGCCATGATCTCAAAATACAATTCTGATTCGTTGTTCAGGATTCAATCCCGTACATTCGAGATCTAGATTCCTTTGGTTTGGATCAAATTTGGCGAGAATCAACTCATGTTAAAGGTACGTTCAAGAGTACTCTTTGAGGCGAACAGACCGTAACAATTAAGGAAAGAGGCCACGTTTTGGGATCCAGATGAGAATGGCAAGATCCACCACAGCTCAAGAGTCCCAAATAATATGAAAGGCCTGTCGCGCTTCGACTGCACTGGTACAATCCACCAAGGCGTTATCGAAAGCTTCCTTATACAAGCCATTAGAGCATCAGCATCTGTACCAAGCCATCCAGAGGTGAGAATTGAGGGAAATATGACCCCATCTTCCCTTCATATCGATGAAACTCTGATCAATGATCAAGATGCCTATCCTGTAATGGTTACCCTAAAACATTTTGACGAAGCAAGTGAAGTTGATGCAAAGAGCCGTGGTAACATTGATGAAAGCTTGCACAAACCCAGCTGTGGGGATGATGATTCAAAGCCAACATATCTGCAAAACGCCCAACCGGGGGCGGAGGAGCTGGTCCTGGCAAAGTATTTGGTAGGATGCGATGGTGCGCATTCATGGGTACGTAAAGCCTTGGGACAGGAATTTGGGCTGCGGGGCGAAACTACGGATGCTATCTGGTGAGTCTGTCGTTCACCGAGACATTAGTTGAAGTTGTTGAACAGTTAAATGACAAATTTGCTCCAGGGGTGCGATGGATATAATCCCGGTCACTGACTTTCGTAAGTGGGAAATGCCTGATTACGCGTCGCTACATAGCAAATCCTGACCTAGAAGCAGCCGATATCCGAGTTCGCACTATGGTGCGCAGTACTAGCGGTGGAAGTCTCATGATGATTCCAAGAGAGAATAAACTCGTTCGGTTGTACATTCAACTAACGGACGGTTTGTCAATTAATGGCCGGCTGACTAGATCTATGGTCACCCCTGAGATGCTGATAGAGACTGCTCAGAGGATTTTCAGCCCTTACACTATTGACTTCACATATATACACTGGTGGAGCGCATATCAGATTGGACAGAGATCAGGAGACCATTTTGATAAGCAAGGACGTATCTTTCTTGCTGGCGGTACGTCAATATAGCTTTGGCTACTTTATCCCAGTATTCTTGTACTCTACTAATCCACTCCAGATGCCGTTCACACTCATTCGCCAAAGGCAGGACAGGGAATGAACGTATCTATGCAAGATACGTATAATCTGGGTTGGAAGATTGGTTTAGCATGCAAGGGACTTGTGCGGCCAAAAGCCATTATCCCAACCTACGATATGGAGCGTAAGTTGGTCGCTAAAGAACTGATCGCATTCGACCGAAAGTTCTCCGAATTGCTTTCGATGCACTCTGCGAAAGATATTTCGGAAACATCAGTTGAGCTTAAACAATTTTTTAAGAAAGCGCCACTAGTACGTATATCAGAAGCTGAGAAACATCTCGCTACTATCTGACCACTGCAATAGTTTACAACTGGTATTGGTGTAAACTATGCCTCGAGTATTCTCACAGTTGTAGACGATGAAGCACATGGCCTCGCGAAGTATACCGTCCCGGGAAAGAGATTCGCCTCGTGTCAGGTAACAAATCACTAGGATGGGAGGGTTTGGGAGCTTCATCATCGCATGCCATCTGACGGACGCTTCCGTATCATGGTTTTCGGCGGCAATATCGCAGATGCTGAGCAACGATTTGCAGTCAATACCTTGGGCCAGTGGCTAGGCAAGACTCTAATTCCACGATATCCTCCGATCAATATCTGCCCCATTGTTGATCGTCGTCTGCAGACTGTCCGATTCCAATCCGAACTAATGACGCCAACCCTAGAGATATTCCTAGTGCATACGGCTCCTCGTAGCCAGATAGATGTACTGCGGGACGTAGACTCTACATATCATCCGTGGCATCCCAAGCTCGGCTGGGACTATGATTATATATTTACAGCTTCTGGAGTCGCCACTGAAGACAATATCCAGCTAACACAGAGTGTATATCGAGATTATGGGATTGATGAGGAGAGAGGTGCCGTTGTACTTGTAAGGCCGGATGGATATGTTGGGACGGTAACTAGTGTCGCTGCAAAAGAGGCACGGACTAAAATTTGCAATTGGCTTGACGGCTTACTACAAGGCCTGAATAACTGAACTTTGAGAACCTTTCTGCTTCAAAAAATCATCAATTCAAGATTTCAGATTCTAGCAAATAGCGTTTAATTGCTGATAAACTTCTATTCTGTAGATATCCAAGTTCTTGTTCTCTTAAGAGCCATGCCGTTGCATCTGATCTCCTAATCATCGGTAAATGAAGAATCACCAGTTCCCCACGGTAGACAGTAACGGAATGAAAGCAATTGGTGTAATTTTTGTATTATTATGTATGGTATATCACGCGATAACTGGCGCCGGAGGGTAGTCATAATGCTTAGTCAAATTACCTCCTCTTCCATCTTCTTCTCCATCATGCCCCAAAGCCCTTTCGCTCTGTTCCCAGAAAACCAGTAATTACCTTCAAGATCTTTTCCCACAACGATGATTCCATCGGAGAAGTTATATGGGCCCTGTACGCTCTGGACGTAGGATGGTGTGAGCGGCGTGCGCCGTGGTGTAACAGCCGCGGCTGATAGATCAGTCGCGTACATGTCGGCTTTTTGCCAATTGGAAAACATAAGTAACTGCATCGATGTGCTGCCAAAAAATGGAGGCGCCCTGTTGGCTGGATCAAGTCGGATCAACGATGTATACGCTTCGACTTGTTCGCGAGAGCCTTGCTCCTTAATCGAGCGGCGGATCTGGGATGCTAGATAGCTGAGCGGCTTCTGAAGCACATCTTTAGCTGGCAGTAGAGTAACTAGAAACCCAACGCAGTTGCTTAAGAATGGTCGCTTGTCTGGTAGCAGATCCTTCAAAATCGGCCGCCATTGATATGCTTGTTGTACAGCAATCTGGAAATAGCAAATTTAGCAAATGAATGCTGAGTGACTTCTGGAATATGTACCAAAGAATGGCTACTTACAGGTGTCTCCGAATGCTCCGGAAGATTAGCAATTGCTAAGCGAGTTGTCCAAGCCAGTAGAATATCTCCTTCGCTCAGGAATGGAGCCTCCCATTTCTCGCTAGGGGCTTGAGCAGCAAGTTCCGCGAGAGCCTTTTCTCTCAATTTCGTGATATAAGCAGCGGGCACACAGACCATACGATGCTCTTGCTTCTTTAACACCAAGTTGTAGCAGTTCTGGAGCACCCACCAGACAAGACCAGGCTTGGACATGTGGTATTCCGCAAGGACATGGGGCTCTGTAGGCTTCTTGCCACAGTGCTCCAAAATATAGTCGTCGGGAGCCAGTGGCTCTGGAATCTCGTCTTCTCTACCCTGAAGCATGAGCATCCACGCATTGAGGAGAGACTTTTTTGCCATGGCGTCAAAAGTAAGGTGTATCCAATGGAGGACGACTATTGTCGAATTCTTGAACGAGACAACGCGCAGACCAAGCTGAGGACGGTCTGTATAGATATAATCATCGAGATATCTGGGTGTATCCTGGCCGTAAATGAGCTCTGAGAGCTTATCGGGATCTCCAACGATTGCTGGTCGGCCATTGCGAGGAGGATGGGGAATACATGATCCCGCGGGGTGGTCTTCCACAGCTAAGGCGCCATGGTCCACATGTTCAAATCCCACTGCCGGACGATCTGGAGAGAAGCTGGCTGGGATATGATGCTCAAGTTGTCCACGATCCTAAATGATGGGGGCGCAGTTGTTAGATATATTGGCCTCGCCGGAGGGGGGCGTTCTTGTCCCGCACATTTCTTCTCAGTCGAGCACCCAGCTTGTTCCAGCCAGGGCGGCTTACTACACGCTCCAGAGAGGTGCATAAGTTCTGAGGGTCCAGTACATCGTCGAAAACAAATAAGGTATATAGCACAAACGTCCTGAAGATAATGGTGTCATCAAAGAAGCCAACCGGGACAATCTTATCGGTCGGTACAGGCTGGGGTGCCTTTGATGGATTAAAAAAGAATTCAAACATACTTGTCAAGTGTTGCCCATCCGTCTACATGTTTGTTCAGCGGTAAGGAAAACCATGGCTACTTTGAATCTATTAATATGAGAGCAAATTGTGATACGGATGGCGCCACATTTCAACTGCAACGGATTCTGCACCTGTCAAGTGTTCTTTACTGCTAGATAAAATTACTCCAATTCCTGCACTCAGGGGTTGCGCGGAACAGGTCTATTCATCCGGATGATATGATTTCTTACAGAGTTTATGTCTGTCCCGTACCAATCCCTGTCCCTGACAGGGGTTTAGGGTAGCAGCGGCCTGCTATTGAAGTTAGTCTACTTGAGCCAACAACGTTTGAACCAACAACGTCTGAACCAACAACATCTGCACCGTCGTAAAAACGTCTTTAGTGGACCTCGTGCAGGCATTTTATGTGATCTTATGACTCATAAGATGTATGGCGCAAAAACAATGCCGGACTTATCTCCTTACTAGTACTAAAATTGCCGACATCAGGACAATGTCCGCCCGCCCAGTCCCATCTTTCCCCTTTATGTCACGCAATCTAGAGACTCCAGATAAACCAAATTAATAAGTTGATTAGTCTTCTAGCCTTGCAAGGAAGCTAAAATTATTCTTCTCTTTGCAAGGATTTACAAATACTGAAGTTTCTTCCGAGAGTTGGCGTGTATTTTAACTTCCTTGCTGAAAAGGGACGAATCATTACTATCCAACCTGAATAGCACTGACTATCTTGATGCGATGACAAAAAACTTAGCTAATAAGTTCAAGGAAGATGGCCAAAGGGGCTGTGGCTAAGAACACGATTTTGGGACAGGATACGATATTGGGCACTGCACGTCAGCCAGGGGAATGTGTCAAACGTGCCGATCACGTCCAGATCCAATGGGGCGGTTGAACTTTTGTACTGGGATCAAAAATTGAACAGCTTTCAAACACACCGCTGACAGTACGAATATGGTACGGTCCGTCCGAAGCGTCTACGTTTTAATACTTTTATCACGTTAGTTCCCAGAAGGCAACACGCGTAAACTTTCTTCTGCTCTCCTTTTGTTAATTCTTGGAACCTTTTGCCTTTGCTGCCCTTAGCCCCCTCTCCGCTGCAGCTCCCTAAGGGCCTTTCATTGGCCCTTAGCTATGGCCTTGTTGATAAGTCGAAACGAAGAAGGCGAGCGTATATCAGCAATTGCGAATCGCCTGCCTCCGATACCTGTCCATGGCTTTACAAAGACGATCCAAGCAATAACATATGTTATAACTATCTTAGCTACGATAATCGTTGCACTGCGCGTCTACGTGCGGGTGCGACTTTCAGGATCACAACGAGCATGGGGCTGGGATGACATTTTCGCTGTAGCTGGCTGGGTATGATACATTCCCATTGATCCCCTTATTACCGCCAACTTAACAATGAAACAGGTTCCTCTTATCCCCTCTGTCGTCTTTCTCATTCTAGCAACCTACTATGGTTTAGGTGCCCATGACGATCATGTGCCTGATGGAATGCTCATCTATTACCAGGTCAGGGTTAAGAGCTACATGTTTTTGTTTGAGATGATTTACTTTGCCTCATCCATTTTAACGAAGCTTGCCATGGCCATTATGATCCTGAGGCTAAGCTCTACTCGGACCTACGTGTACATCATTTGGGGGAACATAGCCCTGCTATCTGTGAATGCTCTTGTGTGTTTAATCATCATGTTCGCAAGTTGCTCGCCTCTTCCGGCCTTATGGAACGAGAAGCTGTACGTTGGATACAGTCCCACCATTAATTTGTACTTGGCTAACAGTTGAATGAAGTGGCTATTGTCGTCTCAAAGACGGCTGGATCATTATTAGTTATGTCGGCTCCGTAGTTTTGGCCATGGTGGATTGGACCTGCGCAATCACCCCGTTCTTCATGCTGCGACGTCTTCAAATGCCAACGCGAAGGAAGGTTTCAGTCCAGATCATTCTCAGCTTGGGTATCATTGGTAGCGCCGCTGGTCTAGTTCGCCTGGGATATTATCATGCTTATGATACTGACAAGTATCCACACGAATCTCTATGTAAGCGCTGTCTACTATTTCCCACTGATAAAGCAAAACCCATACTGGGATTTCTAACAACATTTATCGATGTAGATAATTGGGGTTCAACAATTCTGTGGTCGCTCCTAGAGGCAGGTTTGGGTATCATCAGTTGCTCATTGCCTCCACTCCGTCGCCTTTTCAAGAAGTTCTACCAAGGTTCATCTGGACAGTCTGACATGAAGTCTGGACCAGGAACAACCGATGTAAGAAACCCCTCCCAGGGGGATGCTCTGAAGTGTCGCTAACTATTCGCTGTTTATAGGGTGGAACACAGCTGACCAGTCTTGGTGGGAAGCAAAGCGAAATATTGACAAGCATCCGCCGGAAAGAAGGGGATAAGTGGAATAGATTAGATGATGAACAGTCAACTTCCAGCCAACAGCATATCATTAAGATAACGGATGTATCCGTCGAGACAAGCAGTACAGATGGCAATAAATTTCAGGACTATCGAAAAGACAATGAATACTCCTGGGAAGATCATGCATAACTTTTACTAAAAAGCTTTTTTTGTTTTCGAAATCTATAGATTTGGGAAAAGTTTACAACTCGGTCGGCGCAATATAGACATCTATTATTTAATTACATATTAATTTATTTCTGCATATCATAACCCACATCATCATAAGTCTTGATTGAAATGTACCGTCACCATAAGTCTATGGAATCCTGTAAACATCGGATCTCATGTCGCAACACGAGTCCATGGAATATTTGAAGCCGCTATAAGCCGAAAGCGACAGTGGTCTAGTCCCACAACAAGTTGTTCACGGCCAAATAAGTTTAGTCCTGCACACACGGCGAACGAAGCAAACTTTCGGCGAACGATCGACCTTTAACCGAAGACACTATCGTAGCACTGAACACTAAAGTTGCCCGGCCACCGTTCGTCGGATGAAACTGGAACCTTTCATATCTTCAATGGTTTCTTTTTAGTAGCGCCAAATATGAGATATGGAAACCATCAAGCTAAATTTACACCTTGAGTGGTCTATACCTGTCATATCCACGGCCAACTGTAATAATCCATTTGTAACATCTTTGTTGCTAAATTGGGTCTACGTAGTTAGCCGTGTGCGCGGCAAAGATTGCCATGACTGTTCACATGTATCACCAGTCTCGGACAGTGGTTGTTACTCTGAGTATTTCCAAGTGGTTATTTAATCCGATTTCCCTCGTGAAAGTCGATTAATCCGGCTCTCTGCAGTGTAAAAACAGAATCATTAATTGCGCATAAATAAACTCGCCATTCGCCATTGCGCGTGCACTTGAGTCTATCGCCTCCATATTCGCTCCAAGGCTACAACTTCAACAGCCATGTCTCTATATCGCATCGGTGTAGATATTGGCGGCACTAATACTGATGCGGCAATCATTGATATCAAGGCACTAAACAGTCCCAATCGGGGAGTCCTCGCCACTCACAAAGCACCAACAACGCCAGATATCACCACAGGCATTGAGGAAGCCATCAAAATAGTGCTGAGTAACTCTGATATTGACCAGAGAAGAGTTCTCAGCGTCACTATTGGCACTACTCACTTCATCAACGCTCTTGTGGAAGCCGATGCCCGAAGGCTGGATCGTGTTGTTGTAGTGCGCCTCTGCGGGCCCTTTACTCGCCAGATCCCACCCTTTTCTGGCTTTCCTGTTGGCCTTCGCAATATTCTAGATGGTGGTGTATTCTATCTCGATGGTGGACTAGAGATGGATGGTAGGCAGATTGCTGAGCTCAACGAGCAGCAGATCCGCCAGGCCACGATGGACATTACAGCTGCCGGAGTCGAGGCTGTTGCTCTTGTCGGCGTCTTCTCTCCATTAGACCATGATGGGATTCAAGAGGAACGATGCAAGAAAATTATGCTGGAAACAGTACCCGATCTCAAAGTCGTCTGTTCTCATGATATTGGTCCTATCGGCTTTTTAGAGCGTGAGAATGCGACCATACTAAACGCCTCCATCTTGAGAACCGGTCACCGCGTCAAGAAAAGTTTTAAACGAGCTATGACACGTCTTAATCTTGACTGCCCATTATACCTATCTCAGAACGACGGCACGCTTATTGATATCGAATCAGCTGCTGATTTCCCTATCAAGACTTTTGCCAGTGGCCCGACGAACAGCATGACAGGTGCAGCTTTCTTGGCTGGCATTGGCCAAGGTCCTGGAGGTTCAAATGGCGTGCCTGGGGCCACTAATGGCATGTCTGCCGAAGTGACACCTCCCAATGGCACTATCATCAATGGCGACAGCTCATCCTGTGAGCAGGCTCAAGTTCTGGTAGTCGATATCGGTGGTACCACAACAGACGTTTGTGCTTTGTTACCATCTGGATTCCCTCGTCAGGCTCCAGGCTTCGTCGAGATTGCAGGCGTTCGCACGGCATTTTCCATGCCGGAAGTTGTGTCCATAGGACTAGGCGGTGGTAGCATAGTTACGGTAGACGGTGAATCCGTCTCTGTTGGCCCTGCATCCGTCGGCCATTTTATCCAAAAACGAGCAAAAGTGTTTGGTGGCTCGACCTTGACTGCCACTGACGTTGTTGTTGCAGCCGGTAAAGCTGCTCTTGGCGATCCCAGTCTTGCCCATGATATACCCCAGTCAGCTGTCAATCTTGCTTCCCGAGATATCAAAAAGAAACTGGAACGGGTTATTGATCAGATGAAAGTTTCGGCAGCTCCAGTTACTGTTCTCTTGGTTGGAGGCGGGGCTTTACTGGTCACTGATGAATTGGCTGGTGTTGAGAAATGCATCCAACCCATTCACCAAGGGGCTGCCAATGCTATCGGCGCAGCGATTGGTAAGGTCTCTGGTGAGGTTGATACCGTCGAAATCCTTGAAGGCAAGGATGAGAAGGCAGTTATCGACGCTGCCTGCAAGAAGGCCATTGAGCAGGCTGTAGAAAAAGGCGCAGCGAGGGAGGATGTAAAGATTGTCGAAGTCAACAAGATGCCACTTCAGTACATGTCAAAGGTTACGATTCGTATCCAAGTAAGGGCCGTGGGTAGACTCGCCATTCCAGATGACTTGGCGCCTCCGCAAGGCCTGAACGGGTCATTCGATGACGACACAGAAGATGAACAAGAGACGGATAAGGTGGCTGTACCAAACGCGCTTGAGCCTACCACACGGCCAAGCCGCAATATCGATATTACAACGTATCGCCCGAATGTCAAAAACGGCGTATGGTATGTTTCAGAAGTTGACTTGGAGTTTATGACCACAGGCTGTGGCGTCCTGGGCACCGGTGGTGGCGGACCAACATATTACGAGTATCTTAAGGGATTGAACACGTTGCGCAGTGTTGGGGAAGGCAACATGAGGATCATTTCACCAAAAGCTCTCAAAGAAGATGATGTGGTTGCTATGGCAGCTTGGTACGGAAGTCCCAATGTCATCAACGAACGCATTTCGGGGGGCAACGAGATCATCGATGCTATCGATGCCATTAACAAAACAAGGAGCATCAAAAACTTTCATGGCTTGTTGGCTGAAGAAATGTAAGTTACCAACCTACCCCAAATCCGACGATACTAACAAAGCTGACACAACCCAGTGGTGGTGGAAACGGTATGAGCGTCTTTCCTGTGAGCGGCCATTATAATGTCCCCGTCGTTGATGCAGACGGGATGGGTAGAGCTTATCCTACAAAATATCATGGTAAGCGCAGCATCTATAGAGGAAATGCTTGTCAAAAAGGTCCTTGCTAACTGTTTGCAGTGACCTTTAGTGTCTATGGCCACCCTATGACCCCATGCGCTATTACTGATGCAAAGGGCAATGCGTCTGTCATCATGGTAAGCATGAGCTAGCTGAATGATTGCTTTCAATTTCACGTTCTATAACTGACTTGAGATGCCCAGAAAGCGAGCTCGCCCCCCCGCTTGGAGAAGATGCTGAGAACCACGGCTGTGGAACTAGGACTCGCCTGTGCGTCAGCTTCGAATCCGATGCCAGGTTCCATCATCAAATCAACAGCAGTGCAAAATACACATTCACAAGCATGGTACCTTGGACGGGCAGTTCACTCTGCTCGTCGCAATAAAACTAGCTATCTCGACGCAATAGTAGGTTCAGTATCCCTCTCGCCGAAAGACTTTTGTTGACATTTGCAGTTTGCCGTTTGTTCCGGGAAACTACTCTTCACGGGTAAAGTCATCGATGTCCACCGATACATTGGTGGCGGCTACACAATGGGCGCCGCCATTATTGCACCGTTGACCGAAGACGAACGTGAGACTACGTCGATCGACAACCAAACACGAACAGACAAACACATGATTATACCCTTCCAGAATGAGTACTTGTACGCAGCACTCTGCGATGCCGCCGGCACCAAAGAGTCGCAGGAAGTCGTTTGTACAGTTCCACATCTCATATCAATTCTTGGCCAGGATGGAGAAGCGATTGGGTCACAAGACATGCGTTACGGTCTCCGTGTCAACGTCATTGGATTGTCCGCTCATCCAGTGTGGATGACAGAGAGAGCTCTGCAGGTGGGTGGCCCCGCGGGCTTTGGTCTAGATCTGCCGGTTGTTGGAGAGTTCGATGAGTTTACAGAGGCACGAAGTGTGATAGATGACTTTGGCAACTGAGTGTTTGAGACATTAAATCGGGTAAAATTTAAACAGACATCAAAAATTTTCAGGTTAACATCCATTTAATTATGAAGCTGTAGAGGCATTATTGACCGACTTATAGAAGAGTAACGCCTCCATCGGTTGTTCCTCGACGTATGACTTGCGCCGCTTGAGAAAAGAATGAATCAATGCGATCCTTGGCCGCTCGGAGTAACGCTGTCACCTCTTCATTACTGACATCCCATAAGCTATTCATAGCTTGGTGAAATGTCTCGAGTAAGCCGTATGCGTGCTCTATATCACCACGTTCGGAGGCGACTAAGAAGAGAAATACGAGAAAGTTTCCACACAGGACAAATTGTGATCTTGCATCTAGGTATAATGGTATGTCAGTGGCCGTTCCACCATGTGATTAACAATAGTTGAAATTAAGATGTAGCCTACAACGACCCCAGAATCCAGCCATATTATTCTTGTCCAGGTGCAATATAAATTGTACAAATCCATCGAATGCTAGAAGCGCCTCAGGAAACCACTTTCGGAGGTTGGAGCTTGCTTTCAGCTTGGCCTCTCTCGTCGAAGGGTGCATCAAAGCGCGGTAGAGGAGAACCTGAGTAGTGTAGAATGACAAATGTAGGGGACCTAACTGTTAAAAAAAAGTTTTCCTAGTGAATAGGGAATAATCGACCCACAGTTATATGAGGCTACACTTCTTCTATCCTGTGCTTCCTTTTTTAAGTCGAGGCATGAAGGGATTAAACTTGCCCACTCTTTGAGCCTAGCCTCTACGGCGAGGATATCTGTTTCGGCTTGCGCGAGGTTATTACCTCTGGCCTGCGAATCGTTGTTTACTTGACTGCAGATGTATCATTAGAAGCTGTATGAATAAAAAAAATAAAAATAAACTACAAAGACTTACTAGCTGCAATCCAGCACTGTTCGCAACGATCGTGCAACGTCAACCATTTCCAAGAATCTCGCTCCCGTGGAGACTTGGAACCGCCTATCCTCTGGCTCAACTAGGTACTGCACATCATCTGGAACATCTTCATCCCAACGCATATCCTCCATTGTTAGTGGGGTCGTGGTATATGATTTACTCGCTATATGCGACGGGTTCCCATGGCACATTGCTGACCAGCAATCAGCATAAAACGTGGCCCACCACAGCTTCCGCCGCAAGTGCCTCTCAGTCGCATTGATGTTCCAATCTCCCGGCTCAACATGCAGACCTATCATTTGCGCACACGCCGTTGCCTGAGCAGATGATGTCCATGTCGTAGGAGCTTCGAGGGTGTCCATCGCTGGCGGCGTTACATGTTGAAGGAGAAGACATGCCTGTAGAATGAAGAGGTTAGGATTTTCCATCTCTCTCCGGAGAGCTTGATGCGCGTAATCGGTAAGTTCATGCTGTACAAAAGGCATGGATTTATCCTTCAGTGTGTAGTTACGATCCCAAAATACAGATGCCAACGCGTAGATAGCTCCTCGCAAGCATGCAGGAATACTCTTTTTGTCGGCGTGATATCTGCTCAGGAAGCGGACTTTAGATACTATAGGAAAAGCGGGATGGACATGGCGGAAGAACAATCGAACAAGGTTATCGCCAAATGGCCACACCTTGCTCTCGATAGCGTCCGAGACTTGCTGCTTGGCTCTTTTGACGTGATCTGGATGTTCTATCCGTAGGAGAAGGAAGTGGATTGGACTCTGTTCCGTTGTAGATGATGATGTGCTGTATGATTGAACCTGTGCAATATTCGCAGATAGACTAAAATTGTCTCTCAGGATGCCGTATTTGAATGAGTCGAGGAGGAAGCCGTCTTGCTCACTCGGCCGTCCCAAAAAGTATGCGCAACGTCCTGGAATGTCTTCGAGTGTATATGTAGTATTGCTTAGTATGGTCTGGTCTCTGAGTAGTATCGTCCGCACAGTTTCTGTATCTGCCGTTGACGAGGTCACTGGGCTGTGTACGAAGTTTTGATGCACCAAGATAGCTGGGTCGCTACATTGCGGCAGGAAGGAGTCTGGTTGATGGTACAGAGTTGTTGGGCTTAAATAATAAGGGACTGCTGCTTGTTGAGACGGGCTTGGCGGCACACGATTGGCGATTGGTGGTGCTGTTACATTGAATGAGCTACCATGATTGGAAGTATTCGACTGCAATTGCTGTTGTTGGGCGGTCTCCGGTTCATCCTCTTGTGCCCCGTCTTGAAGAATGGCAGGCCGTTGTATGTCTTGGGCGTCACTTACTGTCGTGGAGGTGGACTGACATGCGATGCCTCTCCGTCTACACGACTGACCTAACAATTACGGTTACATTGCTGAACAATCTCAGGCAAATCTACAGAGACGGTGGGAATTTGATGCAAAGTCGAAGATCGAGTATGCCAGAATGACAGGAAAGGAACCTTACAAGGCGGATCGGTTGCAATAACGCATGCTGTCTTGCGTTTCCGGCAAGCGTCACATGGACGGTTCTTCCGGCTCCTTGGCCGTCGTGGGTTACCAAAGGTGCTTTTGATTACAAACTTGCGAGGAGGGCGTCGATGCCGGCGAGATTGTTGCCGCGGCATACTATCGACGGCGACTTCATCGGTTGGTGCAGAGATGCTGTTTGAGACATTCATGCTCAATGCTCACTCGGCGATATTGACCTTTGGGCCCACAAAGTCTAGGGAGAGGTTACGGTTGCGACAATGGTCGATGCGTTACATCAATCCATGGATTCAATGATATGGTGAGGCGGGGAAGTAACCACTTTGGTTGGCCGGCGTGGCTTATAACCTATCATCGCCGCGGTGTCGGTAGATCGTGCTAATGCTCGACTAGTGGTGTTACTAGTAACGGCGAACTCATACAGCAAAGCCTTCCTTCGCCGAAAAGATTCGTCTCCATGCCGCATCTGCGCGAGAGGCACGCCGCTCTTCGTAATTCCCACATTTCCATGGAGCTAATTGCTCCCAGATAAGGTGAGTCCACGCTGAGATTGTCTGTTGTCCTAAACTAACTGATTTTTTAATGGCTATCTAGAATTAGAATCACTTGTATAGCCAATAGCATTAGCTATTTGTCCCCTAAAACTTATCACCCCGCAAAATGGGATCCAAACCATCTTCGTTAGGGGTCATGATCGAGGAAGTGCGCCAGTGATTACCCCGGACAATCAAATCTTCCCCCGAATGTCTCATCGTTCCACAGCCCGGATCGTTGCCACCGTCATCATCATAGCGTAGCGGCAGTGCGTCTATCTTTGTCACGAAGTACAGCAGGTCGCTTTGCGACCTTGTCACTTGTTATCATCATATGCGTCCAGACTGAGACACAGAAGAAGCGCCACAGCAACACCAGAGGACATCGTCCGTCTATAAAAGGTAGCTTTTATCCATTATCCCCTTGGGTCCCAAGTATTAATGACATTTCTGAATCCAGCTTAAATCTGCTGGGAAACAACACGCGCAGTCTCCGCTTCCTCGCTATCAAAAGTGAGCCTCTTTCCATCTGCCATGAGCACTAGTTGGGCAGCAGTCAAGCATAAGCTTGAATGGTCAGTAACTTGTATCATACCATACGATACCATAATTTAATACTAACTCAGCGTATTAGTCCTAAAGACGAAGATGCCAATTATGAAAATACGACTTGGTGCAACCGCGACTTGATCCCAATCCCTCCAGATCGCCGAACGTTTCACATATGGTCCTATCTCGGTAGCATACGTCCTACGACTCTTGGCTATGCGAAATACTGATCAGTACAACAGGTTACTGGACTGTGTCTGGATCTAATCTCTCTGCGTGGTCCTTGGGCAGCACTCTTCTCGCGTTTGGACTTAGCCCCGCAGAGGCAATTGGAGTACTTGTACGATCGCCTCGCTTGAAATGTGCAATATCACTATTACTAACCGATTATTAGATATTAGGAGGCTTTCTTACTGGTTGTCTTGCGGTTGTGGCCGGGTGGCCTGGAGCAAAACACAACATCGGCTTTACTGTTTCCAGTAGATTCTCTTGGGGCATGAGGGGATCGTACTGTACGTATGACTTTCTTGAGTATATTCTTGCCTTCAGGCTACTAATATAGTGGAGAAATAGTTCCCGTGATTATTCGTTGCTTTACAGGCTGTATCTGGTTCGGCATTCAGGCATTCTGGGGAGCTCAGGCAACTAGGGTCACTCTTGGAGCTATCATTCCTGGTGAGATTGTGACGATACCAAATAATGTTTGCATTTAGGCAAACATGATCTTCTAACTTGTTTTGATAGGCCTCGCCCATATGCGAAACAGCTTTAGCGAAAGTTCTCACCTTGCAACGAACGATTTTATTGGGCTCGTCATCTGGATGTGTGCCTTCATCCCCGCCATCCTCATCAAGCCGGAGAAACTACAGATCCCTTTTCTTATTTGCTTTTTCCTCTTCTGTGGCTCTTGTTTTGGTATACTAATATGGTGAGAATAGTCGAGGCAACTCCTTCAGCTGGTATACTGGCCCAACTAACACTGATTCAGGAGCGTCTCAACTGCCAATGGGGTTGGTGAGCTCTTTCACCAGAAAAAGGATACCACGAACATGGGCTGGGCCTTCATGTTTGGTATCACCTCGGTGTTGGGCGCTTGGGGATCGGGGACGCTCGGCCAATCTGATTGGACTCGATATGCAAAGACTAAACATTCACCGACTCTGTCTCAGCTGATTGCAACTCCACTGACAATTACAGTAACCGCCGTCATTGGTATCATTGCCACAAGTGCATCAAATCACATATTGGGTGGAGAGATTCTATGGAATCCTATCTATTTACTGGCAGCAGTGCAGGAACACTACCACTCTAGTCCAGGGGTACGAGCGGCGGTCTTCTTCGCAGGCATCGGGATTGTGGCTTCACAGCTTTCAGTAAGTAAATACAGCTTTCGTTCTGTTTCCAGGTGGCGAGCCTATACCATTGCTTACACCGATCCTCAGATTTCCATTGTATTAAATTCCATGTCCACTGGTATGGATTTGGCGGGATTATGGCCAAAGTACATCAATATCCGACGCGGTTCGTACGTCATGATGGTTGTGGGCATAGCCACACAGTAAGTCTACACACAGCTTCATCGCCAGTGATGGTTGAGCTTTGACTAATTACTTCTTTAGGCCATGGCAGCTTCTCGCAACGGCAAGCAAGTTCCTCACAGTTCTTAGTGGCTTCGGTGTATTCATGGGCCCGTTGACGTACGAAATCAGGCACCTTAGAGTACACACAGCTGCTAATATTTTACAGTGGTATCCTGTTGGCTGATTATCACATCCATTGGCGACGCAAACTACAGCCGAACGATCTCTACGTTGGAAACGAGCATTCAGCATATTGGTATCAGCATGGGTTCAATTGGAGACCATTTATTGTTTTTATACTGTGCATGTGGCCAGGGCTACGTTTGTCTCCCCGAGTTCCGCCCTTGTAGCACTCAGCTGACCCAGAATACCATGTAGCTGGCCTTGTCGCGACCGCCAATGGCTATACGGACAAGAAATACCAGAATTGGATCCATATTTACAACATTTCCTTTCTTCTTGGCCTCACAACCTCATTTGTATTATTCACTGTTGTAAATTATATCTGCCCTGTTGGGGTCCCAGCCAAAGAAACCCTTTTTCTCTCTGGGGAGGCACTTGATGAGGAGTTGCCTAACACAGCCGGCAAAAAAGACCAGATAAAAGTTGACGGTGCTCCGAAGACGATTAATAACATATGGATCAACGGAAAAGAATAATCTGTTTACTCCGTAGTCTTGTCAATATATTCATTTCGCCCTTGGTTGCTTTGCTTTTCCACCAACACTCGAGTGCCAAGTGCCCCATTGAAGACTTCAATCCTGCGCCAACGCACGCCCTATGCAGCCGTTTCCGTGGGGACGCGGCCAAGGACAGCGGATCGCCATCGCCCCGCAAGGAGCAAAGAGAGGGATGGAATGCCCCGCGGTTTGAAGGGGGCCCGCCCCGCAAACTGTGCGGGAAACATGGTGTGGCTGTTGGTAAAGAGAGTGATGAGGATGTCACTTCTTGCACGGAGTAGAATGGCGGGTGATGGCTATAATATGCAGTAGAGGAATCTAGCCAGACATCACCAACCAGGCTCATAACAGCCACGGCCACTACTTGGCGGAAAGAACGACAGCTTGTAGGTTATTCTAGAGATCAATCACAAATCACAATGAGCAGCGTACGTATGCCCCGCCTTCTATGAGAGAGCCGCATGTTCTAATAACTGTCTTATAGAACCCGTCTCTCACCAACTTCAACGCTGGCGCTTCCGTGCTGGATACGGAAGCAATTGGACCCAGTGGACAAAGTATTGCAGAGTGGAGACGGAAGCATGGCATCGATCCAGCGCAGCAGATTCGTACTGTCAGGCTGGTACACATGCGATACCAGCATCCCGACCTTAAGAGTATCAGCACGTTTCTCAACGACTTTGGCATGCGTGCTGTAAAAGAGACTGGAGACCGCGTGTGGTTCCGGGGATACGGGGTTGACCAGTACGTCTACTACGCCCAGAAGGGCCCCAAGAAATTTCTCGGTGGGACATTTGAGGTAGAGACGTATGATGATTTGGTCAAGGCCTCTAAGCTAAACGGTGCTGGCCCCATTCAATCACTGGACGATGCACCCGGTGGTGGCTCCTTGGTTACCGCCTTGGATCCGGAGGGGCTCCCGATCAATTTCATCCATGGCCAGGAGCCCGCGAAAATAGGCAAGATGCCTGAGACACTCATTGTCAACTTTGAGGCCGACAAGCCGCGCAGGCGAAAGTTCCAGCGCTTTGATGAAGGGCCGGCTGCGGTGCACAAGGTTGGAACAGACCCTTGCATACTCTCTTATGACTGGGTACTCACTAACGAGACAATGAAACAGCTTGGTCACTACGGCCTCTGTGTACAAAACTTCGCCGAACAACTGGACTGGTATACTCGTAACTTTAATTTCGTACCCTCAGATCTGCTCTTTGTACCAGATGAGAACAACACCACCAAGGACGTCGCTGTCTTCGCCCATATTGATAGAGGCAACGACTATGTCGATCACCACACCATCTTCCTGAGTCAAGGGCCAACATCACATGTTCATCACTGTTCATTCGAGATTCACGATTTCGACACCCAGCAGCTAGGCCATCAATGGCTGGCTGGGAAGGGATATAAGAGTGTGTGGGGCGTCGGCCGCCATATTCTGGGAAGCCAGATCTTTGACTACTGGTGGGATACAACAGGCAACATGATTGAGCATTATGCAGACGGAGATTTAGTCAATCAAGATACGCCTATTGGACATTTGCCTGCAGGCAACGAGAGTTTGGCGGTATGGGGTCCTGAGGTGCCCAAGGCATTTTTAGATTAGTGGCGGCAGTGGGGAGAATAGGTACTCAAGGTATGGACATCATGACTGCTATTAATATGCATATCGACTTTCTATGGCAGACTTCTTGCTTGCACGATTTCGATTCCCTCGAAGCTTTCAAGTCAACAAAGGCCTTACTTGTGCTAAATCCATAGTATGATTTCCCGGCGTGTTACCACACATCTTTATTACAATTGGCACAAAACGCCAGCGACGTAGAAGACTAAACCCTGTCGTCGGACTCCTAATTCTGAAATACCGAGGCAGTAAAAGCGACGATTATTTTACCTCCCGGACTTATCAATAAATAAACCCACACCACACGTTACTACATTTGACCTGTTGAGCAGGGTCTTAAAAAAAATTAGATTCAGCTTCATCTGTAAACTTTCAAGTTCATTTAGATTCATTTGGAGATTTTGAATTGCCGTATTACTTTTCTTGTAATATGTAGAAATGTATTGCTGCTAACCCCCCACCCTTACCCTGCACTTGTGGTGGTTTGGTGTTTTAGCGCATCCGAAGCTTTCATACTGGGACTCTCTCTGAGCAGAGCCCTGTGATTGGCTGTCAGTCTAATTTTTGAACAATTTCGGAAAACAAAGCTTTGAACTTAAAGTTGGGTTTAGACTGGATTCGCTTGAACTGATTTGAGGGTATCTGTTTTGCTGAACAGGCTTGATGCTCGGGGGAGGAGAGGCAGAAAAAAAGAAAAGATGTTGGCGATAGAGTCAAATAGAAAATAAGTTTCTGGGCTTATGATACATCTTATTATGCTATGCTTAGAAAATACAGTAGCTACTACCAGGCACGAAAAGCACTCTCCCCACACTATAGAGCTCCAGTCGCGACAAGCTTGCGAAGCATCTGAGCAGCATAGACCAGGTCAGGTCTTGTATCGCAGGCGGCAAAAACAAATCTATCAGGCCGCAGAATGATGAATGTTTTGTTACCCACTTCTTTGGACATGCGATGCGGATCATAGCCCATGGGCTTGGGTCTTCCTGCGCACAGGACTGGGTCGCCAGCAAACTCTGCGGCAGTGGCGAGCCGGTAGAAGTGCCGTCCCTTCAAGTCACAGGGGACAGCTTGAGTGCTGTCGAGGAATATTGTGGCCTCATCGTCCCTTAAGGCCCCGTCGGATATCTCTTGCAGGCCGTGAAGGCTTGTCTCCACGCTGTCGAAATTGCCCTGAGACCGTAATATCACAACCACCTGAAATAGGCCCTGTTTTTGACGACTGAATATGACGTCGTCAGTGAAGAGAACCTTTTCGATTTGTGGAGTATTTGTAACGGGAACGACGTAGACCTGGGGAAAATTCTTGCCGCCGCCAAGTCTAGGTAAAAAGGCCATCCCCATTCCCCCCTGCCACTGATACTTAACCATCCCGTCTCTGCGGTTTCCCAACTGCAGCCAGTGTTTCCAACTTGGAACGAGCTGGATTAGCCAGAGATACCAGTCACGTAGGAATACTTTAACGCGACTGGATTCAGTCACATAGTTTCCGTTCTCAACGGTGGATCGGAGTGACTTGTCCAGCTGTTGTTTTCGTTCTGAATACCAGCCTTTGAGAAGTGTCTGGTAGTCCAACGCATCCTGGCTTCTAGAAGAGTCATTGGTTGCTATACGCAGACGCCACACGAGTGAGATGGCATCGCGAAATGCCGACGCGATTCCTTGGCCTCCAAATGGAGGGAAAACATGAGCAGCGTCTCCGCAGAGAACGACTCGGCCAAGAGACCATTTATTGCAGCTTCTTGCCGAGAACCGAAATGGCCGACAACGAAGAACCTCTACACAATCTAGCGGGTATTGGATTTGCTTCGTTGTGAGCCCGTAGCGACTCCCTGGATGAGTTATGTAGGGGTAAACGACCCTTGCAATCTGGTCTGGCGTTGCCATGTCCCCAGGGTCCTCACCCGGCCGAACCACAAATTCGAAACGCCAAAGTCTGTCGCTATCGAGGCCGAAACGACCACAAACGGCAGGTCGGACATGGTTGCACATGAACCGGAAGTCAGTAGGAAAGAATTTGTCGTAGACTTCCTGGGGCGTATACCCTTTCTCCCAAAGGGGGAAATCGGGATGTGTCTCAGGCGAGGGAAGGGAGATCTTCCAGTTGAGGGCAATCCAATCCTCTTCGTACGGCATTCTCATGGCCTGGTCCAAAGTGATGCCTCGAGGCTCCAAATATTGCTTGCGCGTGAAGCCTGTCTTGCCATCTGCACCGACGAGAAACTTGCCGCGAACGGTACGATCTTGATTAGATGTGTCGGTGTAGCGCGCATATACCCAATCTTCGTCCTCCCATATGGCTGTGACACGTGCTCCTAGATGCATTTCGCCTACACCCAGCGTCGTTATTTGTGACCGCAGGTGCTTCTCTACGAATGGCTGTTTATGACACATGAAGCCTGGATGGCCAGTACCACCCTCGGTCTGTGCTTTGTTGTTAGCCAACTTGCATCCACTAGACACATTTATCGAGAAATACTACTCCATTTCACGTACCGTGCTGTAATCCATCATCATGAAAGGTTTTCTGGTGAGGTCATGATGATCCTTGTCGATAAATCTGAAGTTGCCCATGCCTAGAGACACGGTGAGCAAGGTGATCTGTAACTGAGGATGACAATAATGGGCATGCTAACACTGGCCTATCTCCGTGAATATCTTCTCGTATATTCCACACGCCTGGAGGTAGCGGATGCCATCTTCGTCGAGTGCGATACCGCGTGGGTCTGCATTCACTTCGCTGTCTTTTTCGAGAACAACATGGTGTATAGAGTACTGACTTAAGAGCACTGACACCATAGCGCCAGTTGGCCCACAGCCACATACAATAACATCAGTCGTCTCGAAAGGACCCTTTTCTGCCATGATTAATCATTTAGCGAATGCGAATATCAGTTTACTTTGCCGACAGCGTCCTGAAATATCCAAAGCTGTCCAACATTTCATTATCCTTCCTCTTGGCCCCACGGTTCGTTGTGCGGGGACTTTGCGGGGCAGGTGGGAAGCTTTGAGGCGTGGGGAAGATATGCTGTAAGATCTAAATAAGACGACTGGAACTTAAGCCCCTCGCCAGCCAAACAAATAACAGCCAGCAAGACAACAGGAGTGAGCTGGCCATTCCATTCACCCAACGCCAAAATGCCAAACTGGACTCACTTGATTCGCTTCAGGGCCGTCGAAGATGGTCAAGTTCATCTAGGGCAAGTAATTGATACTTCACGAGACGTTGGAATCGACTGCTTGAATGGCGTCGAGGTCAAAGCTTTCTTAATTAATGGAGATATATTCAACGGTACAGTGACCGATAATATACTTACCGTAGATCATGTGAGCTACCACTATTTTCCAAGATTGAGAAAAGGCTGACAATTGCTTTCACAGCTACTGTCCCCAGTTAGCCGAGAGCAGTGTAACTACATTAGGTGCCTCGGACTCAACTATAGAGATCACGCTGAGGTAAGTGCAGAAGAATATCCATATGGCTTCCACTACTCGCATTATACTTACGTGCTGTCCATGGATCAGGAAGGCGGATTCCCGATTCCAAGCGAGCTCGAAGTTTTCACAAAGCCTCGAGCGGCACTCACAGGCCCATATCCGGCAGCAATTACTATTCCAAAATGCGCCCAAGACGGAACAAGCGACTACGAAGCCGAACTCTGTATAATAATTGGCAAAACTGGTCGAGACATTCCCGAGGATAAGGCTCTGGACTACGTCCTTGGGTATACTGCATCAAACGATGTTTCGGCGAGAACCCTGCAGCTTGCGGCTAAACAATGGTCATTTTCAAAGGGCCTTGACAATAGTTGCCCGATAGGTGTGTTTTAGGGCGGGGATTGGCGTATTGAAGGTCACTAACAAGTTTGCAGGGCCAGTGCTTGTTTCTCCCTCGGTCATTGATGATCCACAGTCTCTCAGCATCAAGGCGATTTACAACGGCCAGACGGTTCAGGATGGTAACACGAAGGACATGATCTTTTCGATCAAGAAGCAAATCTCTTGCCTTTCTCGAGGAACGACGTTGGAAGCAGGATCAATCGTGCTGACTGGCACGCCGGCTGGTATTGGGTATTTCCGAAAGCCACGTGTGAGCTTGGAGAACGGAAGCAGGATTGATATACATATTGAGAGAATTGGAACGCTGGTGAACAAGGTAAAATATGATATTTTATAAGGCTGAGGAAAAGATCCAAAAAAGATATACGTTATGTAGTTGCGAATTTACCCCCATTGATCAATCGAAATTAGGAGTATACCTCCGATGATTGATAGTGTCCCATTGAAGCGCCCCATCCAGGCATATATTAGAGACACTTGTATTATTTCTAACTTACAAGTTCAGTTCTTAATCCCCCTGCATCTCAAGATACAAAGTAGTCCTGGAGATCATGATGGAGATTAGATGAGGCCTTGGCAATTGCTGGCTAAGATACCGTTAGGTGGTAATCCATTGGGCGACGGAACAACGAATTCATAGGAAGACTCATTCGCCACCCTATTAGATACTTCAAAAGGACACCACCATGAAGTATAACTGCGCTTGTTTCGCTTCTCCTCTCCAAATTTGTAGGAAGGTTTCGTGGTGCGGCCGCGATCCTTCTACAGAATCGTGGGGCACAGGCTGGGGCCCCGCAACTAAACTTCTACTGCCATGTATTCAATATTTTCCCCACGATCCCCCACCCCCAGTTTGCGGGCTGTAGAGATCTGGGAGGAACATTAAGAGAACATCAAAGTCACTATAATGGTATGAAGACCATCGAAATTTCCAAATGGAAGAAAAAATCTCTGACACGATATTTTCATTATCGAAAATGGAGAGAGCCGAACAGGTTTCCAACCACTCGCCTGTGCCGTCCCAAATTGAGAGGGGGGCCGAGGCCGACCTTGTGCCAGGCACTGAAGTTATGACTGCTATAGAAGGGGCGAGATCCGACAATCAAGACTCAATCGTCCTTATTCCACAGCCAACAAATGATCCACACGATCCACTTGTCAGTTTCATCCTGTCTTTGTCTTTGTCTCTTTCTTGCCGTCTTGTACCCTCTTCTCTTACACCCCTCCGTTTGAGTCTCTGACGGAGAGGCCATCCACACTTTCCAGCTATTTCCGCCTTTTTGAGAAAAATGACTTTGGTGGATCTATTGGGAGCTAATTGAGATTCTTAGAACTGGAGTACCTTGTGGAAAACTTTGGTTATTGTCAATCAAGGCATCTTCGTGATCACCAGCGTCATTCCAACTCTGTCCATAGCGCCATTGACACCGATCTTCATGCAGCAATGGCAAAAGTCATTGACCGATGTCGCTTTGTTGGTAAGTAGGTTTCGTCTCCTATTTTTCCAGTCTTATTATCTCGTAGGATTGTTTTCTTGCGATAGGACGGCATATCCTTAGCCAATCTTGATTGATGGCTTACCTCCTTCTGCACCCAAGACCGTGCTGGAATAGTGTTGCTAATACTCTCAAGACCGGAGTCACTGTTATTCTTCTAGGTTACTGCAACTTCATCATCATCCCTAGCTGCGAGATCTTTGGACGACGGGTAACCCTCCTTGCCTGCGCGATACTAAATATTGGTGCTTGCATCTGGCAAGCAACGGCAACGTCGTATGGCTCGTTCCTAGGCGCCCGGATTCTCGCAGGAACCGGGGCTTCTGCAAACGAGAGTATTATGAATGTCGTTGTTACTGATATTTATTTTCTCCACGAGCGTGGCAAATATGTTGGATCTTACTTGTGAGTTTCAACTTCACCTACCCAAGTTGCAGTTCCCTACTTACCCATAGCCCAAGCTGGTGTTATTTTATGGGTCTCTTCCTTGGCCCTATCATCTCAGGCGCTGTCGCAGAGCATGTTTCCTTCAGGATCTTCTTCTGGGCTTGTACCGGTGCGCAGGGGCTCAACATCATTGCACTGTTGTTTTTCTTTCCAGAGACACGTCGTTCGCGAGAGCAGAGTCCTATTCCAGGGGTCGCCGTATCTCAGGAAGCGAACGTAGATAACGCCAAAATAGAAACGAGCTCAGGACATGCCGAATTTGTTTCCTCACCACAGATCCAGAGCCTCCACATGGAGATTCAGGGGAGCGGAAGGCCTAGTCGGTCTCAGTTTGGCATCTTTCAGCCCATTGACCGGACTGCCTGGCGATCGGTAGTCCGGCATTTCTTCACCCCAGCATATATCCTCTTCTTTCCCATCATCTTCTGGGCATCAATGGCGACTGGATCAGCGGCAAATGCCCTCTTAGCAGTCAACATATTACAGTCCCCAGGCCTCTCTGCGCCGCCTTACAATTTCACACCGGCGCAGGTCGGATACGCTAATTTTGCACTCGTGGTTGGAGGTGTATTCGGACTCGCCGTCGCTGGACCATGGTCGGATTATGTTTCACAAAAGGCGACGATAAAGAACAAGGGTATTCGGGAACCGGAGATGCGACTCATATCCTTGAGCCCATTCATTGTGGTTGTTGTTGTTGGACTTATTGTGAGGACACACATATGAGAAACCTGTGAGAAACCAAGCTAATCATATCATGCGCAAAGGTATTCAGCGTTGGTTTGCAAGAAAAATGGCCGTGGCCCGCCATCATCATCATCGGCTTTGGCTTTGTAGGCATCCAAGTCGTCGCGATCCCTACCATCACCATCACATACGCCATTGACTGCTATAGGCCAATATCGGGAGAGATTATGGCTATTGCAACGGTCTGCAAGAACACATTTGGAGTAAGCCGATTTTCTTTCCGTAAATTATCTTACAACCTTTTGGTACAATGTGCTTACAACACTTCTCGCAGTTTGGGATGACATATTTTGTGAATGATTGGGCTACAGCAGACGGCTTTGTACCGCCAGTTATGCTTCTTATGGCGATGACTGCTGGCTTCACACTGGTGGGGATGGTCGCATTGATCTTCTTCGGGAAGAGCTGCAGGCGCAGCACGCGAAATTCGAGAGTGCATTCATTTTAGTCCGCCCAGGTACTTGGCAGTAGTAGACCATCGCGATTGAGTCTTTATATTTTATAGTCTTATCGACTGGCGCCTTAACAGGCGAAGTTCGGAAAATTCCTAGCTGGCTGTGTGACTGTCAAAGTGGGCTAAATGCCACCGTAGACTATGAGTCAGTTGAGTACCTGTAAAGAGACGCATTGTCTACAAATACCCACGTGGACAATATATGCTCACTACAATGCAAAGGTTATGAAAAGAGACGTGATAATTGGAGCCCTCACTAACAGTCTGGGGAATATGCTTGTCTCCGCACTTCCTGGAGTTCCGGACATTTGGCTAGGGCTTTCATTAGTGCATGCCCGAAGTTTTGGTTCTAAATCTATAAATCCCCGTACAATCTCTTGGAATGCGGGGATGCATTTCCCACACGCACTCTCTCCGTCTTAGTCTTCCACACAACGGGCGATTCCCCACAAACCCCAGATTCCCACGATGCCGGCAGACAGCGGAACCGCAGGTGTTGAAGGTCAGACCACAAGGCACCATGAAGCCGAACTCCAGCGTAAGCTACGGAGTCGGCAATTTAGGGGATGGAAATGCCCGCATTGTGACCAGGCCTTCAAGAAGAGAGAGCATATGGTCCGACATATCCGATCTCATACGAAAGAGAGGCCATTTGCGTGCGACATTTGCTCTAAAAGTTATGGGCGCCGGTAGGCTCTTCATTCACAGCTGCTTTTTGAATGGCCTCTCACAACCGACATCTATAGTGACTCTCTGATCCGACACGCGCGAACACATGACCGCGTGGGAAATGGGACCGTTTTGATGACACGGCCGCTGATGCCCTCGCCTACAGGTTTGTCCAAAAGAGACTGGCGCCGCTGTTCCTCTCAAGTAGCTATGCTCTGATAAGAGACGCAGGTGAAGATTCCACAGCCAGCCATCCGTCACTCATTCGGCGGTCCGATATTCATGACGACGTGTTGTCTACAAATGATCCCCCAGATGAATCAGCATGCTTTTCTGATTCAATTGGCTTGGCGACGGATAATATTCACCCGCATAATAATTGGGCCGCGTCCGGAACGGATATTGAGCCTACAGCTTATCTTTCTTCTCCCCTGAACTCCTCTACACGCGCGGACACTAGTTCCCTTAGTGTTGATCAGGCCTCTAATGTTTGGGGAAGTTGGACAGATTTAGAGTTGTTCGATTTCGGGGGCAATACTTATGACCCGTCTTGGCTGGTGGGGAGAAGTTTCGATATTAATGTCCTGACTTCCTCCATCTCGGCAGCCGCTTCGCCATGGGTATACGGCGATTTTTCTGCTAATCTCACTGAAAGCCAGCTAAATGAACGCTCCGATGGAGAACACAACGTAGAACAGTCGATTGCCGATAACAACGTCCGAACCCAAGTCCGAAACCGATGGCACACGCGGCCACTCATCGAATCAGCGCATCCGTACGCGCTCAAGAGACCGGAAAACCCGGATCGGGTTGATGAAGCGTATCGTGCTGGTCTTTCAAGCCGGCTTCGGCCCAGTCCTCATGATGATGTTCTGCCATCTGCTGACTTTCTGGTATGCCCTGATGCTATCCGAGTAGCATATCTAGACTTGGCCATAATTAACCAAGCTGACGGTGTAATAGAATATATGCATCAAGCTGTACTTTGCCAAATTCCAGCCCATATTCCCCATCGTTCACGCCCCTTCGTTTCGACCTTCTTCAGAGAGCGCACTTCTCCTTCTATCCATTTGCTCTCTGGGAGCCCTATTCGTAGGATCAGCTGGCGCTGCTGCTCGTGGTAGAGGAATCTTTATGAAATTGAACAAGGCAATTCTAGCATCGGTGTGTCTCCATCATTTTCTCTTCCTCGCTAGTTCTAACTCTACCAGTGGGAAGTCTATATCTACCGAGGCGGGCGCGAAGCACTGGCTGTAGCACAAGCCGTTGTTCTGGGTCAGACATTTGGAATGCTCTCCGGCAACCCAAACGATCTCTTGTTGACTGAAAGTTTCCATGGCACCGTCATTGCATGGGCCCGGCAAGCTGGGATGTTCAAAATTAAGGATTCTCTCCTAGAAGCCAACCATTTCGATCCTGATGATTTAGAAACAGCGTGGGCATCATGGTCTCAAACAGAGGAAACTGTTCGTGTGCTGGCGGCATTGCACATTCACGACTCTGAATTCGCGACTATTTTCCACCATGAACCATTGTTACGACACGAGCCAGGACGACTACCGCGCTGCTGCGCAGATGAGCTATTCACCGCCTCCACAGCTTCTCAGTGGCAAACAATGATCAAGTCGCTACACTCTTCCCCATCAACAAGCGAGTCGCAGCATCACACTCCGTCTGTAGGTGTGACTACAACACCAAATGCCCACTCTTTCATGAACGCGTATGTGCTACTTTCCGGCCACAATGCGGCCATTCAGGAAGCACGATGTGCAACTCTAACTGAGGCAATGATTGAAGACTTTCATTACCGTCTAACAACGTGGTACGATGCGTACTTTCCAAGCATCCGTTATCGTGACCCCCACTTCCTCATTGTGCTCTGGCATGAGACATTCATGTCACTGTACGTTTGCTTCGACTTGTTAGAACGCGTGATAGGGCGTGAAGGGTCGTTAATGAGGGACGGAGACCTCGCGCGCATCCGTGATTGGACGGCAAGGATAGAAGGGCAGCGTTGTGTCATTCACGCTATGCTCATCTACAAGCGCCTACAGACACTACCCATCATCGCGGAGCCTGCTATCCATGTGCCAAAGGCGCTGTTTTATGCAGGCCTAGTCGTATACTGCTATGCCAAGTTTCGACCAAACGACGCTCCCCATGGTGATGTAGATATTCCCGAGCTACGATCAAGCGACCTTGGACGCCTGTCGACGCAAACGCAAACTTCGATGGAGCCGCCTACAGCTAGCCTTCGCCAGTTCGATCCGAGCACATTGTACAACATTACTGACCTTCTCCGCCGTCAAGGGCACTGGGAACTATCTCGCAGATTTTCCTCGATCTTAGAAGCGCTGATCGACGACCTTGCAGATTCTACAGTCGGCAATCTCTAAGATGAAGCGTCTTGGCCGCACGACAACCCACCGCCTTTCCACTGTTAAATAGGTGTATTCTTCCATCAGTACCATCAATGTAATCGAGCTTTGCCCTGATTCTGAAACTACCAAACCGTCGTTGCAAATGTGCCTTTTGTGGGATGCTTCAGGAGTGGCCTTGTGCGTTATGATCGGAATTTCAAGCTCAGTATTTTACCACAGACACATAGGCCTAGGCTGTTAAGACAATCTCATGATTCACGCATCAGGGTGGCCATGGCGAGACAACCCTGGTTGTGATGTATTCTCGCCTATGAAGCCTTGACAAATAGTTGCACAATCTGGAGACAGTGGTTGTGCTGCCATCAGTACATCAATCTTTGTGAGTAAACATTAAAATTTTATAGGCATTTATGAACTGACTCGATTTCGAATAGTAGTTAATGGAATAGAATGGACAAACCTTCTAATTTAAACACAACTGTTTTACTACCAACGAGCTATTTGAGCAATTCAAGTATGCACTAAGAATATATGGAGTTAACTCGGTTTTTACATGACTTACTAGCTAAGATATACAGGTCTTTAGCTGCTAGAGTTGTCTAAAATGATACATAAGTCAGGTGTCATGGTGTTGATCAATCCATAGTCAAACTTGTCACATCTATCTCATACGCTTATTGTAGTAACCATAACAGTCGGGTTGTGACGATTAGTTATCCATAACCCCTTTACGCCAGCCTAAAGGCAAGATGCTATTTGTCCGTAAACTACGGATAAACCGGAAACGATCTATGTCGGGAGTATTGATAGCGTGAATTAGATTACCTAGCTCAACGAAACAATTTCCGTAGCCGGTATAGCTGGGCCAATATGGAAGACTTCCATTTGGGTCATTCGGATCTCCAGTTTTGGCGAAGTTAGTCCAATAAGATCGTATCGTCTCCGACATGCTTCATGTCTCCAGAGTCAGCTGGGGAAAGAGGAGGAGTATAGGTGAAACTTTCGTTTGGCCCCATGTTACCAAAGACATAATTCATTTCTGCGGTATGCATAGCCAACGGAGAGTAGGGAGAACTGTATGTAAAGTAGTAGCCATATCCTTTCTGGCCCCCTACTAACACATGCCTATCAAGAGCTTCCCAAGTTTGCTGCCGGATAACCAGATCGCCGGCAAGAGCGTTTGCGGAGTCATTGGCCTAGATATAGGTGGATCCAGGATATACTTGTAGTGCCTCATCTGTTCTGTTTCCAAAAAAAAACGTTTTTACAGACGATATGTAGTCCTCAGATGTCTCGTGAGGCAGAGAATGTGCAAGAAAAAAATCCTCTTCGCGAGCATTGAAGCCAGCTAGGACAGGCACCGGCTGTTCATCTCTGTTGTCGAAAACGACACTTGGTGCTGTAGGAACAACGTAATGATCGATGCTAGGCGCGAAGACGGTGGACCCGGGGTCAGTGCTTAGGTCCCATAACGCCGCATTGTTGACTTGTTCTGCAGGAAGAGATCGCAATTCTGCAATGGACGATGCATTGAGTTTTTGCTGCAGGGCTAAACCTCTCTGGCGAGCTTCAGAGAAAGTTGTAAGGGATCCGTGATCGCTTTCCCAATACGCGCCACTCTCCAGAATACCCTTATGAAATAGCCCAGTGGAGAGGGGCGATGCCAATAGCAAACCGACCGAATGTCCCCCCGCAGATTCTCCAAATATTGTAACATTATCAGGGTCTCCTCCAAATTGAGAAATATTATATCGGACCCAACGAAGGGCGGCTAGTTGGTCCTGAAGGCCAAAGTTGGTAGAGCCGCTACCTTCATCGTCAAGTTCCGATAATGCCAGGAACCCGAGAACTCCCAGGCGATAGTTGAAGCTCACCAGAACTACACCGTCCAGTGCGAGCTTGGTTCCATAATATAATGGCCTGTTAGAGGCTCCAAATTCGAAGCCTCCACCGTATATCCACACCATCACTGCCCTTTTTTCTGTTGTGTCTTTCGCCGTTGTCCATATATTCACTGTGAGACAATCTTCACCCTGTTCCGCAGGATCAGCGAGATCGGGGTCCAGCACAGCGCTGTAACAACTCAGTCCGAAGGCTGTGGCGTTTTGTTGAGCTCCATTCAAGCTGCGGAGGGGCTGAGGGGGTTTCCAGCGCAGGCTCCCGACTGGTGGTGCCGCAAAGGGAATTCCGAGAAACTCCAAGACACCAGCTGCGGTTCTAGGAATTCCTTGAAATACCCCTCCATTCACACTGACTCTCGACTCAATAGGGTCACTTCGGGCATGTTGCACCAGGCCTCCAAGGACAGCCGCAGCAAGAATTCTGAATATTCGCATATTAACATGTACGTACAGTTTGTAACGCAGGAATCAACTCCACCCTATTTCTTTAGATACACACCCTATACATTATATACTATTCCACCATTTCCAGGATTATCCAGCTACTCAACTCAAGAACCACAATCCCCACTGCTCACAGCGGATTCCACGCAATGTGCTTTTTGTGGGGTTTGTGGGGAAGCGGGAGCAATGCGGGAGCGGCGTCTCGGGCACAGCAGCAAGCCGATCACAAACAGCAAACTGATGCACAACAGCAGGCCGAAGCACAACAGGAAGCCGATACACAGCAGGAAGTTGATGCCAACCGGCAAACAGCAAACGGCCCCCTTTCATACTCTGTATTATTCCTTAGAAATACAATTACACACAAGTTTCTTCGTCACTCAAGGGCCTCTGCTGCAGAGTCCCCGCAACCCTTCCTCACATCCCACAACATCTCCGCCGAAGGTAAGAGGGATAACAACTCCCCACAACCAACCCTCTGCTTTGGGTTGGTTAAAATCAGCATCATGCTATCAGAGCAGCCAAGTACAGCCGTTTTAAAAGATGCACCGACGAGCAACTTAGTTACGATCCGCAGCAGCAGTCTTCGTTATGATCTTATTTGTCTCCATCAGCGTCCTTTTTTGGCAACTCACTTCAGTTGTGGCAATGGTTGACTCACATGGGGCCAAGAACCCCTTTGAACGCATCGACACACACTCTCACTTCGTGCCCCCATTTTATAGGGACGAATCTGTAAAATATGGATACGGTAAGCCTGATGGCATGCCTGGGATTCCGGTGAGCTCAACAGATCCTGCTTGGCATCGTATCAGCTACTGACGGATGGAAAAAGGCTTGGACTGAGGAGGCACACTTGGAGATGATGCGCAAGGCAAACATTACAAAGTCCATCCTTAGCATTACTTCTCCGGGTACGCACCTTGTTCCTGGAAACGACGCTCTCGCACGAAATCTCACCAGGCAGTGCAACGAATTCGCAGCCGATCTCAAGCACCGACATCCGGACAAGTTCGGCTTTTGGGCGTCGTTACCTCTTCCCGACGTCGAAGGTAGCCTTGCTGAAATAGACTACGCGCTCAACGTATTAAACGCAGACGGGGTGGCCATTTTAACCAATGCACACGGCGTGTACCTTGGCAACACTGTCCTCGGCCCCATCTTTGAGGCCTTGAATAAGAGGAACGCCACCATCTTCATTCACCCAACCAGCCCTTGCCTGCAGCACGGCGGCACGAGCCAGATCGTCGCTCCCTTGACTCAGTACCCAAACCCAATGTTCGAGTTCTTCTTTGATACCGCACGAACGGTCGTAGACATGTTCGTCTCGGGAACTATTGACAGATCGCCCAATGTCACAATCATTCTCTCCCATGCTGGAGGTGCCATCACCCCGCTCGTGGCTCGCTTCTCGGAATTTGCTACATCAATCTTGGGACTTCCCGTAAAGATAAGCACCGAGTCTGTCAAAAAGGCGTTCCAGACCCAATTTTTCTTCGACCTCGCAGGCTTCGTATTTCCGGACCAAATCCACGGTTTGCTGCCATATGTTGACGCAAGTCGGATCCTTTACGGCAGCGACTACCCTTACACTCCCGAATCTGGGGTTCTCGGTATAGTCGAAGATATGAACCAAGAGCTACCTCAAGTGTTCAAAGACCTTCATTCCCAAAAAGCGATATATAGAGAGAATGCAATGAAGATCTTGAGAGCCTAGTCTAGGATTTTAGAAATATAAGACTTTTCTTGATTTCACAATATTTAATATTCACGTTGTAACAATTTGTATTACAGCTAACCCAACGGAGCAATATATGACTTTTTCAATCTCAACAACTCATTTTCTTGATACGACACCACAAAGGACCTTCCTTCTCTCCTATCCCAACCGTTACAACTTTCAGGGGTTCATCTTTATCCACCGCTTCCAGCTCATAGTTCCTCAATACAACACTAACCACTTTCAACATATTCGCCATTGCAATATTTCGACCTATGCACATCCGATGGCCGGCACCGAAAGGCATTAAGTACTTGAGATTTTCTTTTGCATATCCATCTCTAAGCCATCGAGATGGCTTGTATTCATCGCAGTCTGGCCCCCAAATGCTGGGGTTATGATGTAGAGCGTGGTTGGTGATTGATACGTTTGTCTATTTCCTTTGTCTCAGTACGAAATCTGATGATAATGGCATCTGAATACTTACACCCGCTGGAATTTCTGTGCCTGCAATTACTGTCCCGCCCTGGGACATAACTTGTCGCGTAAGCGGCATGGTAAATACAGGCGTGTGCCGAAAATTCTCTCGCATACAGGCTGTCGTATAGGGCAGTTTGGCTTCCAATCCAGTGTAAGGATATGCACCCTGTTCGAGCAAAGGGAGTTCTCGCCTCATCTCCTCTACAACCTGAGAGTATATCTCGGAATCGTGAAGCAGATGATAAAATAAGAGCGTTAAGGTACCCGAAGTGGTGTGGGAACCTGCAACAAGAAAGCCGAATGCTTCAGATGAAATCTCAGTTACCGTAAGCTTTTTTCCTGTCTCAGGATCTTTGGCTTTCATGAGCTGTGATAGGAGAGTGTTTGACTTTTTCTCATCATTTTCTAACGTTTCTCCAAACATAGTCGACACGCAGCGCGCCACTGTGTTGCGAATACTTTGCCGGCTCCGATTAAGAGTCTGCAGCCAGGGTATCGGAAGAAAGCCGGACAATTTCATAGAGTAGGGAAGCAAGGAGGGTAGCGAGCCGTACAGACAGCCAAGAAAAATATGGTCGTTTATTGGGGGGAGATTTGACTCGTCGTCCTTGACCTGTGATTCGAATTGAGTATCAAAAGCAAGCTCGCCTAGTACATCGTAGGCGTAGAAGGCTATGATCTTTTTGAGGTTAAGCTTTTCTCCAGACTTGGCGTAGCGGTCTAGTTTATCCCTCATTTGCATAACATGTCGGTCAAAAATTTCTTCCATACTTATGAGGGAAGCTGTTGAGAAGCTATGTGCCATCTGTCGTCTCCGCAGCGCGTGAATCTATTCAGAAGGGTTAGAACTTCGGCTAGATAAGGGGTCATACGCGATTTGGACATGCCTCTTCATTACGGTTCCCAAATAAATTGGGGTCGAAAGTCGTAAAACCATCAAAAAATGAACTTTTCGTCATAGCTCGTCCGCCAGATTTAAAAATGGCCGATAGAGCTTCTGGGTCCCAAAAGCTGAGCTCATTCGGCGAAATGCGTACCACTGGGCCGTATTTCTCATGTAAGCTGAGGATCTTTTTGTCTATGCTCAACGAGCAAAAGTAGGAAGCCTTTGTAAAGTCCGTAATGCTAGCGGCAAATTCTCCGGGAAACTTTGCCAACGGATGAAAGTATCTTTGATATATGATGTACGTTGGAACAAGCCAAATGAGGCACAATGCTACAGCACACCACCCAAAAATACCATCAGCCAACCCTAGAGTCATGATAATGGAAGATAATGGAAATCGTATGACCTCTGATCGGGTATCACAAATAGAATGACTGAAATGAATGTCAAGACACCTACCAGGCACAAACAAATATAGATATATATGTGCGTGTTAGTGGTGCATGCACTGTGAAGTCAACATGGTTAATCGAGTGATGACAGCAAAGTCGCCAAAGGAGGAAGTGGCCTGAAATCTTCCGATTCATGTTTTCCGGCATTTGGTATTCCGTGACATTGATACAGGAGATTGGAAGTGTTGAAGTGAATTAGTGGGTTCCGAGTCCTCCGCTGGGGAAATAATTGCGTAACCTGAGCTCATGCGGATATTCACAGTTGCCAGAAGCGAGAGGATTCTTGCGCTTCGCCTCTCGTCTCTTATTCCCACACGATGTTGCTCTACGTACCTAGTATACCTGCCTATATGGCTCTACAATCCGTCCGTATCTTCAAATGTCACTCCTTGGTCAGAAAGAGGTCAAATTTGTCAATTTTTCATTCACAAATTCTGCACCAAGCGTAGCTGGTGTATATAAATAGCGATTGAGTTTGCACAACCTCTAATCCTTCTGTCTTCACTTGTAATATGAGCTTGTAATAGCAGCCAAATACGTGCAAGCGTTTGCGCTTTTCGGCAAATTGGCGTTTTTTAATCGGCACTTTGCTTCCCTGCGAGAATATGGCTCTGAATGTGCTGATCACTTGATGATTGGGCCAGAACTTGACAGGGAACTTTTATTCAACAGCACGGGGATCTTCATTTTGGACGCTGGAAAGCACCTTTGAACTGCCGGTCTTACAACGCTACAGCACACAGACTCCACTCACGGAATTCTACCCTCGGAATTTACTTGGACTCACGGAATGTCTTCACGGAATTTGTCACCTCGAGCCCCACTTACTTAGGCGGAATGGCTAAATGCATACCACTATACTGATATCAATGCAGCTGCTGAGGTACCAGATGCAAAGGCGCTCCTTCCTGGGTGTATACGCCGGATTTATTAATAAATAATTTGAGAGTGTCGGAATTTAATAGGTGAGACTCGGTGACTAGAAAAACTTTTAAAAGGATTGGAAAGGTGCTGGTTGAGGTCCCAAACAGTTTGCTCGAAGTAAAGTGTATAGAGTTTCTTCGTCTCAATGGATAGTACCACCACAGCTCCAGTATGTTTATTGGGACTTAGAGACTTTTCACTGCTAATATTTGCAGCTCCCACAACAGATTATGCACGTTGTCATTGCAGGTGCCGGCCTCGGTGGACTGTCATGTGCTATTGCGTGTCGAAAATGCGATCCGCCACTCAAAGTCACTATCCTAGAACGTTCTCCGGAGTTTCAACCAATCGGGGCAGGAATTCAGCTGCCTCCAAACGCAACCAGAATCATGGAACAATATGGTCTGTTGGAAACGTTGAAAGACGTGGGGGCAGTTGTCATGCAAAATCACACTTTGAGGCGATACTCGACCGGTGAGGTGATTGTCAATAAGCCGCTGGGGGCACGAGCGAAGCAAATTTACGGAGCAGAATGGATGTGAGTAACGATGTATCCAATTGTGTTGATAAAACGTTTTCTATGGGTTCAAAGTTTGCATATTCATCATATCCTTTGAGTGCGAGCAGGGTCATACACAGGGCCGACTATCAGAGAGTGCTCCTACAACACGCTCAAAACCTAGGTGCAGAGATACAAACCGGCGCTGAAGTTGTTGGTGTGAGCTCGGGGTACGAGGGAGAAGAAGGAAAAAGAAACCAGGAGAAAGTATGCCTGATCTTGAAAGACGGACAACGAGTATACGGTGACGCAGTCATTGGAGCAGACGGTACGAAAGTTCAACCCGTATTTTAATTTCAGAACTAATCATATAACAGGGCTTTGGTCCGTTACGCGAGAACACGTCCTCGGCCGTCCCTCACCACCAGTTGAAACGGGAGATTTAGCATACCGGGGTACATTTACTCGCAGCCAGTTAAGGCAACTAAACGACGAAAAAGTAAATAAACTACTCGATGACTCCAACATTCAAGTCTGGCTTGGACCAGAAAAACATGTTGTTTTTTATCCGGTTCGGAATGGAACCGAGTTCAATCTCGTCTTGATGTAAGCAAACAGGGTATCCTTGCAGTCTCATTCTATAACTGACCATTTCAAGCCGGCCGGATAACCTACCGAGCAATGTACGCACCTTTCATGGAAACTTGGAAGAAATGAAAGACGATTTTGAGGGATGGGACCCAACGTATTATTTTACCCGAGAAAAACCATGTCCAAATGTACAAGCTAACAGTAATATCGCAGCTTGCGAACCCTTATTTCATGCTTAAGCAGCGCTCTGAAGTGGAAACTATGCCATCATAGCGAACTTGAAACCTGGGTGAAGGTAACAATGACCCGTTCACCGTTACAGATTCGGATAATGTTGACACTTATATATAGGATTCGGTTGCTCTGTTGGGAGATGCATCACATCCTACCCTACCGTATCAAGCACAGGGCGCAGCAATGGCCGTTGAAGACGGCGCAGTGATTGGTTTTCTTCTTGGCCGCCTCCAAGGCAACCCTGTGCTTTGGTCTGAGGAAAGTGGTAAGGATGCCATCACCACAACTCTAAAGTTATATGAGAAGTTGCGGAAGCAGAGGACTACGGTGAACGTTCTAGGTGCAGTTCAGGCACGGGTCTTCTATCACCTCCCTGATGGCTCTGAGCAGCTGGAGAGAGACAGATTGCTCTCAGAATTGCCTGAATCGCGTTGGGAGTCCCGTAGTAAATGGAATTGGGGGGATGCGGAATATCAGCAAGCATTACTGGGGTTTGATACTCTTGCTGATGCTGCAGAACATAGTCACAAACTGTTTGAAGGATAAGTTGGGTCTAGGTAATATCGATGGCTCACCAACCTAGAGTCAGTCATCGGGTTGCTTAGAAGGATTAACGATCTCAAGAGCGATCGTTGAACACTTGGCAGGTCTTCATCATGAACTTGAGTATTCATCAGAGTTGCAGTGTAGAATATAGTTAAAGAATATTACGATTTGCTCATTATTGTGCCTACTGAAACAGATTATTTAAGAGATCCTCTTGGTTTTCCTCTGAGTAAAACAAATCCCCTTCAATATTTGGTGAGGCTTCGTATCTTGAGTCTATTAGAAAGTCGGAAATGCAAAACTCCTCCTGCGGTGCGTTGATGACATGATCCGTAGTAGAGTTTGCGGTAGGAAGTTCCGACTGCAAAACACTTTCCGCATCTGCAACGCAAGCTTCTTCAGCAGGTTCTAGATCCACTAGAATATTTGAGAAATTTGAAGAATGTACGTCGTCAAATAAGTTGTTCTCGTCATCATGGCTGCTAGGCCGCTTTAGTAACCCGTACGTGATCAAGAGGCTTCTGGGAACTGAGAAGCTGTCCCAAAGACGCTGTGAGGCAGGAGACATAGAGCTGTAGGATCGGATAAGATCAAAAGCCATAAATAGGGTTTCTCTCAGCGAAGTTAGCGAAAGCGATGTCGACGCGGTGTGATCTATCCCCTGCTTTTCTAGCCTACCACGCTGCGCCAAGGCAAGAAAGAAAACTGATGTTGCCGAGGAGAGGAAGTGATTCAATATTACTTGGTGCTTTCTGTATAAGTCACTGCACCGATCGAGCTGAACCAGTTTGTGGATAGTATCTTGCGCAATCTCTATCAAGCCAGCCACACGATGGCTATGATTGAGAATGCTACGCAGCGAGAACAAAATGGGTCGCATGACGAGAATGCGAATCTGGTTGGCTCGAAGATAGAGTATGGTGCTTGCGATCAATGGACCGCGGGCTTTGTCCGGAACTTCGCCAGAGACAAATTGGAGCAAACGGGCTTCAAGATTCTGAGGCTGCAAATCAAAACAAAACGTCTTTGGCCATCGATTGACTTCGTCGTCTAATCGATCAAAAGCTTCATCATCAAAAGCTGCCTTGATCTCCCCGTGGTTGTCAACCACCGAGTTCCAGTGGCGTGATCCAAAGTCAACATATGAGGTCATTGCTCTGAGATATGGACTATCAGACTGTTTTCCCAGATGTTAGCAAAGTTTCGTTGAAACTAGTCTTGGAATGAAAAGTTATCTTGTACGCACAACGTCGGGTATTTCGATATTCCTGTCTCTGAATGTGGTAGGTAAGCCCGCAGCAAAGCTCATCTGGTGATCTAATACAATGGATGTATACACCAGTAAAGTGGCCATTTCTCTTTCGGATTTCAGAGGAAAGTGTCGCAGCAATATTTGCTTTTTCTGCATCCCAGTTTCGAATATCAGTCGGACTGCGACGGCCAAAAATCTGGAGCTTAGTCGATAATCGCCCTGGTACCAGTGATAAACCCCCTGTGACATTTAGCAGTGTCCTTCAAGACATGAAGGAATAGTCGATCCATACAATGAGAACTAACAACACCAGCCGTCCCAGATCGAACGACAACCCTAAAACGCTCTGGACGACTATAGCTTGCATGCTTTGGTATATCCCAGTGGCGGTGGGGTGACAGCCTCCACTCTCGCAAAGTAACGCGATTGCAATAGCCAGTTTCACTACTTCATTATCCTGACTTGGTGGATATAGAGTCCGTTGACTGGATGGAACGGGTTTTAATGCTCCCCAAAGCACGTTGGCTTGCCGACGCAGCGTTGCCATGTCCAGAAACGGATGCAAGATGCCAAAAACTTCATGATACACACCAAGAAGACGAAGGGCTTCCTCAAGCTCCATGGTTTGACAAAGATCGAAGTTTGTTGGAGACGGGACTGCCTGCTCGGAGTTGAGACAAGATCTGTCATCACTAGAGACTTGAATTTTGGCCAATGCAGATCTGCCATCGTTGTCGGTGTAGACTGAATCTTCCATTAGATGTTGTAGAATAAATTCTGCCATGCTGAAGCCGAAGCTAGAGCTGCTTGGCCCGCAAAAGCTCGGCAAGGGTAACGATAAAAATGCGGATCCAACTTTGCCTTCATCAGAAATCCTTTCGTCTTCCATAGAGAGACCCCGAAGACACGGAAAGTATTCTCCATGAGAATTCCAGTCCGTCCGATTCGGCATTTGTGAATCGATCAGAGACGATTGTGCTTCCAGCGGTGTTGTTGCTTGTCGCTGCAGAGACAACGCAAGGAGGTTCTTGTTTGGCCTATCATATATTAGTTGATCCTCGATTTTTTTAGGCTTAACAGCTACCATACGATCTATTGCGGCCATAATGACTTTTATCTCCTCTCTTGCCCTCACTGCACATTCGGACCCTGGAGGGAGGATAATGACATTGAGTGGAACGCTTCTCGCAGTGGCAACAGGGAGTTCTTCCGTCACAACGAACTTTGGCTTTGCGGCAAGCTGCACACGCCGCTGAGATATATTGGCCTCGCTTACGGTTTTCTGGGACCCTTGCATGGCGGCGTGGTTTCAAAGAAGGCTGCATACTGCAGGGAAAATGCAGAGTTTTGGATAAGAGATGTCGTGCTTGAGTTCTGAGAATCTAGAAACCTGGTGGGGTTAATTAATTAAGGTTGCCCAAGGCCGCTGTATATTCGAGATCCCAAAATATACAACAGCAATAAGAGAGCTAAGCGATAAGAAGGTAAAAGTAAGATGAGCATTCAGAATTGTTTTTTAATTATGTTTTATTACGTAGCGACGGCGTCCCGGAGGGATACTATATGCAAATAGCCATAGTAAGGATGCTTAGGGAGTTCTTTGTAATACAACATTTGGTAATAGTTTACTTAGTGAAAGTGTAATAGCCGGTGCGGGGAAGGCATTAATTTCTGGGGGGCATAATCATTAGTTGCGGGGGAAGGCAATAATTACCGAGTGCTCATAATGATGAATCCCCACAGTCCAGTACTGGCGTGAAACCAGATGGGAGTGTGTGACGTCTTTTTCCCAATGGTATAAGTCAGACCACAGGGAAGGTGGCCACCCCTAGAAGGTGGCCACCGCCTTTTCCCCTCAACACCAACAACTACACCAACAACCTAGGTTATTGCAACTGCAATTTCTTATCGAATTGTTGACCAATTTTAAATCTAATTGAATTTTCTTAACGGTAATGACCGAATCTATTGAATCTGCTATTCTTTCCGCAATTAACGACGTTAATAACGGTATATCGCAATGAAAAGCTGTATAACGCTGGGGAATACCCCGCTTAACACTACAGAAGCGTTTAAACGGCAGCCAGTCAAGGGCTGATGCCTATGAATTTGCCTAATGCCTTTTAAAGCAGCAGGAAGGTTATCTTATTTAATGGATTTTAGTCTAGACTAACCTAGGTCTCCCCCTAATACATTAGTAGGTTAGAGAATTTGCTATAAGGGTAGTTAAAGCTGGCGGCGACGATCTGCTACTTAGAAAACGATAGATTAAAGGTTTCCTAAGATGAAACCCTGAAGTTAGGACCGTTAGAGGTAAGCTAATTAATTCCTGTTGTTTAAATAGGGTAAAGGTTAATGTTATTAAGGATTTCTTTTAGTTCTTCGACCTCCTAGTAATTAAAGATATCCCTAGTAAATACTAATATAATATAGACGAGACTAGGATATTAGAAGGCTGCGGCAGCAACGGGCTAGTGCTTAGGCATGCTGAGAAGAAGGCTATTATAAGGAAGTAGCCTGGATTACGATATTAGACTTTGATCGTTAAGTATATCTTAGCTACGGGCTGGGTCCTTCTACTGTTAGTTATTTTCAAAGGCCTGACAGTCCAGCAGTAATGGTTTCCTAAGGAAATTAAATTCCTAGCTGACTAAGCGTTTAAGGCGTCTAAGAAAGGCTGGACTAGCGATGAGATTATAATCTGGTGGTTGTAAGAGATCTTTATTCCTTAGACTTAACCTAGTCTACTGTTAAAGCAATTGCTTATTATTAACGGCTACGGCAGCCACTGTACTAACGATTTCCTCTACAAATACTTTAAAAATAATATCTATTTACTCTACCTACTACTATACAGCTCCTACGTTTTTTAACCTCTTAATATTGCTGTTTTTTCCCCCGTTAAAACCTATTACCGTTAAGCTTTATCAGAATTCGAAGACTGTAACGATTCCTCGCCAGCTGGGAAGAGGATCTTCCTCGAATGCTATTATAAAGCTAGGAAGCTAGGCCTTATAAGTAAAAACGTATAAGCTGGCTGGCTTGGATCCGGTCTGTGGCCCCTTGATGTTAATAAACCGTTGGGGAGTAAGCTAGTCGTTAAAGAACCCCTAGAACTAAAGATAACCCCTAAGATAGTAAAATTAACAGCTAGGAAGAGGAAGGAAGCAAATTTAATCGATTTTAATACCCCTAAACGGTCGTAAGAAGTTTAAAGAGTTATATAATTAATTAAGGTTGTAATGCTAAGGACCCGGCTGCTATTGCGGAAGATTAGAAAGCAATTAAACCAACAGAACACTACAATAGCAGCGTTAGAGATTAAGATTCGTAATCTATAGCGCTAAGTCAATAGCTTCCGACCTAAAAAAAAACAGAAAGTAGAAGAAAACCCGAACAGTTAATTTATTAAAATTAAAGAGATTATAAATACAAAGAAGAAGATAGAATAGGAATTACAGCGCGCCGAGGCATCTGACGAAGTTGAAGTTAATGAATCTGAAGATGTATGTCACGTATTTTTACTAAAATAAAGAAAAACAATAAGAAGATAACATCCTGATGTTGTTATGCTGATTTTTCCCTTTAATTTGATACTAATTACGGTCCGGCTTGGGTGGCCACCTTCTAGGGGTGGCCACCTTCCCTGTGGTCTGACTATAGGGTAGTTTCCCAAGGTAATTCGCCAAATGAAATCGGTCTATGTTCACAAACAGGCTAGGACGTAGCTTTAAGCAAAAAAGCCATCAAATAAGGATGATGGAAATCCGTAATTCAACGTCTATACATGAGTACCGGTTGGCAATCCAAAATAATTTAAAGAGCGTGGAGAAGGCCATTACCATATCGAGTCTTTTGATTGGAGAATGGTATTCATAGCATTATGACAACCGCAAGTTGTCATTTTTGTAGGGAAATGGCGTGGACTGCTGTTGCTAGTTTCAAATTGTTGTCTTAAAGGTTCTCATGTTCCTCGTAGATATGGTATACTTCGATCAGTCAAGTCATAAAACAATTGTTGATCTTACGTGTTAAGAGTGTGTACTTCTATTAGCCCTGTCTGAGTATTTGCATACACGTGTCAGCTCCTCGTTTCTTACATGGAATAAACTAAGCAAGGCTCCAGTCTATTTTAGACTCTAACATTGACTGGGGCTAAATGTGCTTCGAATCTTCCAGTCCTTTGCTCAATGGACCTGCAGGTAGCTTCCGGCCCCTTCAGCAAACAGTAAATTTTCTGCAGCCAATAAGACTTCCATAGACAGTACTGAGCCTTACGAAACAATGTGAAAGGTTAAGAGCTAATTTGACAATTGATATATAGCTTGTATACTAGTATATCTAGTATCTACCACTTGAGAGAGCTCATCGAGGAATATTTACTTTATAGTAACCATGTATCACCAAGAGCGTTCGCCAAGTGTCTTAAATGAAGACCGTTTATTAAAACCACATCGAAGTTTGGTGCCGAATACACATGAATGCCATATTTCGACGCAATTCGCTTGTAATAGGAATTGGCAATGCCATAAAACCATGAGAACATGAATCTTAAGAATACATGAACTTCTATAAAGGTTGTGTACATCAAGTTGTAGCGTGGTGATTGTTAAAAGCAGACAAATGAATGACTAAGTCGGGCGGACATCACCACACGAAGATTTTACTTCTTTGGGAGGTCCGAGATACTTCCTTTTGTGGTGCTGCCTCGGTTAGTAACCCCCTTCATGCCATCCGCATCATCGACATAGACATAAAACCCTTGAATCCCCATCCCCAACGCAACAAAGCATATATATATATAATTTTCTCAGTCCGAATTGAAGCTCTTTTGTCGCTACAGACCACAAGGAACTCAAACACCCTGCTGAAAGAGATATCACCGTTATACTTCTGTAAATACTAAAAGATCAACATGTCGGTTAACGCTACTTCCAAATTCGACAATTTGAGGCAGAAATATGACTTTCTGTTCGTAATCTGTAAGTGCCCTTTGCAATTGGACACTTCCGTGTACCAGGACTGAAATTATTAACTATGTTGAAAGATTATCGTGGCCACTGGTGCCCGTTCTGCATGGCATACCTGCGCGTTTTGCAAGACCTTAGCCCGACTATCACCGCGGCTGGGGGCTGCCCAGTGATCGTGTCTGCACAGGACGAGGAGCACCTTGCTGAAGTCCGATCTTCTAGTGGATATACCGGCGAGGCAATCAACGATCCGGAGAACACCCTGGCTAAGCGCCTGGCAGCCGACGGTATCATTGCTGTCGCAATTACTGAGTGGCAAGGATATCCACATGGCCTAGCCCAACCTGCAATTCTGGTAATTAAGAAAGATGGAAGCGTCATGGAAACTTGGGCCATTGTTCCCTCCGAGGTATGATTACTTTTGCCGTGTTACGTATTACCAGCTAGTTACTGATGCGAACTACTATAGATGAATCTAGGAGGGGCAAAGGACCGCCCTGACCTTCATCAGGTATGGGAAAACATTAATGCCAAACTCAACGATAAACAGCCATCGTATGCGCGTTTTAGCAATCAGAGAGAACTAGATGACCTTGCTTAAAAACTCGGGGTCGAAACACAAGACTGAGCCTAAGCAGTCTATTGTACCATGTTAGCGGGAGGCTTTTGGTTACTACTTGTTGACATTGCCAAACAAAATCGTGTCATGATATTCGGCCTGAGTTGTTCTCTGTGCTTTTCCATCGCATTCATCACAACGCCATTACGAGAAGATGGATAGATAGAATTGAATCGCGATGTTGCACAGATGCCTCCTCATATGTTGCCACGAAGATACTCTATCAATGACCACAAGCTTACCCCCTCCAGGAGGCTGTTCAATTCATAATTGTGCATTTCCACCACTCACGGCCACAAATATTATTTTAGTTAGATTAATTCCGACTAAACTGGCAGCAAGCCGGCTAGCCCCTCTGTCAATTACCACAGCGCCACCGTCAACCTCTGGCTGCCGTGTTATGAGCTATTTATTAAGATTAGTGACGAATCAGACATTTCATTGCCCTCGAAGCTTGAGAAATGGATTATCTAGTAGTATCTAGCCTATGGTGGAGATGGCGGCACACAAGTCAGGTAATTGAAGTTGTTCGCGATCGTTTTTGAGATGCTTATCATACTCTAGCGGCACACATGGCCCTTCTGTCTCGGACTCTTAGCTTCTTTAGTACGTTGCCCTGCTTCGTACGGAAGACATGTAGTGTCATCTAATTAGCCCTAGCTAGCAACGCTCCCAGTCAATGACGCCGTCTCATTTCATCCCGCCTTGCTTGGGTAGCATCAGTCTAGTAACCGGGCACACCTCAGTGAGATATATGCTAGAGGGAGCTGGCGCCCCCAGAATAAAAGATGACACAATTCTAAACTGAAAAGGTGTGGTGTGCGGGACAAATTGAAAAGTCTCGACTCTTTGAACAAAGCAATTGATGTTATATCATTGTTGTACATTGCTATATTAGTGAAAGTGGCAGCATATCGAATATGTACTTGTATTTCCGCGTATTTCAATAGATATCCCAGGTGTAAAACAAGTTTGTATGCTTCAGAAAGGTATGGATGCAATGACTGACAATTATGAAGAGTCTGCATTGGCGTGAGAACTTGCGGGTGTATGACTTCGGATTTATGGATTAAACACTTGAGCTGGCTCTCATGCCGTGCTAGCCAGTCACTCACTGCAAAATGACTTGCTGAGGCAGGGTTAGATGGAGTTACGCATTTGATGGATCCTTTAACACCTACTTAGGCTAATTTGGGATGTCATGGAAGCGCTAATCTGCAAAACTTCTTCAATCACTGACTCGATGGAGCTAACTTGGGTCCCTGATTGGTCAGGCTTTCAACTTAACTACAGCAGCAGGTGAGATTCATAATGTGGCCCCTGGTCAAGGAAGTCGGGAGCTTTTGCCTATCTTGTTTGAAGATTTTACCTATTTCGGCGAAGGCCTCGTATCATCTGCAACGTGCTGATACCAACAATTTGCGGACAAATAATTTACTCCACCAGATTACTTATGTCGATCCCGCCTTTTTCATCGGCTATGTATTCCCATACCGCTCTTAGGTATAAGGTTCTCTTGTTCATTGCTGTAAAACGGCTGAGATCATATGAGAGATAGCTCTCTTGACTATGACACCACGAAGAGGAGAGATTATTCGAATTGTGCAAGGTTCACCAGAAGAACGGCGTGTGTTATTAGGAGCCGACGTATGTCCTTGGCTCATGCTCGGGCGGCCAGCCCATTAGAGTGTATGTTGAATGTCTTCAAGAAGAACTAACTTTCCATTATATCTTCTTTTTAGCCAATAGCGGAGCTCCTAAGGTTGACGATAGAGCAGTCAAAGCAATTCTTTTCCAGCCATTTTTAACCAAGTCAGCCAGGCAGCCCTGGAACGGCAACGAATGACGCCTTGTTATCTAGTCTTGCGGTAGCATGTCAGCAGATCAATAACGCTTGGGCATTAGTGAGCCGGGTTCAATGAAGTAAGCATGCGTCTAGGTGGCGTCGTTGAGCCACATCTCTCGGCTTACAACACAATGGGGTCAACAAGAGCGGATGGAAGCACCGATGAGGTTGTCTTGTGAAATAAACTGAGCTCTTAGAAATCAACTTCCTATACGCGTCAGAACTAAATTTTTGCAGTTCTACCTAGCTTCCATTGTCTAAGAGTACGCTTTGGAGGGCTATGGTATAGTATGGTTCACAACTGTGCAACCTGGACTGTGCACCGTGTTTTTTTTTTTTTTTCTCAATTTTTTTTTTTCCCTCGATCCGTCCAAAGACCCTTATTTAGCTCCCGGGCTTAGGAATACTCTAGTCTAAACTGAAAGGACGAGGAGTGCCCGGGATCCCCGTACACCCATTGTCCTCAGGCCTCTGGTTAGTAGATGAGTCAGCGATTTCTGAACAGAACATCCTAGGTAGCTAGTAAGGGAGACAAATACAAACTACTGCTACTATCAACATAAGTAAACATACTGGCACTCCAAGGCTACCGCCACCGACAACGTTAACATCGAGTTTTGCGCCATGGATAGCGATCCTCACAAAGGTGACTCAAGTGTGTTTTGTTTGGGGTAGTTGCATGCGCGAGAAGCTAACGTCGTGGACAGAAACAGGTTTCCAATTCATATCCATACAGAATCCAGAGGATACAAAAGACCGGGAAAAGAGGCGTGTAGCCAGGTCACATGCTGTGAAACAGGCTCTACGTAGTAAACGGAGGCCGCAGGAGGGGACTCTGGGCAGTGGTATTGGTGCATCTGGCCAAATGCTGGTCCCTTGGTCCATATTCGCCCCTGCATCTGCCTACGGCCCCTTCGAGAGTATTATGGGAGACTCTCCGCGACTGAGGGCCTTGCTTAGTCACAGTAAGTTATGTTTCACGGTGAATTTTTGTGATATGGGGCTCACAGGACTTCCACAGCCGCTGCTCGACATGCTGCCGAGCCCGTCTTTAGCGTCGCAGATCCGGTTGTCTTCCAGGACTTCGGCTCCGTTTTTCGCACAGATCTTGACGACCCGGCCCTCCTAAACGCCGTGAAGCTAGCATTTGCGTTTGCAGTGACTGGTGGTAATATAGACCAAGAGTGTCTCGACTACCAAGGTCAAGCTATGAGCACCATACGCGAGAGAATGAACTCGCCAGAAGCAGCGCTCTCGCTGCCAACTCTGGGTGCCATCTTACTCCTTGCTGGAGTCGAGGTAATAAATCTCCGAGCACTTGTTGTTTCGATTGGAAGCCTAAAGCAATAGCTCGTGCTGACTGATAGGTTTACTCATAGGCTCGTCTAGGTATGCGATGGCAAGTTCAGCTACATATGGGCGCTATCCGCCAGCTGCTCGAATTGGGTCAATCAAGAACCATTTATCTAACCGACGGAATCAAGCGGGCTATCTTTTGGTGAGATGCCCTCAACCCCCTGAATATCTCCAGGTTGAACGCCAAATGGACTATGGCTTATAACTGATTTCTTTTCGTCAAAACGAATAGGCAAGATCTAAACTCATCCATTATGACCGGATCCGACCGTATCATAGATCACACGACATTCGCTGAGCTCCAGTGGAAACGAGATCCCTTTGCTGCGGATTTTTTCGTTTTGGCTCCTGGATTTGAGAAGAGAATCCACTTGTTTCCAAACGATTATGTTGAAGTTATGAAAGATATACACGCATTGCAATGTGTCCAAGATCTCCCCGGATATTCCTGCCAGAACCCTGTGGAGATGCTCCGTGTTGACAACCAGCAGGCTTCAATCGGGTCCAGACTCGTAGATCTACCAAAGCTCTCACCATATATGGAGGCGTGTTATTTAGCCGCCTATCTCAGTGCCTGCATGCTTTGCTGCAAGGTTTGGCGCCACTCTGTAATGCCTGTATGTATAACAACTACACGGTGATTTTGACCTACAACGTTTATGTTCAGTTCTTGCTCACATTGATCTACTCTCACTCTATTCGTACTGACATTAGCAACATAGTCTCATGTTTCGTTACATTTACTTCGCAAGCTACAGGAGTCCAATGGTGACCCGTTTTGGGACGGTCAGATTGACTTGCTTATCTGGATGTTACACATGGGCGGTTCTTTTTCACCCAAAGGACCAGTTCATGATGACTATAAGGCTCTTCTGCAAGAGAACCATGACTCTCGATTTACGGGGAAGTATAGCTCTTTGGAAGAACTTGTGGCAATCATGAGCCAGTTTATTTGGTCGGAAAAGGCCTATCGTGCTCAGGTGGGGGAGTTTTGGGAAGAAATTCACCCTAGTATTGATGCTACTCAATGACACCCCACTGCAATGACGAACTATGCACGGGTTTTAGATTCCAGGGCGGGAAGCACTATAATAATTGTGTAGTCCACTAACGTGCGAGTTGGTGCGACGGATGGCTACGGCATGTTCGAGAACATTTAGGAAGCTTAATTATCAATCGACAGCTGTAGTGATAGTTAAATTAACGATATTACGAGTGATGTGATCCATGATCAGTGGCTGCTTGTTGATTTGTAAGTCTGGTGCTTAAGTAAACTGGTTAATCGACTGACCAATGGCAGCCAAACTTCACTCTGAGGTTAACGCCATCGCTGTTTTGGGAAGTATCTCGATTATTGAATGGGCAAAACCTTCAAGGAGTTGCAGAATTTAGCCACCTGCAATGATCTGTCCTGCTACCCTATATAAGTAGATCAAGGTATGGCACACATCTCCTCATCAACAAGCTGCTTTTGGCTATTAAGGCTATATCGTGAGGCAGGCTCATCTTACTTTCTGTAACATCTTTCATTACAACTATCCACATTCGCACGGGTGAACAAACGAACGCATTGCGTACAATGGCTCAATCATGCCTATGGAAGCCTTTGAAAATTGCCGGAGTCGAGGTCAAACATCGAATTGGCATGCCGGCCCTGTCTCGCTTTCGAGGCACTGACGACCATACCGCGACGCCAATGATGAAGGAATACTATAGTCAACGGTCTCGGGTCCCGGGAACTCTAATTATAACGGAGGCTGGACTTATTTCGCACGGTAGTGGCGGCTATCCCAACGCACCAGGCATCTGGCGTGAGGATCAGGTGGTAGCTTGGAGGGCTATCACTGACGAAGTGCATCGCAACGGGAGCTTCATCATCTGTCAACTCTTTCACATCGGCCGAGCCGCCAATCCAGAGATTGCCAAAAAAGAAGGCATAGAGATTGTATCTGCGAGCGCGATCCCTCATGAGGAGGGAGCTCCTATACCAAGGGCTCTCGCTATCGACGAGATCGAAGAGATTGTGCGTGACTTTGCGATAGCAGCGAAGAACGCCATTCGTGCTGGTTTCGACGGTGTTGAGCTTCACGCTGGGAACGGGTACCTTCTCGATAGCTTTACTCAGGATGTGAGCAATATCCGTACAGATAGGTACGGCGGCAGCATTGAGAACCGATCCCGCTTTGCCTACGAAGTGATGAAAGCTGTCGGCGACGCCATCGGGAGCGAACGTCTCGGAATTCGCCTGAGTCCCTGGAGCACATTCCAGGGCATGCGCATGAAAGACCCAGTGCCTCAATTCTCAAACTTGATCAACAAAGCTAAGGAGTTGGATCTGGCTTATATCCACCTGATAGAGCCCCGAGTTGTCAACAACTTTGATCAGGAACACCCTATTGACGACAACCTTGACTTTGCATTTAATCTCTGGGATAAACCAATCCTTCTCGCCGGAGGGTACAAGCCAGACAACGTTCTGAAAGCGATCGATGAGATATACTCTGGGAGAGATATTGTGGTGATGTTTGGCAGGCACTTTGTGGCAAATCCAGACCTTGTTTTCCGAATCAAGAATGAGTTGCCGCTTAATCAATATGAACGAAGCACGTTCTATACCCCTAAGAATCCAACAGGTTATCTCGATTACCCGTTTAGCAATGAGTTTTTAGCGAGCGCAGAAGCTAAAAACTAGGTCAAATAAAAGTCGATTTTTAGATAAACAAGCAAATAGAATAGAATAGACATACAAGTTTTAACCGGTTTGTTACAATACCTTCAGTTATAACGTGAGCAAGAAAATATTCACTGGCTCGAATGTCATGAATTACTACTCGGCATTGTTTTCAGAAGCAGCCTAACGAGCAAATACCGGCTGATTTACCATCGGCAGGCATTATAACGACGTTAAACACACCTGCAACACGCTCAGCTTAAATACAATTGTCGAACCGCGACCAAATCCGCTCAAATCTACTTACTTAGGGAGATTGAACAAAAATTGCCCATAATTCCACTTAAATACAAGTGCGATAACTATCTATGCCTTAGTTTCTGGGACTTTGGCTCACTCGCCATTACTCGTCAGCCATTTCGCATCATGCGCTATGAGCGACGGCCAACGAGCATGCCGTCAGCACAGCAGCAGGCCGCATATGGAAAGCATTCAGTCCAAGGAAAACATTATCTTTCGGCGAATTGCCGCTCCTGCAATAAAGATTCAACAAGTGCTGAGCTTCTTCGAGCAATCTCCGCCTTGGCATTTGTGATCAGGGGTTATTTCTAAAGCGGCTGACGTTGATTCTCTCAGCACCTGGTGCCCCCTCCACAGGAGAAGAGCAATTACGGCACTGCTCATCGGATCTTCCCGAGCGCCACCCACTCGCTGTTAGCCCGTCGGCCCGTTAGCCTGTCCGCATGAACTCTATACAGTTTACGGATTTTTGGCTGACATCAGCCACATGCTGGACATAATGCCGACTGAGGGAGTCATACGACGAATGGCTGGTATCAACGACGCGTTCCAAATAATGCAGACTGAGAGAGCCATGATGAAAATGGCTGATAAAGCCATTTGCGAGTACAAGGATACTTTCCGCGGCGTCTATGGCCCTCATCAGCCATTAATACACTCACTCAGCCAACGGAGGTGAGTAGCATCATCCCGGTGGGCAGTCTTTGCTCTTGGATTTTGTTTAATTAATACCTGCGCTTCCTTCTAACTCTGCTTGGACTGTTAGCTTCTGATTTTTCACGAAATACAGAGAAGCTCTCTTCGTTGAGCTGCATTTGCTAGAGCTAGACAGGCAACATATCAATCCACATGGCATCTCTTGACTCAAAGGGCGACGTCGCTTCGGAGCAAAGACATGCTTCATTGGCAGTGGTAAATACAATCGACGAGAAAGACTCTAGTGACCAAAGAATCAGCGACAAAGAGATGGGTTCAAGCGTGGAAACTCCGACCTCGCAAGACGCCGAGCTTGATAACTCGGAATATCCCACGGGTTCTCGTCTCGTCGCCATCATCACTGCGCTTGCGCTCGCCATCTTTCTCGTCTCCCTCGATCTGACAATTGTCGCGACTGCAATCCCCAAAATCACTGACCAGTTCAACGGGCTCTCGGATATTGCCTGGTACAGCTCCGCCTTCTTCATGACCATGGGCGGCTTTCAGAGCGCCTGGGGCAAAATCTATAAATACTTTCCACTAAAAACTAGCTACCTCATCGCCATCTTCATATTTGAGCTTGGATCTTTGATTTGTGCTGTTGCGCCGAGCAGCACTGCCCTCATCGTCGGGCGTGCGTTTGCGGGCGTGGGCGCTGCAGGCATTGGCTCTGGTTCGTATACCATCATCGGATTCTCTGCGTCGCCAAAAAACCGGCCGATGTTCACTGGGATCGTTGGAACGAGCTACGGCGTTGCGGCAGCTGTTGGGCCCCTGATCGGAGGCGCATTCTCAGATAAGGTATCATGGCGATGGTGCTTCTACATCAACCTACCCATTGGTGCAATATCCGCGTTCATCATTTTAGTCTTCATCAAGGCCCCCAGCACTGCAAAGCCACAGGTGGCAACCCTGCGCGAGAAGCTCCTCCATATGGACCCCGTAGGCGCCGCTCTCGTGATCGCCTTCGTGGTATGCTATCTCCTCGCCGCACAGGACGGTGGTACCAAGTTTCCCTGGGACTCTGCACACGAGATAGGCCTCTTGGTTGGCAGTGCGGTAATCGTGGGCTCATTTATACTATGGGAATGGTTCCAGAAAGCCACAGCTATGTTTTCGTTCCGCCTTGCGAAGCAGAGAGTTTACATAGTCGAATCAGTCCTTTCATTCTTCTACTCTGGCGCGTACTACTTGGTTCTATATTACCTACCAATATACTTCCAGAGTATTGACAACGCGAGTGCCCAGTCAAGTGGTGTTAGAAACCTGCCCCTCATCGTCGCTGTTGTCATCTCCATGCTTTGCAGCGGTGCTTACATCTCTGCCACTGGTATTGCGGCGCCGATTATCGTTGCGGGGACTGACCTGTCGACGATATGTACAGGTTTGCTTTACACTTTGGATATTGGTACCTCTGAAGGCAAATGAATCGGCTACCAGATCATCGGTGGTGTTGGCTGGGGTATCGCGTCCCAGATCGCCATTATCACGGTACAAGCTACAGCTCCGGCCATAGATCTCGCAGAAGTGACAGCCATGCTGTTATTTCTTCAGACGCTTGGTGGTGCAGGGATGGTTTCTGCTGCCCAAGCTGGCTTTGTTAACGTCATGATCAACAATCTTCCCAAGACAGCACAGGGAGTCAATGCGGCCCTCGTGGTGAGCACCGGCGCGACGGATTTGCGAAAAGTGTTTTCGGAGGACCAAATTCCTGGGATTTTGGTAGCCTACATGCAGGGTCTCAAAGCCGCGTTTGCGATTGGCATTGCGTCGTCAGGGATTGCTTTTATTACCATTGTATTGTTCCAGCGATGGAACAAGTTGAATACAGCGGCTATTGCCAGTGGAGGTGCAGCTTGAGAGGATGAACAGTCATGGTCCAACAGTAACATATAATGACAACTGCTTGTAACTTGATAAAATGTGTCTAACATTGATCGCATAAGATTAGCGGGCTATATTGTTAATAGATAGTTATAATAAATGCGACTATAAATGTTGTGCCCTGTTGGCTTATCCGCCGTGACGGGATAATTGAAGACCGCGTAGCTACTCCGTAGGCAATTTATTTTATACAGGAGCAACATGACTTAACGTCAGCCACTTTTACGCTGGGCTATTTAAAGGTTCTTTATAACCCTAAAAAGTTTCAAGCTTCCCTCCCAAATCTCTCATTATATATCCCCCAATATCACTTAACATTCACATCATTATGACAACCGCCCTGATCTTTGGTTCCACCGGCGCAGTGGGCTCCCAAATCCTCGCTACCCTCCTCTCCTCTGCTACTTGCACGTCCGTCACAACTATCTCCCGTCGCGCTCCGCCAACACAAGACCCCAAACTTCAATCCATCATCGAAACCGACACCACAGAATGGGGTCCTTTAATCGCCACGCTCCCTTTGGTCCCCTCAGTGGTCTTCAACGCCGTCGGCACCACGATCGGCAGCGCAGGCTCTGTCGCTGCGCAATGGGCAATTGACCACGATTTATGTGTAGAAAATGCAAAAGCGGCAAAAGCAGCAGCTGTTAAGACGTATGTCTACTGTTCAAGCGCAGGGACAAGCGGGGCGCTGAGCCCATTTGCCCTGGCTCCTTATGCCAAAATGAAGAGGGGTGTCGAGAAACATATTAAAGAATTGGACTTTGAGAATGCCATAATTTTGAGACCAGGGATGATTCTGGGAAGAGAAAACCCAAAGAATAGGTGGCTGGAGGATATCTTTCATGGGATGAAGAAACTTGGACAAGGATTCCAGGACAAGTGGGGTATGTCTTTGTGGATTTGACATTCTAAACTAGGAGGACCAAGACTGATGAGTTTCTGTAGCACAAGACCAAACGATTATCGGGAGAGCTGCAGTGGCTGCTGTGAGGATGGTGGAAGAGGGGAAAGCTCCTGCGAAGTTTTGGGTGTTAGAACAATCGGATATTGTAAGGCTGGGTAGAGACGAGTGGAAAGAGTGAGGTGAATGTCATTCTTGAAATTGGCTTTGCCAAAAGTGATCGGTGCAGTATTTGATGTAAACACGCGCTGGATTTGATTCGGGTCATGGGCCGAATGGGGGTCTTGTTCTCGGTGTGTAATTGGGAGATTTCCTAAAACTCCGCACCAGAGTGAGACCATGTTGCGTTCAGATTTGCTTTCCTCTATTATTATTACTAGCGAATACAAATGAGAGCATCTATTGCCCCTAAAGAAGGGAAGTTCAACAAGCCCTGTCAATCGCATACCGGATTCGGCACCGACCCATCATACAAAATCGACACTCAATTCCAGGTCCTTCTCCAGATCAACTTTTCAACTCGACTAGATCTAACTTGAGTTCCTCTCCCCTAACACTACGCCACCACTCACTTTGCCTGACAAGCTCACCATCTTCCCTACCAAGGAGACACCAATACTTCCTCAAAAACCACACCTTGGCCTCCCAACTCCGCGCATCCCATGCCGTTTCCGCAGCCGCATGCCCCGTCACATTATCCGTATCATTCCTTACCTTGCCCACGCCACCCCAACATATCAAACCAGTCAGTGTATCGTTCAAAAATTCGTCTTCGTCGATTTCTTTCTGATGCATAATAAGATTCCTCCGCAATGTTGGGAAGGGCAGAATGTCAATATAGGGATGATGCTTTACCAAGATCTGCTCCGCACTTGGTCTCAGGTCCGGCTTCAAGGTCTTGTACATTTGTTGTATCATTCCAATTGTCCGATTCCGTGTGGCGTCATCAGCAAATTCTAAGCTAGGCCGGTAGAAAGGCGAGAGCGAGTCATCCGCACAGAAAGTCTCCTCCCCAATGCCCATATACTTCACGAGTGTATACAGCGCCGCAGCGATGCATACTCGCTCAATGTGGATACTGCTGCTCGTGCATGAATCCGTGGCCATTCCATCAGCGCCGAAGCTGATAATATGCGTGTCGCTGTGGGAAAAGGGGTCTCTCGAACGTAGTTGTACGTGTGGTATTAAGCAGCCGCATTCAATTGTTGTAGTCCAATATGGGCTAAACGTTTGCCTGGTCTTGTCACGTATGAGAAATGAAGAGCTGACATGCGTGCATGAGTCCCAGGTTGGTGAGGGAGGATGGGAGTGCGTAGTATTGGATGGTGAAGTCTGGAGTTGCCATTCTCCAGGTGTCGAAGCGGGTGGGCTGGAGATGGAGTGGATGTTTCCGATACCGAAAAGCGAGGGTTTGTCGTTTGTCTGTAAGATGGTGGATTGACATTCATTTGGAACGATAACAGAGCTAAATGCTGGGTGAGAGTCTCCCGTACTTTGGGATAATGAGGTGCTTTCAGGCTGTGAATTGAGTGGTCGGCGTTCTGTCGAGGATCCTTGATGGGATGCAGATGACGTCGAAATACCATGATCTATTGAGCTGCTGTTGTCGCTTTGCATCGCCACTTCGGACGGACTTGTTTGCGAAAACGGTCTCTCATTTACATAGTTCTGTCTAGCAGATGCGGCAATTGCCTTGAGAGTCTCCAGTCGCTGACGTTGTTTTTCTCCTGAATTATTACACATCATTTCATTTGTTAGTTACCCTTGTGATTATCACCCATGGATTCACAACATTGGCCCATTGGTACGGAAGAGAGGCACTCACGATACTTCTTCTGGGCTTGAACATTCTGTTGACGTCTCTTCTCCATATCACGGCGAACGGGCTTCTTTTTGCGCTTCAATGAGCTCACAGCCTGTTGCAGTGGCTCTGGGCTCTCTGGAGGCATGGTGCTTATGCAAAAGGATGACAAGGGTATTTTTTGAGAGATTAGAACGCTATAGCCTAAAACGGACGTATCAACTGTGTCTCAATCTCGATACTCCCCTTGTTTACGAAGCAATAAGACTAGTTACAAGTACCCAGGCTCCGTCGCGGTGTGACGCGCAAAGATGAGGGTTACGACAAAATGTTAGTCGACGAGAGTGCGATGCGGATGGCTTCGGAGGAAATGGCTGACGTGAGCCACCGCATCAATTTCACGTGACGTCTCCCCGTTACCTATGCACCTTACTGATGGGAGTATGCCGTTATATATATGCAATTGATGTCACAAATCCCTCGGAAATTTAAGCAAAACTTCTTTTCATAGGTATGATACAGGTGAGCTATAATGTTAAGCCTCTTCTCTCATATTCGCGAAACTGCAATGCTGGTTATGGCCACTGAATTGGATGCTAGGTAATCCAAAGCTCTGTGGTCATCTCCTTAATAATGGGTGCAAGTACTGCAATAACATGAATCATCATTCCAAAACCGGAGACTCATCGTTTCCAGAATGGTAAAACTAACAATCATAATCGTTAGCACTAGTTACTCATTTAAGTATATTCGAAGCACGAAAGTTAGCTAGAATCTTCGGTTATAAGTGTTGACTGCAGGGTATCCCAGATTGATCTATCTCTGCGGATCTCGTAGACTTTATGTACATATAAAAAGTCTTGCCCCGGACTTTGGGATAGATGGCCAAGACCTTTCATCAATACAGTAATACACCTTGACTACACATTGCAATAAAAAGTTCATTAGCATGAGCGGCTTGTATGTAATTTTAAAAAATCACTAGGACACACGATTATAGCTAAAGGTTACAACAAACTTCACAATGTTTTTCAACGAAAGTCATATAGAATGCGTCTTTTTGATATATACATCTGCATCATATATACGTCTCCAAAATATATACATCTTCATCATATGTACACCTCCAAAACAAATGCATCTCCAAAATATATACATGTCCTGAAAAGAAACATCTCAACATATTTTCTGCCCTACCACTACCGCCTCTTCATCAAGATAGTATGATACTGCTTGATTAGAAAACACAGCCAAGCAGACGGTTGGCAATGTCCGAGGAGTACGAGGGAGTAGCACCAGGTCCGCTCAAGTCTCCGTTGGAGGGGATGCTGCCTGAGTTATAAAGACGAGCAGCCTGGTAGACTTGCTGGGCTCCAGTGGTCCCCAGACTGGCCAGAAGCTGCTGCAGACCAGAGCCAGATGCAGTGCCTCCAGTGCCATCCTGGATCATGCCTTGGATTTGGCTTTGGGGGCAGGGGTTGATGCCGTTACCCGGGCTGATCCAGCAGGTGTGTGTGCCGTTGGCGTCCTGCATCAAACCAGGGTTGGCCCAGAATCCTTGAGTAGTGGGAACACGCACACATCCCTTGCTCTCCTGCATGATTGTTGCCAAGACATAGCGCGAATCGACACCGGTTGAGGCTGAGATGCTGAGGATAGCGGCCTGGATTTGCGAAGTCTCAGTAGGAGAGTTGTTTGCAACGCCCCAGCCGTTGTTCTGGCACGCGCCGTTGATGGCGTTGAGGTTGGCATTCCACAAGTTGTCGAAGCTGGCCCAGGCACTCTGAGCAGGCCAGCCGGCACCGGTTGAGCCATCACCGCTGTAGGATACCTTGGAGGTACAAGTGATGCCGCCGCCGCCGCCGGTGGGAGGAGGAGGAGGAGGAGTGCTGCCGCCGCTTCCAGCGGTGCCGCAGACACCGTTGTTGCAGGTCAAGTCATCAGAGCAGTCATTCTCAGTGCTGCATGAAGCACCAGCGCAGTGGCCTGCCCATGAGCAGGTGCCGGTGCTGCCACCACCTCCGCTGCTGCCACAGAAATCGGGGCCAGTACCGCAGAAACCAAACTGTGAGCAGCAGAAACCAGTCGCGCAAACAAAGCCAGTGGAACCACCGCAAGATCCGTCAGGGGAGGTCTGTCGAGTGAACAAGTTGCTATGGGGCATAGCCATGGCGGTGGAAGCCAGGCAAAGGGCCAGGACTGTGGTGAGTGATTGATGCATTGGGAAATATAGTTGTTGAAGTTTGACTTGGATAATTGTCAGTTGGCGAAGAGCCTTGAAAGTCTGTGGCTGCTGATGAGCTTGATGGGAGAGATCTTCATTGTTTCAGTAGATATGTCTTCAGTCTTATATATATTATTCGAACCCAGCTAGTCAAGTCTACCAAGTTATTCTGAGATGCCATTGCCATTTTGAGTAGGTGTGATTCTGAGATGCCATTACCAGTCTGAGTAGGTGTGATGATAAGGTGCCTGCGCTCGCAATTGTTACATGTCTCACTTGTTATTTTTGGGATTTAACCCCTGTCGTCAAGTCTCATTAACTTGGAATTAAGGTCTGTGAACCCCATGCTATCCGTGTTAAGATTACCGATATAGCGTGATCCTACGTTCCAGGAAGTCAGTCTGCGCGTAGACATATTCCACTTAAAAAGGTGAAACACCAGTATGCTCTTGAGTCTTCAGCTAACTGTCTGAAGGCGGCTATGCATCAAATCATAGGTTCGTTGCAAGGAGCTAGTCTAGCAAGGGGGGAATAGCCCCAGACTGTTAATTTCGGAGACTGCAGAATTGAGTCGGTATCATTCTTGGTAAGGCTCTTGGTAGTTACCAACTCGATCAAGCTACCTATCCTACATAATTCAGCACACTTGAAGAGGGTCCTTTGGCTTCAATCAGTTTTGGTAGAGTGCGGCGCATTTGGTAAGGGCGTACTGCTTTAGGGCGTACTGCTTTTTTTGCAGATTAAGTAACGTTACGAAAGGTCAGATATGTCAGATATGTCAGATATGGATTTGTTTTAACGAATGGTTTCCTCAGTTACTCCTCCATAAGATGTCTTCTATATCTTCCTATTTTGGTATCTTACAACGTCTTGATAAAAGGGTAGGTGGTTGACATCGATTAGTTGAAGTTGACACTGATCAGTTTGAATGGGCATCTGTGTAAGCTTACCCCTTGCATAACTGACAAAATATTGCCCTAACTCCTACCTAATTGAGCAAGAGTATAGTCCTATTTTAAATGAGCGTTTCAAAAAAATTTCACCTTGCTCATATGCAAGCACTTAATCAAGTAAGGCACAGAAGCTTAGCGCTGACTAGGAGATAATCCGTTTTACATCTAACGGGTTTTGTCCCATCCTGGAAGGCTGTAGTCTGAATGGTCAACTAGTGGGCGGGGCAGAGAGAGCGGTCCTGCGTAAGCTCCAATAGAGCTCAGAGCTTTATCAATATTCCTGAAGTGACAGTGGTACGGTAGGCGGGGGTAGGACGATTACGGCGTTAGCAACAACCAGGTTGACACTGAAAGAGGTTGAAGGGGTTAGAGGGGAGATGAAAGGAGAAGAGCTCTTTTTACGAAGGGGAGTGGGATAGATGAGGCGCATATGCAGCAATTTTTCGGCTGGCATTCCCCAGAGTGTTCACAACGGTGCAGCATTTGTGGGATCATCCGCATGGTATCTATTTCCCGATATGTGTCGAGGCCAGGGATGCAAGGGCATTGTGCCAGGCGCCATGCTGATCGAGGTGGGCCGCATTCTCACGACCGGGTTCGGGTCAACCGCCGATTTCGAGGCTATAGTCAGACGGTCGCTCCGCCTTGCTGAAGCCACGGCGCTATAGGGATCCAATAGCAGTGAGAAAAACATCTGATTCGGGCAGCTCAAGAATTTCGGCGAATCGACTCATGCTGCTTGCTCGTGGATGCCTAGCCAAGGAACGGCTAACAATGCGCAACAAACGTAGCAGTGTGTGTCGCTACTAGGTGGATTGGCCGCTCGACAAACATGGCCAAGTATCTTGGCAATGCGGCTTTTGCATTTCAATGATCCTAGTGTTGAAGAACAGAGGTTCCATAGAAGCCTTGGCGTTGCCACACGTGGATGCGGCGCGTGTTTTGCCACGGCTGATATTCCTCAATCTCTTTTCAAAATCACATGGAACGTGTGGCCTGACAAACTTCGAAGGCTTTTTGAGGGGCCTATTCGGATCTTAGTTGCGAGTCTCTTAGTTGCGAGTCTCTTAGTTGCGAGTCGAGTGTTTGCGAATGGCCATGTCAGATGTTTTCCCGTAGAAACAGACAGGAAATTTAAATTGTCTCAATGTCACTGCACATAGAGTAGGGGATCATTGCCTGCCAACTCTGAGCAGTTGGTTCTAGAGGCTCACAGGGTTGAATGAAGACTCTTTGATTGTTGACTCCAGCTCTTCTTTGGTCATGCTAGGTCTGGACTGGTTTTCAAGAAGGCTCAAAAATATGGTATCAATATGAGAAATTGCAACGTGATTCGTTCAATTAAGTTTACAGATATAATTATCTACCCTATAGGGTACCAAAGCGAGTCTCACGGAGTGTGATTTCATTACATAGCCTTATTGGTGGCTTTCAGACCTTGGGTATGACTGGATCGTTCGGGTTTAAGGTCTGCAAGCAAGTCTATGTACGTCGTCAGCCAGAAACTGGCTCATCTCAACTAATGTCAATAAACCTCGATCCCCAGTAACTTGTACACAGCTCTGCAAGCGAGTCAAGTTACGGCATTCTCTTGCATTGCTCACATTGAGATGGGAGACAAGGGCTTGGCCATGGCATGTTTAGAGAGACGATGGCCTTGCCTGTAGGTGACTCTATTCACTATCTATTCAACTTGTTCTGAGATGCTCACACCAAATCCGATATCTGGCTCTCCAACGATGGCCCTGTTAATTAATGCATAAAAATTTTTTTATTTTATTTTTTTCTTTTTTGGAAATGTGGGCAAGCACGGCATCTTCTAATTGACTCCGCCACGCGAATCCAAAATGCGCAAATCAAGTAGCAGCAAACGAAATGTTTTCAATCATGATATCTAAGATGGCACGTCTGCTAATTCTATCGGGGAGGCATCGCTCTATTCGTTCTTCACTTAATGCTGAATCTCTTATACTAATGATCATCGCGGGAGTTGCGGGACACGGCCATTTCCCCAGAAAGGAATTAGATAACGAGATTACCTTTGTTGATAACTGATACAAGCTGCTGCATAAATCACATCGTCTAGTTCTGCTTCCGAGCATCGAAAAGGTATCGATCGGCAGTATTGATCAGCGGTAGTGGAGGGATCAGCGGTAGTGATCAGCGATATTGATCAGCAGTATCGATCAACAGTATCGATCAGCGACTAGGTTAACTACAGGGTTGTGGTTCTCGGGTAAAGCCGATCGAGCTCGCGCTCGGTCCAGTAATCCTGGTTGCTAACCCCGCGTATCCGCCTCTCAATGCGTCCACAGGGAAATACGAGATGGGCCCATCACGGCGGCAGCAATTGGCGTATGTAGAGGCAACCTCAAAAGGACATAGTCCCCGGTAATAAGGTATTGTTCCATCACATACTCAGGACCCGTCTCAGCGATTACCAATCGAATAATGACGCCCGAGGACTCTTTTCAAGGTACCAATAGACCGATAACGTGGAATGAGAAGGACCAATCAGTTGAGCATGCTGGTAGTGGGAGTCAGGAGCGCTTTTAGGAAGACGAAACACAAATTCGTTTTCTCGAACTCAAGGCATAGCTTGTCAGCCGCTCTTCTGCACAAGTTTCAGTTAACATACACCCACCTCAAGCTATGATATGTGTCTGTCAAGAGCCCAACTCGTCGAGCACTAATACGCTAGCCTTTGGGCGGCCGTGTAGCGACGGGAATGTGCACTGGCTGCTTTACGATATTTCTCTATCGGAACAGACGCCTAAGTCTGTCAGGTTCTCAGCCCCAGTAGCTTCACCAGTTTTCGACACAATAAACCAGACTATAGAGATGGAGGAAAATATATGGAGCTATACAACGTTAGATTCTCTGTCTTTTAAATCTGGATTACACCAATTTACTCTGACTAAACGACCCTCACGCAAAGTAGAGTCTTATGTGTCATTACGTTCGCTTTTAGAAGACCAAAAGCTATCCTCAAGGGAGAGGATCTTATTAGCAGCACCATTAGCCGAGTTCATTTTGCAATCGGGCACCTTCTGGCTTGAATCTCGTCGCCTGAGGCTCATTGACTGCTTCTTTCTCCCAATTGTTGGCAGCGAGGAGAGCCATGCTGAGGTAGACATAAGCCGACCATTCTTTGCGATCTCTCCCACTGAATCATCTGCATACCTAGATGACAACGGCTGGAAGAACTTTTTCCACACCCACCCTTTCATCTTAGATCTCGGTGTGCTGCTCCTGGAACTCGAGTATAATGTCATAATAGACACCATGAACAGCAGCGACCGGTCAGGAAACATATATGATAACTACGCAACCGCATGGGAAATAATAGAGAGTCCAATCTTCAAACAACAGGTAGCTAAGAGCCACCAATCTGCCATTGCGGCATGCCTCCGGTGCGATTTTCTCCCGGTCGATACTCAGCCTGACGAGGAGGAGTTTGGACACCTGATCCATGACTACATTCTGCATCCCTTAAAGCTTCAGGAGTACCTCGATATCATCGAGAAACCTATTGAAGAGTTAGACGAAAGCGATCTCGGAACTGCCACTATTGAAAAGAGAACTTTTGATCAAGAAGTCGAGCCACGAGGCAGGGAACCTCAAGGTCGATGGAGACAGCTGGGGACTGTGTTAAACGAGAGACTTCAGTTGTTAGACGAACCAGATGACGAGGTTCGAAAGAGGGTCTTTTGGATCAGTCAAGATCTGTCCTAAGACCAAGGGGCAATCTGGCGGTGGCGGTATGTGAAAATTTGGGGCGGAAAGATATGTATGTAGCATGATGCTTATCTTTAGAAACGAGGTGGTTATTCTTTAGCAATTTGTTACTTTAATGGCGGGCTTTTCCCAGCGGTGTGATCAATTGAAAGCAAGGATCAGTAAGGTATGTCAGACGAGGTAGGCAGCATAGACAAGCGGCTACCTGGGAGTCTCAGAAGACCCATGTGACTTGTCACAAGGAATGTGACTGGTGCTAATTGAAGTTACGAAAAATGCAACGGAAAGATAGTGAATCAGTCATAGATATACAGAAAATTGGATATGTACCGAATCCGATGCCCAACTGGCAGGGATATAAAATACCTGCGATGTAAATATTTTAGCGTATGGCATACAGCACATATTTCATCAAATGTATCGACATTCTTCCATTGCCCAAATTTTCCAACGCTTCTAATTCTCTAGTACTTTTACTTAACTTAATTCTTTAGAGATTAAAAACTGGCTAAAGAAATTCAGGACATCCTTTGTGTTATCTAAAGAGCAAATCTTTGCGACGTCTACTTGAGTTAGCGCATTTCAAGTATACTACCCTATCATGCACAATTTGACAACTTACATTGGTCTGGGCGAATGATGATCAAGCATCCCTCAGGATGAATGCCGTAGGATTCGTATGCTTTCCCATGCCCTGAATTGTAACTCTCGTCATCCACAAAGACTTTTTGGAGATCTGGTCATGTCAGTCTGCGAAATATGAGAGCTAGCCTGATTACTCACGTTTGATCTTCCATTTGCCTGTTATCGGGGTGAAGACATAAGGGATCATGCTCTGCTCGACCTTGACACGCTTGGACGCAAGCACAAGCACTCCTTGAATGACGGAATTTGCATCCTGACCATCCGGTGTAAAGGTATCTATGATGTTCTGTAGTTTTGCTGCAGCCTACATGTAAATAGCTTCTGTTAGCGGAGCGGCGCTACAAGAAGTTTGGGGACCCGGCGGACCTTGATAAGCCTGTCGGCTGCTGTCTGCTGCAAAATGTCCCCAGCAAACACAACGACATGCCACCGCGAATCGGCCGGGAGCGCTGCCACCAATTGCATAGGGCGGGCATCGCAGAACCGGACAACCTGGGCACTGGGGAAGCGCATTCCAACGATGACATTCCGAGCTAGGCTCTCATCAGCTGGGCCTGGAGATACAAAGACAGATTCTTCGTATCTCACGCCTTGGCCGGCTGTGTATCGACCTGCCTTGACAAACTGGTCCTTGAAATCCTGGGAAGAAATTCCATTCTCTTGTCGGTAAGAGGAGGAGAAAAGTTTTGTGAAGAATCGGTCAAAATCGATCAGCTGCGCGGCCGTTTTCTGGCGTTCTGAAATATATGTTTCGAGAGTTCGGGGAGAGGATTGGCCCCGGAGAACTGATGCCAGCTTCCAGCCAATGTTGTAGCCATCTTGTAGGCTCACATTCATACCCTGTCCAGCCTTTGGCGAATGTGTATGGCAAGCATCCCCTGTCAAAAAGACACGGCCAGCCTTGGCAAAGTTGTCAGCCAGGCGCTGACCAATCGAGTATGCCGACCACCAGACCGTCTCCATGAACTCCACGGAATAGGGCTGGAAAATTCGACGCGCCCGTTCCTGTAAGTCAGCTAATGTGATGTCACCGACAACCGCATCACCAAGCTCGATGTAGAAGCGGATCATGGAGTCGCCCTCGCGAGGGATGATCATGAGATTGCCGGCGCGTGAGTGGATGATTGCCTTCTTTCGGATGTCGGGGAAGTCTGTTCTGGCGTGGAGGTCCATAACACCCCAGATGGCATTCGTTGAGTCCCCGACCATAGCAATACCCAGAGATTTCCTTACCGCGCTATGAGCTCCATCACAGGCCTGACCTATTGTTAGCAGTGAAGTAAAATGCGAAAAATTGATTGTCTAGCCAACTGACGAGCACATATTTTGATCGAAAGACCTTCTCTTGCCCGTTGGAAATTGCCCTCGTAGTAACGTAGCAAGCAGCGGAGTCCTCGCGGTCGATATCATCAACTTCCACGCTCTGTACGTCGCATCCGTACTCAATCTCCACGCTTCCGGACACGCGCTGTATCTCTTCGATTAGCATGCCATTTATCCTTGCCTGATTCAGGATGACATGAGGCTGGTGGCTCAAGCCAGGCTCCGTGTCGGCAGCGTAGTGAGTACGTTTGATACCCTCGCCCTCTGTCGCCCAAAAAGCAACCTCGAGCACATGATAGGCCTCTTTGAGGAGGTCCTCGGCTATGCCAAAGCTTTCAAATATCTCCACGGTTCGACACTGCACACCGTCTGCTTGGCCATTCTCAAGCGGGCCAGCTCGGCGCTCCACGATCTTGTAGTTGATGCCGCATCGTGCCAGCCAGACAGCCGCGCAAAGCCCCGCAGATCCGCTGCCACAAATGAGTACATCGACTTGTTCAGCCATGACGCCGTCTCGCTGTTTCGACCGCTTCGTAAGGTGCACAAAGATTATTGAAGTATCGTATGACGTCCTTTTCAGACAGATTGTACGGAGTAGAGATGGCTGCTCCTCAACACTAAGGGACATTTGCATTGCACCATACTCGAAGCCGGCACCGGATCTGCATCCGGGGGTGGAGCATCCAGAACCCGGCTTCCGGGACCCCTACCCGCCCATTATGGCCCTCTCCCGACAAAGGTATCATCTATCTACAGAAAATACTGTAAAAGATTTAAAAAGGTTATTATATGGTGGTATGAGCTGTAATAGATGTCCAATGCATATACAGGTACACTAAAGTATCAGAATGGCGAGCTTTTCTCTCTCTGAGCAGGCTGCGGCTGATATACGCAGCCTTCTCGATATCGCCTCCACGGGGCAACCAACCGGCGTGCCCTGTGCCAGTACCGTTGTTGTTGGTACCAGTTCTCAACCAGAACTCTTTGTGCACTCCGCGACGGCTTCATTTGGAGGAAAGGATTGCGAGGACCGTAACGATATTTACTGGTTGGCGTCGTGTACAAAGCTCGTCACCAGTATTGCTTGCATGCAACTCGTCGAGGCCTCAGTTCTCCGTCTCGATGATGCAGACCAGTTGGAAGGTCTATGCCCAGAGCTTGTAAATCTCAAGGTTGTGCAGGAGAATGGCACTCTAGAGCCGGCGCGGTCCCGCATCACGCTGCGGATGTTGTTGACTCATACAGGTATTTTGTCATAAGCTAGTGTATAGAGAGCCGTGACAATTCTGACAATCAACAATAGCTGGATTCGGGTACTCTTTTTTAAATACCAAGCTTCAGGCGTACTCTAAGGCATATCGCGCTGACGGAGTCAATTTTAACGAATTTTCCGGGCACATGGATGACATTCTACAACCTCTTGTCAACCAACCAGGAGAAACATTTGAGTATGGTGTAGGTATGTTCGCCGTATATTCTTTGGTACTCTCATGCTAAGCCGTATGTAAGATCTCCATGGACTGGGCTGGCGTAGCCATTGAGCGTGTTACGGGCATGAAATTAGGTGATTACATGCAGCGCCACATATTTATTCCTCTGGGCATACGCAACTTGACTATGGCCCCCTCATTAGAGATGAGAGAGAGACTCGTTGGCATGTGGCAACGCGACCAAGAGGGCCACCTTTCTCCTCGCACACCTCCTCTCAGCCGCCCGTTGGAGGCAGACGCAGCCCACAGCTTCCATAGCGGCGGCGCAGGACTTTTTGGGAGCACCCGAGAATTTGGAAGTATGTTCTACGCAAATCATTGCTGGCTATAACTGTGTTAAACCTTGTCTTAGAAATCCTTGCCATGTTGCTGCGAGACGGTAGATCTCATTTAGGCAAGGCGATACTTGCACCTGCTACCGTTGAAGCCATGTTTACCAACCAGCTAACATGGCTGCCAAACTTTGCCCGCCGTCACTTACCTGCTGTAAAGCCGGAGCTAGTCTATGTGGCCGAGGCTTTCTATCCACCTTGCCCGCCGCCGACGCCGCAAGGTTGGGGACTGGGCTTCATGATTACTCCCGGTCCGACCGGCCGCTCTGAGAAGACGGGCCAATGGTCCGGTCTTTCCAACGCGTTTTGGTGGTGTGATCGGCAACAGGGCATTGCCGGCATCGTCGCATCACAAATTCTGCCGTTTGCTGACCCCAAGGTTGTCGAGCTTTGGATGGGGATAGAATCCAAAGTATACGAAGGCATTAAGGCAGAATCATCAGACAAATAGACAGCACTTGGTCTTATAAATATGAATGAACTTGAAAATTACTAGAACGACATGAATTGGCCGCATTTTCAACTTAATAGATGATGCTCTAAGTGTTATAACTGCTATCCAGCCCAATACGGTTACCTAATAATAAGGGTCACAAGCTTAGTTGACTATGTAACCCACCATCCACAGACAAATTCAGGCCGGTAATCCCATCCGACATGTTGCTGGCCAGGAACACAGCAGCGCTTGCGATATCTTGTGGTTCTCCAAGTCGCTTGAGAGGATGCCGCTGTGCCATTTCTCGCTCGATTTCGACGTTTTCTGTCATAGCTGAGATCATTGGAGTCCGTGTGACTAAGGAATTGGGTTGAGTTAGCGTTGATACTATAAGCCCTTGTGATGACCATACGTACATCCCGGGAGAATCGAATTGCAGTGTATGCCGTGGGGAGCATAGTCCATAGCTACTGCTCGTGTAAAGGCGATTACGGCCCCCTTGGTGGCCGAATAAGCAGGCGTGCCCGGTTTACCCAACACGCCGAGTATTGATCCGATGTTGATAATAGTGCCAGCCCTCCCATCTCCACGATTTCTCTCTTGGCGCATCATCTGACTACCAGCATATTTGCACCCGAGAAAGACACCGCGCATGTTGACTCCCCAAGTTCGTTCGAACGTTTGTAATGATGTCCCCCAGATGGGTCGCGGCTCAGAAGCCTCTGGGGCAATGCCAGCATTGTTAACCATTCTACATAATATCAGCTTCTAAATATAATGACTTGACTATATGTTGCAGAACTCACATGTCAATCCGGCCGAACTGATTCGCTGAATCCCGGATGAGCTTCAACATGTCACTCTCGTCTGCGACATTTGTCGAGATAAAGATCGCCTTACCCCCTCGATCACATATTATTTCATGCGTGAGTTGGTTCTTGTTTCCGTTGGGGCCAGGTGTTTGGTCGGCACAGACGACAGTAGCGCCCTGCTTGGCAAACTCCAGTGCCATGGCTTGCCCCAAGCCAGACGAGGCTCCTGTAATTACAGACACCTTGCCTGCCAACAATCCGGCACGAGCAATAGCGGAAGCCATGGGTAAAATTACAATAAGCGCAAATACTGTTCAAATTAATTTATAAAAAGGCACCTTATATCGCCCAGACGTCATGTATACATAGACGGAAGTCATGCCGCATGTGGGTCAATCTACGGCATATCCGCATGGCTTCCGGTATAGTTCTGACCCGTTTCGGACAATTATGTTTACAATAAATGGAATTATTCTAAAACGGTTTCAATATGTACTAAGTGTATTGTGATTTTTTAGATCTTATGAAAAAGGTGTGTACAATTTGTTCTTCCTTAAACTTGCTTGTATGTACAACGGAAAATGAGTTAGCGGTAACCAGATCATCATCTTCAGTTCAAATCCTCCCATGACAAGATCGGCTTGACAATCTAAGACTCATTAATAATCCGAATTCTTTTCTAAGTTGTAGCACTTACCAGTCCCGATTCAAGGTCCGTGATTGCCTTGTCAAGTTGCTCCGCTGGATAAACCTTTGCCAAGCAGTCGACGGGAAATTTTCCATCGCGGTAGAGCTCGAGAAGCCTAGGAATTAGCTGTAGGTCGAAAGGTTAGCAAACCTACAAATGTGAGAGTAAAGGGAAGGAAGTCAATACAATATGCGGATCGGCGGCTCCCTCAATGACACCAATTACTCGTTTACACGACAGCAGCAAATCTAGCGCATTGAGTCGCATGGTTGCAGTTGGAGCGGGAACTCCCACTAGAGCCAACGTTCCGCCATGAGCGAGTGCTTTCACTGAAGCCTCGAGGACTCCGACCAAACCAGTTGTGTCTATAATGCTGTTTGGACCACCCGGGATAATGGCGTGCAGCGCGGTCTGCAAATCTGGCTCTGCTGCCGAGTTGACAATATGTGTTGCCCCTAGAGAGGATGACACCTTCAACTTGGCTTCAACAACATCGATAGCAATGACTTGTTGTACGCCGAGAGATTTTGCAGCCAGCATCGCCGCAATGCCAACGGCTCCCATGCCCACAACGGCTACAGAGTCCTGAACCTGTGGTTTTACCACGTTAAATATAGTTCCAGCACCTGCTAGGTAGCCACACCCCAAGGGAGGTAATGTGCGGAGCTCCTCTGGCCTCGCATCAACCTTGATTACGCTCGCCTCTGCGACGACGGCCAGCTTGCTCATAGATGACTGTCCGAAAAACTGTCCGTGAACCTTTGTGCCGTCTAGGAGTGATATTGGTGATTTTGCTCCGGCGTCTCGACGGGCAGGACGGACAAAGTTGGTCTCCGTCATGTGTGGACATGTGCCACACCGACCCTCGAGGCAGAATCTACATTGGCGACAGGAGTGGAATGAAAGCAGAACACTGTCTCCTGGTTTCAAAGATTTATCCTTGATAGCAGATCCTGTACACCTCACAACGCCAGCTCCCTCGTGCCCGAGCACAACTGGGTAGCCTCCTAGGGGCATGCCGCCATGCTGGACAACAACATCCTACACGAGGTTAATAGAACGAGAAGACAATAAAGTAAGCAGGTATACTTACGGTATGGCATATACCAGTGTACCAGATCTCTACTAGCACCTCGTTTGGTTGTACCTCGTCTAAGACAACATCACAGAGAGTGAACGGATCGCCTTCACCCTGTACAACGTAGGCTTTCGTACGGATATTTCTCGGAGCTGCCATTTGAAGATAGAAATTATCGCAACTTCAAGCAAAAGAAAACAGGGATTAGTCAACTAGAAAAATATTGGCTTAGGGAGCAGAAGCATGCTATATACTCAGCGAGTTGTGGTACTAATGTTTACTTGGCGGGCCGGAAACACTCCCGTCGCTCCACCCATGGGGGACTCATTGGACAACATTGAAACGAATGTAGCAAGTATATTTAGACATATGACTATTAAAAATGCTAATCTAGGACTCTTTGGGGAGGGAGGTCTATAGATACAACGAGTACTATGATGTATGTTTAATGTAAGGGTTACACTGAGTCCCATTTTGAGCTAGCTACTGTTCGTAAAATTCCCTTTTAGCCTGCCAGATGTGTATCTGTGATGGTGATCGTTTTTAATTGTGTAAATTCGGCAAATCCTGGCTTCTGTTAGCATGGCTCCAAATACGGTCTGCAACAATCAGATCATATTTACCCCAAGGCACCCCAAATCGGCCCCAACCGCTCTCCTTGACGCCCCCGTGAGGTATGTGCGCCTCGTCATGGATTGTCATAGAGTTGATGTGAACTGAACCGCTCTCAAGACGCCGTCCGATCTCAATAGCTAGTGGGATGTTGGTCGTGTAGATGCTTGCCGATAAGCCGTACGTCGTGTCATTGGCCAGTGCTACGGCTTCGTCGACTGTGCTGAAAGGGATGAGCAGGGCGATTGGGGCAAATGTTTCAGTATGCCAGATCTTCATCTCTCTAGTCACATTGACAAGTATCCGCGGCGTCAAGAAAGAGCCATCCTGATGCGCACCCTCTCCCCCGCCTAGAACTTTTGCTCCCTTTGCCCGGGCATCCTCTAGAAGTGATGTGACCTTCGATGTATGTTCGACTGAAGCCCCAGGGCAAATGTTCTCACTCAACTGCATCGAAGTTGCGGCGAGTTTCTCTGAGAACTTGTCGAGGACGCTTTCACTTACAAGGATCCGCTCCGTCGACATACATACTTGGCCATGCTGCGTACCTATGTTAGTCTTGTCTGGCGAAGGAACGGGATACAAGCCGACGCACGTGTGTGAAAGCCCCAATAGCTGCTGCCTGCGCTGCCTTGTCGAGATCAGCATCCTCTAGCACGAGCTGTGCAGACTTGCCGCCTAGTTCTAGTAAAACTGGTTTGCAGTGCTTTGCAGCGTTGGCTGCGATAATCTTGCCCACGGCCGTGCTGCCTGTGAAATTAATCTTCCGTACACGGCTGTCCGAGACGAGGGCGTTCACAATCGATACAGCGTCTTCCTGGGAATGCTGTATGACGTTGAGGACACCCGCTGGGAAGCCTGCGTCGTGAAAAAGCCGGCCGATGAAGTGATGAGCCATTGGGGTCTTCTCTGATGCCTTGAGAATCGCCGTGTTGCCGCAAGCGATGGGCGTTGCTACTGCCCGCATACCAAGAAATAATGAGGCGTTCCAGGGCGCAATGCCGACTTGAACACCTTGAGGTTCTCGGAAGACCATAGCCAGCATGTCGTCTGATTGCTTACTGGGCTGGACGATAGCATCCGTGGTGTGCATGATCTGACCCGCTAGTTCTTCCAAGAGGTCGATACTGGTCTGAATATTAATCTGATGGACCATGAAATCGTCAATTGGAGTCTCGACCTATAGTAAGCACGTAATAAAAGCAATTAGAGTCCTATATGAACATGTGCAGCCTTTGTAGTGGTGGCTGTACTTGCCCGTAAGATAGCTGCCGCTTCTTCTCGACGCTCTCGTAGCAGATTCGCCGCCCTGGTGAGCAGCTCCCGTCGCTGCCATGGACTACTCCGCTTCCAGGTGTTAAAGGCTTGGTAGCTACTGTCCACTGCATTCTGAACAACCTCTGGTGTAGCGCCGTGTGCCGTTAGGGACTCACCGGTAGCACTGTTGGTTACAGGGAACGTAATGCCCGACAAGACAGCCTCATTGCCGATCCACAGAGGAACGGTTCGGCTCTCGAGCAATGACATAGTTTATTCTACTGTTGGGACTTCCTTGTACTGAAGCGAGCTTTCAGACCATGGAGAAGCTCGCACATACCATGGGCGTAGGGCTCCTTTTCACCTGATTTTCCGGATGATGTTGCCATAGAGCGGATCACTATCCGGCATGTGTGGGCTAGGATCCGGTACGGTTACCACACCGCGCGCGCTGGCTCGCGGCAAGCGGGGAGACATGCTTGTTCAAAAGCAACCGTAGGAATAAGCCGATGCGTACATAGCATACTCTAAGACATTCAAGAAAACGAGACATTATTGTTGGTATATTTAATGTTCGATATGGAGATTATACACTGTTCTCAATGTGCTCCTCGTAATATAATCCTTGTGTAAGCCAGGCAATATCAGGAGTATTATACATCCAAATCTGCTCATCAAAGCGCGCATCTTCCTGCATAATGTTCGGCCGAGAGAGTATATCTTTGTTCCAAATGGAAGGGTCTGGTCGCACATGGCTATTTTCACCTCCCAGCATGACTGCGGTGCCGGGGGTTTCTAGGACACCCAAATCGTTCATCATTCCTGCTTCATATTCGTTACACTGACGACCTTGATATTTCCATTTAGAGGGAAACGACAAACCGTTCTGACTCCGGTAGTGGAAGACTTCTTGCTGCACCGAGATGAGAAATTTGCGGCAGCGTCCCGCCGCGCGGCTTCGACTCTGGTACCGTTTGAGAGCTGCGAAACATCGACTTAGTCCTTCGAGAAGTGAAGCTTCGTCCATGCAGTGGATATGATTCGGAGAGCATAACAGACTGATGAGAAAAACCATGGCGCAGCTATGTATATCTATGAAGGGACATCAGCACGATTTTCGACCCGCAGAGTGCCAGAAGTGACTTACAGAAGACCGTGTACCACGGTGGAGAAAGGAGGTCCGTCTTGAAATACATGTTATCCTCAATGAGCTGTAATAACTCCTGTGCTCCAGACACGCATAGGTTGGCTGCCTTGAGCACCATCTCATCTTGCATTGAACCCGTGCCTAATTCACTTGATTGCGATGCTGGGTCACAAAGGCCCGATAAAACCGGTCTGAGCATCATTAAGCGAACGTGCAAATATCTTTCCACATTCGTTAGTACTGACTTATCGCGTCATACGTTTGAGGGACAGGCTAACATACCTAACCTCCAGGACTATCGCCTGCCTACGGTACACTACCTTTCTATCTGATAGGTTGAGCGTGGGGGGCTCTCCGCTGCTCTTATACTGACCGGCTTGAAGATGTGGCGGTAGTCTTTTATGCCATGTTGTAAGTAGACTATCAACGGCGAAGAGCTTGTGGAAGTCTACACTTTTTGCTCCGGTGCTGAGCGAGGGGGCCGGGCTTGGGCTAGGATCCGGGTGGTACAGCGTGGTTAGAACCTCGCCGAGGATATCTTGCAGTTGAACCGTCTGTATATAACATTCTGTTAGGCTCGGTATCTCATCTGGTTGTGATCCTGGAGCGTCCGGAAGTCGCGTTAAATATTCATCATCCACTGCTAGTGGAAGGACGAGCTGGCTCTGCGACATGGCTGCGTGCACAATCAAGGGCCGCCCGTACGTCAAGCAGAGGACTCTAACACATAGTGAGTCACCAACCGAGTGCGGAGAGAACATTGAAGGTAGCAAATAGACACTTACCGATCCAACAACACACAGCCCGCCCATGCCCGTCTTCGCATCTCCGTCTCCGCTTGGTCAAGGGCCTGTGATGGGCAGCAACCCTGGTTGCAATTTTTGGGATCGTGGTGCAGCCCAATATTCTGGGCGACGCGCACCGCAAGCCCGACGATGTTCCAACAAGTGCTCGACATCTCTGTGCTCTGTAGGTACTGGCTCATGAGCAACAGCGTTTGCACGAGAGCCAAGCTGCCTGCAGCGAGCATGTCCAGATCCATGAGCTTCTTAGCGCGCTCAAAGAATCCGCGGCTCAACTGATCGCGGTCCTTGTGGCCCATCCTGGGGCTGAAGAGGGCACCTAAAGCAAACACGCTGTTGAGCATGCAGTAGAATAGACGGTCGCCCATGGAGGTATAAAGGCCCCCCGGCGTGAAAGCTTGGGCTTCTGTGCAAAGACAGCGTGGCCCCGTCTGAGGGTACCAGATCATACGGTAGCGTTCTTCGAATGACGGCCTATGGATAGATGGATAGAGTGAGTGTGTCCAACGCCAGTAGTTTTCTACAAGATCGTCGGCTTCGTCGCGTGGAGGAACTGTCATTCCAAATACCGCACTGTCTGTCTTGAGTGAGTGGGAACGCCCCGATGAAGCACAAGACGGGCTCAAGACAGAGACCAGTTCATGTTGGCATTGGGAGCATGGCCTATTATTCAACACAGACCAGTGTTTACGGCACTGCTGGCCCATGGCATTCCTCGCCCTGTCTACCAGACTCGCAGTACTGGAGGGACCAAAATACTCAGAAGGTCGTCGGTTTCGCCTACCACCGATGCTATTCAAGGGAGCTATGACGCCCATTGCGTTAACATCAGTGTCGTCGCTATCCGAGCCGGCGTCAAGATCTGGATCTGGGTCCTGGTAGGTTGGAGAGGGCTTACTGCGCAATGAATGCGGCAAGTCCTTGGGCGAATCAGGAAGGTTATTATTTACGGCAGGTCTATATTCGACCTGCACGTCGGTGTAGTAAGGTGGCAGACTCTTTGTAGTCTGATCAGCTGGTGGGCTCGTTAGCTGCGCCATTGGTTGAGGCATCTCCATCTCCGGACTGGCATTGGCGGGTTCCGGCGGCGACAATCCTGGAAACAGAACGTTATCAGCAGATTGACCTGATAGATGATTCTGCGCCGACTCAAGCTCCCGGATTCGAGCCCTGAGGCCCTCAACATAACTGTGAAACTGTCAGGAAGGGTTCGGAGATCAGATTGAAGGTTTGAAGACATTACCTATTGGTCCACATCTTGCTGACCCTCTCCTCGTTCCAGACGCATGTCGTGATGCTTCGTCGACGGCATGCGCCGCATACAGGCTTCACGCCGTCACACTTGCGCTTCCTATCGCGGCATTCATCACAGGCCAATGGAGTGCGGCGCCGTTTACGAGTGCCCCCAGGCTCGGGAGACCCGGCCGTAGACCTCGGCGACATTTGTGACACCATTGGCATACTCCTATGGCATCTGTTGAACGGAGTGGAAGCCTCTGGGCAAATAAGTTTGCCGCGCAAATAATTCAGACACAATGATCTGATTGCGTGTGGTCTCTAGCACCCTGCTTAAATGATTTGAGGTATGACAGATGGTTGAAAGGAGACGCCGGAACCAACGGTGGCGCCAGACTGCACTCCGCTTTCTCCGCATATTCACCAAGGCTAAACATGTGCAGCTGAAAATACCCCATGGGGCAGCCACTGTTACACTATTCTATTCATGCTAGGGAATCCTAAAGGCCCTAAGTTAAGGGGGAGCCATTATATGCCCGCTTACAATTCACTTTCCAAACGCGCAAGTACTACAGGATTTATCTCGAACCGAGTTTGCAATAGTCCCCATCATGGCCTCCAGTGGGGAACCATCAAATGACAAACTTTTAGAGCTCGTTTTTTCCATCAGAATCTCTCAGCAAGCTGACATTGACATGATGGCAGGGTCTGCTGAAGCATCTAAACAAGAGCCTGGCAAGAGGTTTGCAGAAAGGAAAAGAGAAGAAAACAGGCCCGCAAAATAAGTATCTACTCGTACGTGCAACATGAAGAGAATACGACCACAGTTCTAGATGAGTCTAATGTGATGAGTATGCTGATCATGTCTCGATTTCCCCCTTTGTTGTAAACACCTTGCACTGCAACATGGGCAGGACGCTTAGGGACTTTCGGACTCTGCGTGTTCAAGATGTTGGGCAAACACAAACAAGATGCGGGGCACATGCAATCATGGCCACATCCGGTCAACCGAGCATTAGTCGTCTTTCATGGTAACGATGATCAATTCGAGGCTCTCAAATATGTTTCGTTAAAAGGAGGGTATTCTAATGCAGACCAACCCGTCTTGTAATTATTGGAACTAGCTCGACGCTAGCGGAAGCGCATCCGGCCTCACCTCCGGAAGCACATCCGGCGCTCGATGTTGACTCTTGGGAATGCGTTCAATATTGACCTACTATCACATTAATCCATTCTAACAGCTCAGAGGCTTTCACTCAATAAGCCGTTGAACAAAACCTCTGTGTTTCTTATTTAGTGTAATCAAGAGGTCTGGTACATAAATGCATCTCCCAGGTTTACAGGGAGCGCCAGAATAGGCAGTCAATCTAAAAGACCGACCTATCAGATATTGTGCTCCTGAGTATAATATCATGGCACTCTCTGTAGCAGGCAGATATGCTATCATCACTGGCGGTGGTTCAGGTACAACTACCCGTCGTTGTGTCAGACAGCCCCAGACTAACTACCATTACTAGGCATCAATCTCGCATTTGCGAAGAAGCTTCTCTCCCGCGGGTGCTCTGTTCTAGTTGGTGATATAAGCCTACGACCAGAGGCCCAAGAGCTTCTAAAGCAGTATCCGCACGATCCTTTAACACCTCCATCAGCTAACAGACCTGTCGCGCTATTCAAGAAGACGGATGTCACATCATGGCCGCAGCTGTCGGCGTTGACTCGAGCGGCTGAGACTGCCTTTCCACAAATTGACATCGTTGTTCCTGGTGCTGGCATTTTTGAGCCTAGGTGGAGTTCTTTCTGGAATCCTCCAAAGTCACCGACAAATCCAAATAGTCCTTCACGAGATGAAGCAGAGGGTGACCCAGGCCACTATGCCGTGCTAGATGTTAACCTGACGCACCCAATCCGGCTCAGCCAGCTCGCTATTTCCCACTGGACCTCACGTCGTATGCCGGGCTCGCTACTTATCGTTGGTAGCATGGCTGGATACGTGCATGGTATCGGATCACCATTATACTTTGCTAGCAAACACGGCGTACACGGCTTTGTGCGCAGCCTCGGTCGTTTGCGAGACACGGTCGGAATTCGCACGGCTGCTATTGCGCCTGGTGCTGTTAATGTATATTCATTCCCGTTAAAGACACAAGAGCTCTGCTAACAGAATTTCTTTTGTCTAGACACCACTATGGAGCGATGATCCTGATAAAAGCAGCATGATTAGTGCAGATGAAATTACAGCCAGCGCGGAGGATATTGCTGACGCTATGTTAGAGTTACTAGAGAATCCACAGTACGGTGATGGGACGATATTTGAGGCAACAGCCAGAGGCACACGCGTAGTCCCCGCGTTTAACGCCCCTCCACCAGATATTGAAGATGGAGGGATATCAGAGTATGAGGCTGGAGTGGCGAGACAATGGGAGAAGAAAATCACTGAGGAGGGCCTAAAGGTGTAGGCAAATTAAACTCAAGATGTCTACGGAGTAACTCTATATGAAGTTCGCTTTTTTTCTTTCCAACATTTTGTAAAGATCCATATTTAAAACTTAGTTTGTATTGCATGTCTCCACGTTAGTTCCATGTTTTTACCTCCAAAAGCTTCTCCGCTATCAACAAAGATAGTGATGTATAACTGATGGATAAGAGTATATAAGGGATAGCAACTGTCGCCATGGAGGGTTGGCTTAATCTTTGCTTATTTTAAGCTAGACAATCGCTGACAAAGGACTACGGATCCCCGGAGCGGGCTCTTCGAAGGGAGAAAGGCCACGGAAGCAACTCCGCAAGCTTCCATGGAGAATGACTCCAAGAATTTCACTAGGCGGTGGCTAGCGCGACTGAGCGAAAAAAAAAAACCCCCCTTTCTATACCAACCGAACGCCCGTCCGTCCGTCCGTCCGAAGACCTCTCAAGAAAGCCTGTGACCACTGATTGGTAACGGACTAGAGACAACGTACCAACTTCTTGTCATGGTCCCAGCACATTCATTCCATTCATTACAGATGAAAAGGAAAGTATAGATATTGGTTCAATTACATCAACAACTATTCTGTTTTCGGTGAGAGCTAGGGGTTCATGCTTACCTCCCCGATTCTTGGTACGAGGCGGGTGTGATCCGCTAGCGGTGAAGCATAGGATCTCGATTAGGATCTAGGCATCTCATCCGGGGCCCCAGATCGAGGAAGCTGGGGTTGCAGGGAGATCCAGAATGCGGCCATCTAGACATACATAAAACACGACATGTTGTCTTCCCTACTGTGACAAAGTAACCAACAAGCTTCGGGAACTACACTCAAACTCATCTTATTCATTGCACCTCTGCAGAGATGGAGCCCAAGGAGCTTATACACACACACCTCGCCGATGGGCTCCTGTTTGGCGAGTCCCCTCGCTATTACAACGGCCTCCTCTATATCAGTGATATGACTGGACGCATCATATACACCATAGACCCTTCTTCGGGCGAAAAGAAAGTGCTCCGTGAAGTTGAGAACCAGCCGAACGGCATGTGCTTCTCCTTCGACGGTTCGCTCATCTATTCGTCCATGTTTGATGCTAAGCTATACCGTCGAGATGCCTCCGGTAAAGATACACTGTACGCCGACATGTCTGGCGTTATGACTGGCTACTGCGGCGACATGGCCATCGACAGCACTGGCCGTGTCTATCTTGATGACACAGGAGCACGGGTCTTACACGGCGAACAGCCGCGGCCGGGTCGCCTTCTCGTCATCGAGACAGACGGCTCTGTCAAAGTCGCTGAGGAAAACATCATATTTCCCAACGCCTTGTTCATCAGCCCCGATGGCAAGGCGCTATATTGCGCTGAGACCTTTGGTTATGGTCTGCTCAAGTGGGACATCGGTGCCGGTGGCGACATCTCCAACCGCCAAAAGGTGTGGTCTCCCGCCACAATCTCACCAACCGGCGAGGTCGGCAATACGGCCCACGGCCTTATCGGTATCGACGGTGGATGTATGGATGGCGAGGGAGGCATGTGGCTGAGCTGCCTGGGCTTAGAGAAGTTCATCCGCCTCGATCAGCAAGGAAACATCACGCACGAAATCCATGTAAAGGGTCATGCGACGGCATGTACTCTTGGCGGAGACGATGGGAAAACACTCTTTCTGGTCACAAATTGGTTCCCAGATGATGAAGAGACCATTTTCTCAGCCATGGTAGCCAAGCGGACCAAATGTACAGTGAGTTATGCGAGAGTGGATGTTGCAAAAGGCACGGCGCGGCCGTAGAGGCTTTATAGAGATCCCCAGCAATTACGGCCTAAAGGATCATTCTGAGAGTTGCTCTATTACTTCTATATCAAATAGATACGGCTGTAATTAGTGAGGATTTCCTTTAGTCGATGATCGTTACTATAAGTGTGAATATAATTCTTTCATTGTCTTCCATTTACGATAACGGATACTGAAATAACAAACGAGTAAGCAGCCATATAGTTACTTTTGTTTCTTTGGGAATAGCATATTATCAAAATCAGCGAATTGCATATATGGATAATAACCTCGTTCAGCAAAAACGAGAGCAATTTGATATCCAGGACACGTATTTAACAGCAACGTCAGACAACTTAGGATACAAGTACATATCGATCTTCATCTAAATATAAGCTAGAATACCCAATGAGACTGATGTAATTATTGCTCGCATTTATTGGAAAAGTTCTATACTGTGCCCCTTTCGTGCTTTGAGAGATTCACTCTACCCAAGTACACTGTCTTCTTTAGGATCTATAATGAGTTCCTTTATTTTGAACAGCACCGATTCCCGAAGCATGTATCATATGCCTCATACTACCTACGGCTTCACTGCTCTGAACACTAAATCCTTAGTGATACTGCCATACCGGGCCTTCCACAGGTCCACAAAGTAGTTGGTGCGTCCTCTCCAAGGTCCAATATTGCCACAGCGGGGGATGGAGCCTTGTGCTTTTTTCACATATGTAGCATTAAGATCCCAAATCGGCCGAGGCTCCATGGGAACTCCCTTGGGCAAACGCGGAACAACGCTGGAATAACGCTTCCTCCGCATATGCTGTAGCAGGCGGCAAACGAGCTGGGAGCTTGTTTCAACTCCCAAGGTCCAAGAGGCATTGACATAGCCCATCATGAAAGCCAAATTCGGTACATCTTGTAACATCGTTGAGTTCCAAGCATAGCGATCAGCGAGGTTGATCTCTTCGTCATCCATAGTGACGCGGATATGACCACCAATGCAAAACTTTAGGCCCGTGGCGGTGACAATTATATCCGCTTCCAGAGTTTTTCCATTATCGAGGATTATAGAGTCTGAGGTCACCGTCTTGATGTGAGCAGTCTCTACGTGCGCCCTGCCCTCTCGGAGACTCTCAAAGAAGTCGCCGTTAGGAGAGAAGCAAACACGCTGGTCCCAAGGCTTGTAGAGTGGCCGGAAATGGTCCATGGAAACTCCCTTGGGAAGTTGTTTCGCGACAGCGCTTTCCAAGGAAGCCCGAGAACGCTCGGGAAAGAGCCGGCAGAAGTTGTACAGGATAACAATCATCCACATAAACATCCAGCGATCCAGTTGGAATGCCCACGTCCGAGGAAGAAGTTTGTGTATCCACGAGCCGCCTGTTGTGTTGTCGATAGACATCATATAAGTTGGGCTGCGCTGCAGCATCGTTACATGGCTTGCCTTCTTAGCTAGATTGGGCAGCAGTGTGATGGCAGTGGCACCGCTGCCGATAATGACCACCCGCTTCCCAGCGTAGTCGAGATCTTTAGGCCAGAATTGCGGGTGTACGAGATCGCCACGGAAGTTAGATAACCCCAGGATCTCGGCTCGTAGAGGTTCTTTGTAGTCGTAATAGCCTGTTCCCAGAATCAAAAACTTCGTATGCATCTCAACGCTGCGGCCCTTGGTTTCAACCTCCAAAGTCCAGAGCTCCGATGCCGATGACCAATTGGCCGCGATTATGCGGTGCTGAAACCGAATGTGGCTGTATATTCCATCCATTTCTGCCGTAGTGCGTAAATAGCGGGCGATAGCATCACCATCTGCGATGGCTCGATTTTCCTGCCATGGTTGCCAGCCGAATCCAAATGTATGCAAATCCGTGTCAGATCGGATGCCAGGATAGCGGAACAGGTCCCACGTGCCACCGATGTTCTCACGGCCCTCAAGAAGTAAATACTCTGAATCAGGCAGTGTTCTCTGAATATGATGTGCCGCGCTGATGCCAGAAATGCCAGCACCTACGATGATGACATCGTGGACGTGGTTAGGAGTGCTTTCGTTCATGATGTTTGATGTCGTGATTCTAGGATTCTAGAAAGATCGCTGCTAATTGTTCATCAAAATCACTGCCATGAAAACTCACTTACATGTATGTCGCTGGGCGGGAGACATCCGGAGTCCTCTCATCCATTATCATGAATCCCTGAGCCGAAGTGGGGTCCGGATCTGAATCCGGGGGTGCGCCTTGAGTCTTGGGTTCAACTCGGATAGAGACCCGGGCACGATTTCATGGCATACACTGCGGGGAGCTGTACGGTTACCCAAACTACGATCTAAACTATACCCCTCAGGCGATGGGAGCCAACTGCGCTGTTCGTTGAGTTCAAAGGGCGATTTCGTATGTTGTGATTGGAGGGCCCCGATTTCTACGCAACGCAAGTTCTCCATCCTACGTCGTTACATGTCTTGCCCGGATTCTACCTCCACATTGCGGGGAAGATCTCCATGGGGAGAGATTCTGAGGCGGATGCCAGCAAGCTGAGGCTTGTATGGCTATAAAGCAAACGCCCTTTGGCAATGATATTTTGCAAAACCAGAGTGATCCAGCAAGAAACTTAACCCACTACCAATTATTATTTGCGCTTTAGCTTTTTTATATCAAAATGGAGCCCAATCGAATTGACGTTCATCACCACTTTGTTCCAGATTTCTACCGCAAAGGTACTTTTTCGTACCCTAGCATTTATATGTCATACCCACTAACCTCGCGTACTTTACAGCCCTAGAGGTTTCTGGTGGTGACCCATCTGGGTGGTTTATCCCCGAATGGACACCCGAGCTGGACCAAAAAGTCAATCAAAAATTCGGTATCACGACTTCCATCCTTTCCCTCACGGCCCCTGGAGCCTGCATCCTGAAGGATCCCCAGGCCTCTGCCAACCTAGCTCGGCAGGCCAATGAGTTCTGTGCCAAGTTGCGAGATGAACAGCCTAATAAATATGGCTTCTTTGCCGCACTGCCAAATCTCCAAGACGAGGAGCTCACACTCAATGAGATCGCTTATGCCTACGACGTCCTCAAGGCGGATGGTGTGATCCTTTTCACACGCTATGGAAAGGGCAACCACTATCTCGGCCATCCGGACTTCAAGGGAATTTGGGCGGAGCTAAATCGCCGCTCTGCCGTGATTCTTGTTCACCCTACCCACCCGGTTGATACCGCCCAGGTCAGCAGTATGCCACAGCCAGTCATTAGGTATCCCTACGAGACGACCCAGACCGCGATCGACATGCTGCACAACAAGACGGTCCGTAATAACCCAAACTGCAAGATCATCCTATCGCACGCTGGTGGTACACTGCCTTACCTCATCGGCCGCCCGACTAGTGTCTTAAACAAGACAAAGGAAGACGCCGACGCATTCTGGGATGATGCTCGCAACTTCTACTATGACACGGCCGTCGCTGGGACAGAAAACGTACTGTGTATCCTGGAGAAGTTTGCCAAGCCTGGCCACATACTATACGGCAGCGATACTCCGTACGCAAATAATGACATTATCGACTTCCACACATCTCGGCAGGACGCGTACCGATTCCAAGAGCCAGCCCTGGCCGCCCAGGTGAATCGCGAAAATGCTCTAGCATTGTTCCCAAGACTGAAGAATCAAGTATTGAATTAAATGGGACTTAAAGCTTGCCTTTATTCCGAACTTTGTCTACATCAGAGGGGATTTTATCTACCTACAATACTTGTCTGAGGGTGTACACAAGGTTAGATACCAAGGTGAATCTCATCAGTCATAACTGTGTAGTAGACAATGGAATTATATACTCCTAATCAGGGAGCGTGTCATAGTAATAGCCGCAGTGCATTTGGTAAGACAATGTGTCGACTGTAATTGGTGCGGTAGCAATATTACTGTGGCGCCATAAAAGCAGAAGTTTTTGACAATACTGATCAACAATCCCGAAGATGCCATCACTAATTGTGGTAAGGCTCCAAAAGTGGTTATAAGAGCGAGCGGGCCAATAAGAATTTGCCCACTTCAGCTGATGCCAGCTAGATACTAGCGCCACAAGTTCTCTTGCTTACCCAACTTAGTCATGAACCAGAGTAAGAACCAGAGTAAGACTGTGGTAGCCGCGGAGTACGTCATAGCTAGATCTCAGTTTGCCCTCACCCAGAATAAACTTGGAGCAATCAAGCTACACTCTGCCTAAGTAGGTGCATTCACCTTCTCCATCCAGCTTGCGGCCTTGAGAGTGTCGTAGGCTCTGTGCAGATACTAAAGCGACCAAATCATCAACTATCGTGCTACAGAAGTCGCGTTAGCCGTAAACAGGGGGCGAACCTATAGGCTGTTACCTGTCATTCAAAGATTGACAGGTCCCATGATAGATTGCAGATAAAATGGTGCGATTAGAGGATCTACCGGGAAAAACGGCAACGAGAAGAGCTGTTAGAACCAAAGTAAGAACCGGATGTATTACGTGGTAAGTTTGTTGGCCATTCCCTGTTGCCGTGTTGGTTGCTAATTCAGTTGATAGTCGGTAAGTTTCGATCAAGAAAGTACTGTAGTTCTCGCCATACTAACAAGATGACAGAATCCGACGCGTTAAATGCGATGAAGGAAAGCAAAGTTGCAACAGGTGTCTGTCTACGGGTAGGGTTTGCGATGGATATGATTTAACCGTTCGAGTCGTCAATCCATTGGGCAGGGCTCGGCAAAAAGGTGTAGCAAGAGCTTCTGGTGATTTGACTATGCCGCCAACACTACTGAACAGCATATTGGGAACTGAAACGGAGAAAAACTTCTTTTACACCTGCAGACGTGCAACTGAATCAGGTGTAGCTTTACATATATGCTGCGTTACATCATTCTGGACCCGACTCGCACCGCAGCTTAGCCATGAATACGACGCAGTACGCCACGCAGTTATAGCAGTTGGCGCCGCTTACCACTTGCACAAGGTGGCCGATATAACCTCAATACCACGAGGCACGAAAGAGAAAATTGAAATATTTATACTTCAACAATACAACAAGTCTATCTCTATCTTACGACAGGATATTTTACAGAAGCGCTACATTTGCGATACCGGAGTCGTTCTAATATGTTGCCTCGCATATATTTATCTGGAGAGTCTTCGCTTGAACCATGCAGCGGCCATAAAGCATCTCAAAAATGGAATACACATCATCGAATCGTCGGTTGACCTCAAAAGTCTACGTAACCACACTTCAGCTAGCCATCGCCATAAGGGAAAGAGCGCGATTCTGTCTACCCAAGATTTATGGGGCATCGTCTTACAATTTCGGAACTGTGAGCTATGCATGCACTGCTTCTCATCGGAGGTCCCCATGACTTTGGGGAGCAAGCTATATGAGAAGCACTCAGTCAATACAGCCGCCGCTCAACCCAAGTCTATCAGAAGCATTGCGGAGGGCCATGAAGCAAGGATTCAATTGGCCAGTGAGGTCATGTCTTGCGACTGGCAGTGGCAAGCATTCAAGCACCAACCCACATTTTGGGTAGAAAGCCATGTTCACCAGGAACTATCTTCCCTTCGGCAACGAGGTCGTTTTATTGACTTAAGCCTGCAAGCATATATGTCCAGTCCAGCTGCTCCTAGCAAAGGAACTTGGGAGTACTATAGTCTTTGCATGGATATGCTTCACACTGTGTCCATCTTGGCTGTAATTGAGCTCATGCCAGTACCCCCCGAAGAGCATGCTATTCTGGTGCATTCGGCGAGTTTTCAGAACGAGATTCTTGGTAAGATGATTGCATACGGTGAGGAGATGCACGCTGTGCACACCTCTTTAGGCTGGCCGCCGCCGGATGTCAGCCTTGAAACTTCGATAGTTGGTCCAATGTATTGGGTATATGTGTATAGCGCCCATCCTCAGGACAAGAAAAGGGCGATAAAAATTTTGCAAGAAACAAAGCAAAGAGAAGGGCCATGGGATGCCAAACAGATTTTGACGATGCTAAAATGGGATGCGGAACGGCAGTGCAGCTGCGAGACGTTACGCAAGTGGGGAGGCGACGCCAATTGCTATGAGCATTTTAAATAAGGAGTCAATATAGGAGCCAAATTGAATTGTAACCGGGTATTTACTGAAAAAAAAAAAATTGTCTGCAAACCAGGACCATCACTGAGAGATTCAGGTTGCAAACCCCCCCTCAACAACGATCACATCAATCCTATTGAAGTTTGTATTCAACAAGGCTGCTTTCATTTAGTTTGTTATGTAAAACTAACTGAACGCCAATACTGAGATACCAAGGTACCATATCTTCAACTCTTGACGTAGGAATGTCTGTTCAAGGTCAAAATTGGTTCCAAGATTGACTAGCAACCCATACCCAGGTTCACCAGATCCAAATTTAAACGTTTGGCTTCTTTCACTATACACTTTTCAGTTCCTCGATGGGCACTTCCTCCGCTAACTTGATGCCATTCACTGTCGGCAAATCCGCGTCCACTAACACAAAAAATCCCCGTGCAACATCGGTGGTGCTGTTGTTCTTCCAAGAATGAATTGTCCCTCGTTGAATAAGGATATCTCCTCGTTTCAATACCGTACTCTCTCCACTATCAAGATTTAATTGTAATTCCCCTTCGATAATAACTCCAAAATCGATAGTCTTCGTTCTGTGTATCGGTCCTTCCGACTCTCCAGGTAAAAAATCGACAACTCGGAGCAGAGTCCCGCCAGGAATACTGAGACCCACATTATGTGGGAGTCGATCTTGGTACGCTTTCAGGTCTTGGTCGTCTTGCAAGATGCCTGGAGCTTGGTTCAAGGTGTAACATAAATAAAAGTTCATGCCAGGAATGTCAACCCGCGGAGGGTTCTCGGACAGATCTTCGCTAATAACGGCTTTCCCATCGGCGTTATGAGTAGTTATCACACGTCGTGGAGGCGGTAAGTAGACCGGAGCCGGTGAGTCAGTTGAACTATTTGTTGAACTCATGATGGAATAATGAATATTTCTCTTGGAGCAAATGTTGTGTTGTAAAGTTTGCGGTGTCTACCAAAGAGCAGGCGGCGCACCACGGCTACTTATACACATTCTTCTTTTACGAATTACCAAGTCAATCATGTTTACGGCTCAGTAGAAAACGCCTTGGGCCAGGGATATATTAAGCGATTCAACTTAGGGACCCGACTTTAATATGCGTCATCGTTGTTTTTGTCAACATCAAATGTAGGTTCAAGAAGATTACCAAACATCAGCTCACGGACTTCTTTTTATTGGTTGGCTCGCTGCGCAACCCTTACTTGGGATTAGCACAACCCTGTCAGCGAATGCTTAGCTTGTGTCAAAATCGTGGCGCTTAGTCGAAAGATGAGCGTCATGGCCAATGGATTACCCTATACGCGGCGCAATGTCGACTATTTCTCTTTCAGATTGGTTCACAAATGAGACGTTTGGATAAGGAAAATTGCGAATAAAAATAACGTCAAACAGGACCTGAGCTACGTAATGGCCGAGAAAATATATGCAGTGAAGTGAGGGTGAATATATTAGTCTGCACTTGTTCAACGGCTTGGACTCGCACAACTAGCGATCACATATTAGGAAGCCATCAAACTAAAGTAAGAATCTGCAGCTGTTCAACTCTCAAGGTACAAATAGAGGAGATTACGATCAAGTTGCCATATATGAGTGATGGGGCCTGGTGTTGCGTTAGCAACAAACTGGCCACCACTAGATTTATCGCTTGTGCCATCAAGGTTTTGTATTTCACTTACCGAGCTAGCTCATACGGTATCTGTCCTAAATGATCGGGTACCCCTTGCTTAACGGTGCTGCCTCATAAGCCTAATATGTGCTTCAGTGATTAAGCCTTCAAAATGAATAAAGTAGTAGGCGAACAATGAGAAGGCAATTCTCCAGCTGGTAAAAAGCTCCTAATGAGAAATTATTTTGTAGTATTGAAACAGGGGCAGCTAGGTTTTACAAGCTTGTGGTTTAGCTTATTGTGACGCTTGCCTAAATAAGTAGGTAGTTAAGAGCAAATCTTGCTGATCCACTTTTGGCATGCCTTGGTGTATAAAATAAATGTGCTTCATAAGGTAGGCTATGAACTTTGCAAGAAGAGGGAACGTTTCCTCCTGCTGCTTAATCGCAATGGTCTAAATGCCAGTGATGCAGAGATTGATGCTTTGTTGTCATTACGGAATTAGTTTCGATTCCGATAGATCACGCTATATTTCCTCAGAGTCGTAGCACTCTACTTATTGACAGGCAAATTAGTCACACCTGTTCGCAGTTGTGATAAATTGGCCCCAGGTGGCTCCGTAAGCTAATAGGGGGCACTACACAAGATCATCACTCCCCGTTGACTTATCTGGTTACAGTATCTTCAATCATGCAGCAAAGTTGGAAATGCGGAAATAAAAGAATTGTATTGGGATGATATGATCTCAGTACTCAAATAACATTTGTAGTCTTAGAGAATATAAAATAGCCATAAACTGATCATAAGACCTTTAGAACAGCCATGATCATATAGCAGTCTGTAGTCTTAGAATGGATGGTAGCCGCAGACTGAGCTAGCCAAAGCCTGGGGGTTTGAAGCAGCCTTTCCCCAGTTCCAGTTGCGGGGGATGTTTGTACCCGGCTGAAGATTATTGGCAGCAGGCCAGTAGAAATCGTTGTTGCGGAACATCTCGGATACAGTCGTAGCGCAGTTGTTCTTGCCCAGTCCCGTATACTGGTGAGCAAACATTGTATGATGAAACTTAGCCGAGTAAATCATAGCGTGGTTGCCGTTTCTCTTGCCTCCGTCCGTGAATGATTGCCTATTACAATAATTTGAGTCAGCATTAAGTCAATCTTGAGATTGGATGTAAACTTACCCGTCATCCCAGGTCTCCAAGTCACCCCAAGAGATATAAGCCTGATTGGGATCCTCTTCCAAAATAATACCGTTACGGAACCATAAGCCATTGCTGGCTCTAGACAGGACTACGCAGGCATACTCCCAGTCTGATTCGTGTCCTGAATCGTGGCGGAAGTAAATATCGTAGCACACACGTCTTGTGCCGTCATTACAGTCGGTGGTAGTCCAGTAGGTCGGGAACGAAGTGCCCTGGGTACCTGCACCCCTCCATTGGCCAGGAGATTGGCAGCCGGAATCTAGATGGCTGCCGGCAGGAACACCACAACCGCTGGCGCCATTTCCATTTGTCTGCTGACCGTTAATTTCAGCAGCTTGAGGATAGCAAGCGCCGTCTGAAAAGAACCAGATACTAGGATATAGTTAGCAGGCTTGTTCTATTGATATAGTTAATTATTTCCAAAGCATACGGAGCAAGGTCCTTGATGACAAAGTCATGATCTGCATGAGTTCTATTAGCTGGATTCCCCTTCGTAGTGTATTTCTTCAAATGAACTTACTGTGTGCCCAGTCATTATCGCTGTACTCATGGGCTGCGAAACCCAGCTTTGCAAAGGCGAGAAGAGAAACCGAAAGGAATTTGGCAGCCATTTGAATCAAGTCAATACACACTGGGATGTTTATAGGGGCGAGCTGATTTGGAGTGATAGACCGATGATCTGTAGAGTAGGTTTCTGCAAAAGAACTGAGGACTCTGAGACATATTTATATCCTTCGCAAAGCTGTAGTATTTGAAGCCAGGCAGGGTTCGCAAGATACTGCTGGGTCTCTGTACTAGTTCAACATAGCCTCGGTCAATTGGCTACAGAGCGTATATCTACATGGCCTTGTCTATCCAGCAACTAATGGACTAATCGGTATTTGCAACTTTTAGACGGACTTTGCCGAAACAAAAACAGAAGTACCTTCACCGTAGGTGGGTCTGTTCCAGAACCAAGATCTTGGGCGGACCAAGATGTGAATAGTTAGGTTTTTATGCCAAAAATCGTGCTCGGACCATAAGATTTCCAAAAGCTTGACCCATTGGGGTCGTATAATTTGTCTTTTCTTCTTAGTTGCATATAAGCGCAGTCCCAGATTGTGGGAGATTGCTTGTTATATTAAGCGCTTACTCAGACATCTAAGCCACTTTACACTATTGGTTTTCTCGATCCAGAATATACGACTGTCACATGCGAATATCAAGTAAATAACAACATAAAAAGAAGATATAGTTATGTATCTTCGCTTTGTTTTGAAACCCCCAGCATAGCATAACTGAGCCAGTTGCCAAACAATCTCATTTCGCTGGATATTTTGAGGGAAAGACGTGATTCAACGACTATATTAGAATAATTACGAAATTCCTTCATACAATATATGTAAGTATAAAATAAAACAAATTGTTTTTATCCGCTTAGTCGTGACTATATCAGGTACTATTCAAAGCATCCTTGCGTAGTCCTCTGCGTGTAATGTATACTATGAGGAAGAGTGTATATGACTATGACAAGGCTCATGAGCTGAAGAGCTTTGACACCTATCTACTGCAGATAGATAGCGCTGACGTGAAAGTGGATATATCATCAGTACTGTTCCCGAAATTGGATACGAAGCCGAGAAGAAGTGATAATGGTAGCGTGTATACGTTATATTATACCTTTCCCGCTGGATGAGGTGTTTATGGGTATACTTATTCGCTGCTTCGGTTCATTCAGAAAGAGGGCCAAAGGCGTAAAACTTTTTTTTTCTTCTCCTCTGTGATAGTTAAGCCACTGGCTCAACATAACAAACAAAGCAGAGCTTCGCCAATCAATCTGGGAAGAATATATTTACAAACTTGTACAGCAACAGCGTAAACATAGATTTCAGTAGAGGAAGCAGCTCATATACCCCATTTGGTCATTGCTTCCTAAGTGGTATGCAGTAATATGTCATTAAATTCCGCTGGTCCCACATACGTACCAGACATGTCTTACAATGCCATGACCCAATATACTGACCTAAATGTATATACGAGTACGGATTACTCTGTCTATAAGGGCGTTGAAAGGGAGATTTCCGAAATGTCTACTTTATCTTCAACAGTGCTCAAAATAAGTTAGTGCATCACCGCAACTCTCCGCCCCCTGCTAGCATAATTCAAGGTGCAGGTTGCTTTCAGCTTTTAGCCGTGCTCTCTGATCTAGGCTCCAAGGTAGGAGGCCACTTGGAGGACCGAAAAATAAATCAATGGGCTAGATTAGGCCTTCATTATGGCATGGAACCTAATATGCTTTGTACCGGCCTGTACTATCCAAAAAAACCGAAATATAATTGCCCATTGGATTGGATAGTTTCCCATAGATCGATCTTATGCCAAGCTTTCTTGGCAGCAGATTCGCAATATCATTACTAGCTTCGAATTAATTTTAGGTGAGCATGTCATATCTTCTTTATATCAATACGAACAAAATTTTCTGCAAAGTTCAAGTCATGCAAATATAGCGGCTAGACCATACGGTCGTTCAAGGCCCTTAAGCTTGCTTTCACAGTTCTAGGTATATGCACAAGAGCATTATTATACAAGTACATCATATATCATTCAGCTCCAGGAGGTTCGGAAGAAAAGCGGATACGAGTCAGCAACGCCTTTCCCATTTACACAGCCAGGCCCTGTAAGCCTCGTCAAGCTGACGATGCCTAAAACAAGCTTAATCACGGTTTTATATCTTCATAGTCTGTGTATCCTATTGAGTAAATTGCTCTAGCAGCTGCACGAGGGATTTTTGATGTCGCTGCTATTGTTTCGCCCAACTATACACTCATCAATCCACTCTAGACAAGAGAAGTTAAAGTTACGATGCTTCTCAGCCTAACGTAGCTTTAAAATAGTATAGTGGGCAATTAGCAAAGGACACTGTAATTTAGGGCCCGGGCATTTATACCTTCTTAGCTTTCACCGAAGCATCTATAATTTAGTGGTCTCCATCTATAATTATCACGAACTGCCTAGAAGGCTATATGCAAATTTACTATCAAGGCGTTGTTACTCCCTTCTCATGGGATTCCTTTGCTAATTCAATGATTCTGATCACTGGCGAGAATGGGAGGCTTTGACGATAAGCTCAGCCATGCCGTTGATGGCACCTACCGCTTTCTCGTACAGACCCGCCCGACGTTCGAGAATTGGGGATACGCACTATGTGTTCTTTTGGTCTCTGTATCAAAAGTCTGGATGCTATAGTCGATTTCGGCGTAAATTGTCAAAATCCCAAGGGTTCCTTCAAACTCGATTCCGAAACCTTGACTCCACAACCTAGCCACATTTCATGGCTCGGCGCTGATGTTATGGCATGTTTGATGTTGAGTTTGGCAGAGTTGGGTGCTGGGGCGGCCAAGCCGATACTCGGTACTAGTGCACCACTACAAGATCAACCCGTTGAGTTCTCCAAAGGAAAAAAGAAGAAAAAAAAAAAAGTAGGGCATATCCTCGCCGTGCGAGTTTATTGATCTACCTCAAACTCACCTTGGACCGCTCCTAGTGAAGTACGCGACACACCACGGGTTTGGTATCAAATTCTCCAATCAGCTTCTCCAACCGGAGCGCAAATCGGACGAGGAGATTGTCTGTACTATCCGTGATATGAAATCTAATAACACATACCGAATTAAGACCAGATGTGTCTTCAGCGCGGGCGGCGGGCGCAGCACTCGACTTTAAGTTCGACGTCGCCCCATCATTAGGCGTGGCATGTAATATCTTGATTCACGCGGATCTGGGTCATCTACTCTACTGCATGGGTGATACGCCCAGATACATTGAACTATGAAGGCAAATAAGCAGTCCCGGTTTGGTACAGCTTCCGTGCTGTGTATGATTAAGCCCTGGAGGCAGTGGCTTTTTGTGTGCCTTGCCCTCGGATCAAGTGAAGATCCTCTTAGTGACATAATATTTCGGAGCCCTGATATTATTGTGGCCATTGAGGAGATGATTGGTAATGATTCGGTGGATTTTGAAGTCTTACAGATTGATGCGTGAGTAGTGCATGAGATAGTGGCCAAAAATTATTTGTTGAGGTGGTCGAAGCGTTTATCTACAGGGTGATTCGGCGCATCGACACCCGCCAGCATACGGGCTCGTCAGCAATACTTGTTGCATCCAGGACTCATATGATCTGGCTTGGAAGGTCGCATTTGTTTCCAAGGGTCTCGCTACACTGGCCTTTCTGGAAATTTATCATGGGGACCGCCAACCGGTTGGTGCCAACATAGTTAGGGAATCAAACATCTGCATGGATGCGCATGGCGCTGCTTGGGAAGCACTCGGCATATTTGCACCTAAGGAATAGTTATGGAACCCTTACAACATCCATTACATTTTGGGCGAGACTAACCAAAACACAGCCTTAATCGCCTCCGAAGCCCGCAACTCTTAGTGAATCCAACCATCGCAACAAGTATTTACTGCCGCATATTACAGCATACCCTGGCTGCGATAGTCTATAGAACGCGCCGTGGCGGACCACAATAATGATCAATGATCTCTGCTGAAGAAGACGAAGCTACACGTAGACTGTGCTCCGCATGGGCTATGCATTCAACCTCATCTCAGCGCTACTTTAAGCTTTGCTCTCTATTGAGCGACGCATTCCACAACAGAGGAAGGTCATTGTGGTAGAATAATTGTTTTCCCTGCGTTCTCGGAACTGATGAATTTGCGCAAGTACTAAAACTAATTATCAAAAACAGCTCGATATGAGGCTTGTTTACGTCAAGAAGTTTGGCGCTACAAGTAGAATCCAAGCCGACGAAACACTCAACGTTAACGTGGCCACTGCATTTACTTCATACGGCCGTGGTTGGGTGGCTCTCATCCGGTCGGATCCAGAAGCAACGCGCGATTGGCTTAAGATATATCCACAAGTGAAATTTTAATGCAGCAGACAGATTAGTTTTACACAACTGCAATCGAGAAGGAGTGTGCAAGCCAATGTTGATCGTGATTTAATTATTGAGGTTATCAGCTGCCTCGGGTTTCAACAATACTGTAGCCGAAAGAATGATATCAAAATGACGTGCCGTTGAGAATGAGGATACATGATAAGAGATTCAGGGTGTTGTTGCCACGTATGCCTACCGGCTTATTAGGCATATTCAAAGTTAAATGTCTTTGGTTTGAGAAGCTTCGGGACGAAAAGTCCGAACTCTTCACCTAAATTTAAAGGTCCAGCTGGACCCGAAAATATAAGAGTCGCCTCCCTGCATAGGGACGGCATGTTCCCAATGAGTCCTTGAGCAAGAAGCATATGATCACTGTGCACCGAGAGTTGAAATCGTACGCGCTGTAGCGGTCCATTAGCTCGGTCTCCAGGATAGATGATGTATATTACCTCTGCTTGCTCTCTTGAAACCCCGCCATCATCTGTCCTGTGAACCACGCCACTTCTTTTAGGAATAGCAACAGCCACTATATCGAGAAATTTTGAGCAACCTGCGAGCGTTTCATCGATAGCACATCTGTTAATGCCTCCCAGCTCCTTTAAACAGTGGACAAATTCTTTGATGAGATCAGCGTCCAACTCGGCATCGGGACTGGTTGGATCATCAAGAATACTAGCCAGTAGCGTAATACAGGCAGTTATTGGATAACATATTGTTCGCCTGTAATAGTGAGCACAACTAAACAAAACGGGGTGATATACAGCTTACCAAATATAGGTAAATGGCTGCAAATATACTGTTCGCATGAGACCGAGGGTAGCACGAGCTACGACTATGCATGTTATCGACAAAGATGCAAAATCGAATTCACTCTCCGTAAGTTCGAGATCATTTGGCTGCACAACACCGAAGACGCCGTTATAGAGGCTGGTATATGCTGCCCGTAGCTTCCAGATGCAGCTGTAATAAACAAAATGTAAGTGAATGACTGTAATCTCGAGTGAAACTGCCAACGTCCCGCTAAGCGATGGCCGGATTTCTGACGGCAGACTTTTCCTCCACTCTTCCAGTTCGCGGCTTAACCATGCTAGTGTAGTATGTAGGCCATTGAGACTTTTTTTGCAGGGCATCCTCGGATAATAAATGCTTGAATATCTTTGACTGAATAAGTGCAAGTTCGGCTCTGCATCTTATGAGGCTGATTTCAACGCCTCCAGATACTTGTAAGATGCCAACTCTGTCCGATGAATCACCACTTGGGAGTGGCAAAGAGAAACTGCTGGAGTCAAGAGAAGGCGGTAAGCCAGATTTCATCGACTCGGTGATATCGAAAATAAAAATTACCCAGAACGTCCGTAAATATTCGTCTCTTTGCTGGGGCTGGGTACTAAGATATGAAATGTTGCGATTCCAGCCCATCATTTCTGCTAGTCGTCCAGCTACTGATACCAGGTGAATACCTGTCCACGTGTCGGCAGTTCCGTGCATAAACATGGCCATGAATAAAATTCCTTGACAATCCAGAAGCTCTTTCCCTCGTGTTAGCAGCTCAGAAAAGACAGTATATGCATTCTTGAAAAAGGCCCAAGCTAAAGGTGAAAACTCTGCGAAAGATGAGTTTTCCACCTTCCATTGCATAAGTATTGCCAAGAATGAATTCACTATAGCCCATCGGCCTGGACTTTCGGTTGAATTTGTCGGCCCTATAGCGTTTTGGCGGCTGAGCAGCTCAAGAATTGTTGTCGGTGCTAGTAGTGGATATAGCCGATTAATATCTTCAATAACAACTCCAATCTGTGGAGTAGCTTGAAGAACCTGGGTAAATATGGTCTTGTTGAATCGTCCCGGATTTATATCTTTCTTCAGTTGGTTTATGTTTTGAAGGAGTGATGACTCTCTTGATCGGAAAACGGCGCGGATTAGGGATGGGAGGTCATGTGTGGGGGTGTCTATCAGAGCTGATGGAGTAGCTTCAGTTTGTGATCGTGGATTCTGTTCTTATGCAGAGCCCTCTCTCGTCGGGACAGGATTGGTCTGCCAATCTTCTATTATGAGTTAAACTTAGGACTTGGCTTCACAACCTGGCAAATCTTACCCAAGGTCGCAGAGTATGGCTCATCCTCTCTGGGAGATCCAGGGGTGTTTTTGAGAGAAGCCTCCAAGCTTCGAATCCTGTCTTCTAGCTGCTGGATATATTCTTTACTGCAACAGACAAGTCTTTAGGTTGATATGGTGTTAATAAAACAAAATATCTGAAAAACACGCGCATCTTTTCCCCTGACCACGAGTTTTCCGAGTGGTATACTGGCATATCACATCTCGCCTCAAACATGTGGAACAAATTGGGTCCGCGCCGTCGCATCGCATCTTTGCCTTTCGGCATGGGAGACCTGCCTATGACCATTAGCCTGTTTCGTTATTTACATCCTCGGCTGATACTAAAGACTTGCATTTGTAATTCGTTTTTTCGATTTGCCTTCATCTGAGGTCATTTCCGAGTCTCATGACAAAGGTACGCAGTAATGAATTACAGTACAGGGTGTGCGACTCTTAAGGCCTAGGTGACGAATTCGCGGCTCCACCATAATTGGACCATGGAAGCTTGAAGTCCTTCAAGCAGCTGCTGCTCTTGACTGCCAAAGCTTCCATGGACCTATTAAGTAAACATTTGCTAGGGACAATGTCGTATTGGGTGTTAAGCCTTCATTCCCTAGGCTTGGCGGTTGGTTTGGTGCTCCTAGGGCTGACCAGGCACTCAGATATAGGTAGGTTGTATGTATACAGTGTCGCTTTCACCACTGTTGAGCTCTCTGTTGGCTTACGGGCATATTCCGTAACAGACAGGATCCCGTTAACATTCCCTTTATTCCTCACAATATACTTCTCTTCTTGTCGAATATATAGTGGTTTTCTGTTCGTAATGATCTTACTCTAGGCCGGGGTTGCAGTCACCACTGAAGTTTATTTATTTAAAATCGCGAGAGGCGTGTTGAAACAAAAAGACTCAATGCCCAGGGGCTACTGAGGTTTATACTTCAATAAGGCGTAAGGATAGCAATGCGATCCTGATGTCGATGTCCATTTCTTGAGAACCAATCTACCAGACTGCGGAAGCAGCTTACATCTGGTATTTAGAGATAATATTCTGTGCATATTCCCATAGACTTCAAGGCAGAAACGATGGTTGCACAAGAGAGAAGGTCTTCTAACCAGTCTTATGTATTATCCTGGACGGGAAAGTTTGTTTACTTTGCCAGTCGAAATACTCTTTTTCTTCAAATATCTGGCATATGGCACGGCTCTCAATTTTGACTGAGCTCCTTTTGTTGAGTATAGTTGGCGCAGTTGCATAAGCAGTCAACCCTTTCATCCCACAACATCTCGCACAACATCCCGCACAACATCCCACAATTACAGGCTTGGCAGTATAGGGCTTTGAGCACAATGCCCGTTGATCAAAACAAGTAGAAGGTCTCATAATTACTCTACAAAGTCCAAGCTGCAGGCCAGTGAAATTGTATATGGCGAAAATCGATACATTACCCGAATATTGCGGCACTGATTGCAAACCACGTTGGGTTCTGCGGAGCTCTTTCTTTAGGAAGAAAAATCGCATCAGCTTCAATCATATCCTACTAATTTAATAATAGAAGAAGAAGAGCTCTTGGAATGTCTAAGTTACGGTATAAATGCCCTGATTGCGGAAATCCACCAAAATCCGAACGCGATACATCTCCCAACAACAGCTATTTACGCCCGAGATAGAGCATGTATAATATTATTTATCCTATGTCATAGGATACTTGGGAACGTGTGATGAGATAAATTTCACAGAGTTCTCTTGATATTTAGACATGGTTACATTATCTTGCATACTACCATGCACATGCTTGGTGTTCAACGGAGATGTAGTAGCCTCCGTCTGCCCGGGGTCTCATGTAATATATATAAGGACAACACATAACGTCTTGCTAACCACTTCTTGGAATAAACTCAACTATCTTTACCACGCTCTAATTACTTACTACTATTGAATTCACCATGTCAAACAAGACGATATTGCCTGATGCCTCTGACATTGTGTCGCCTAAGAAACTTGCTCACGTGGTCCTACGCACAAATAACCTAAAGGCCATGGCGCCTTTCTACGAGGTCTTTTTGGGTGGTCAAGCTACTTTCAAGAACGATTATGCTTGCTTTGTTACGTATGATGAAGAACATCATCGTGTTGCTATCGTTCAACTACCAGACCTAGCCCAAAAGCTCCCAAAGTCTTGTGGCCTTGATCTAAGTGACTCCCATTTCGTTTTCACATATCCATACCTGTTAATAGTTGATTCAGCATATTGAATTTACGTTTCAAAATACCCACGATCTAGCACAAGTGTATACGCAGCGCAAGGCGCACGGCATTATCCCACTTTTGTGTGTGAATCACGGGATCACTATGAGCATGTATTATCGGGACCCGGATGGTAATGTGATTGAGACATTGGTCGATTCTTTCAGCGATCTTGAAAAACAAACTGCGTTCATGAATTCCCCAGAGTTCCTGCAAAACCCAGTTGGTGTAGATTATGATCCTGAGAACCTAGTGAAGCGTCTAGCTGATGGGGAAGCTGAGGAAAGCATCTTGAAAATGCCTGATATTGGACCAAGAGGACAAGACACAGTGCCATTATTCTAGATGAATGGATCTGTACATAGGATACGTTATATAAAGAACCAATGTCTTAGAGTATTTATATTTGGCACCTATCTTTTATTGAGCAATGCAGTTTTAAGTATCTATCGCTTTATTTATAAATAAGCCTTAGCTTATTCATATCATATGCTATGAGTCTTTTATTTAGTTATGTGAAAGTCTAAGAATGGCGTTATCCTTTGTATTAAAGCAACATAGGTTTCCCCAGGATGCCTTGTTAAGAAACAACCAAGGACCATTCCTAGTGTAAAGTCCCATGCAATCACTAACGACAAGTTTTTATAGTCATTCGGTCTCGCACTATCTAAGAACATGCTACTAATTAAGACGTTGCACTCATTTTCTCCAAACAAGTCACTTATATCTCCTTCCCATAATCTTTCTGGGGACGGGACTCGGACATTGAGCATCCGCGGAGCGAGGTATTCGAAAGGCTTAAATTGAGGAAAATTGTTTATCAAGAGTGAGTTCAAGTGCACTTGGATCTTGAATAGAGCCAGAGGAAGCCTAAGTGTCTTAGTTAATGTCATACATAGAATTTCACACAGCGCACCGTTGATATTGTTCTCGAGTTACCGGGTTCAAGTTCTCGGCATCAATTCTTTCCTGGTCGAAAACGCCAGTTCCATGAAACAGCTTACCAAGATGCTTTCCATTAATAATAGATGATGGAAACGTATGTATCCCTCTATATACTGCTAGACCGAGCGAGATTGCGAAGGCTTGAAGATCCGGCAAGTATTCTTGTCGAGGGGGTCTAGGTAAACCGTAGCCGTCTTTGACGTTGAACTATCGGTAGTATTAACTAAATAAACCATTGATAGGAAGTTTTAAGAAGAGGTTCTCTCACAAGATCCTTGTCAAGGCATCGAAGTATTGCGTCGTGAAATATCCCGGCCTGGGATCTTGTGTCGGGCTCATCCACTGTCCACAGGCCTACAGTCAAGACGGCCTGCATAACCTTTGGCGGCTGTGTCGTGTTTCGAAATGTCTGTTGATGTAAAATGGGCCAGTATCCATGGAAATTGCGAAAGTACAGTTCCGTGAGCTGTTTTTGGTGTGGTGTCTCCAGAAGTAGTAGAGTTGGGCCCGTTGGCACATCCTGACTACTCGCCCAAAGGCCACATCGCTCATTATTGGGAGCTGTTGTTTTCAGACAATCACCAACCGCGTTTGCAAGACTTGATCCTAGGGAGGACTCAGGATGTGGTGTCAGTCTTGAGCTGTTGCTGTGACTCAATACAATATGACGCTTTAGAAGGTCCCTAGATGAAAGTTGTTTACAACCATTAAAAAATAGTGGAGAATCCTGGGCCAAGTATACCTGCGGTTGAACTTTGAGTGACAGAAATGGCACATGAATTGCCGGAGATTAGTATGGTCCCTCTGATGGCGTGAGAGATGCTCTTTTCTGAGATACGAGCGATTGCAGCTGGGATATTGGCATTGAAACCTTTTCATCGTAGAACCATTAGAACCGACCATATGCTTCAAAAAGATTGTGAGGGGGGACTGGGACCTATACCAGAAAGAAAACGAATCCACTAATTTAGAATATTGTGGGTTAGTCATTGGAGAGATGTGGGATGGGGTGGCGGTGTGATCTGGGATGATGAGGGATACGGATCAAAGTGGAATGAGATATGACTTTACTAATCATAGTGCGGCATCCTGAAAGAAGTCAGCTAGAAGTCAGGTCTCAGGGGTTCAGGGGGGTTGCACATAAAAAGCGGTAGTCTCATACCAATTAGCATATGTTTTGCTCTAAAGCAATCGGGAAATCTCATTGTAAACGCCAAGGCCGCTGTCTTATTTTATCTTCGACAACCCATTCGGTATGATGTTGAATGCATTGAAGCTGATCTCTCTGCTCTTGGCGAGTAGGTTTGCTTCTGCCCAACTGCCGGATCCCAATGCATACAGCTGCCCAGATGGGTTTATTAAATCCAATGGCACTATCTATGGTATAATTGGAGCAAATGCAAATGATGTTAGCTCGGTCATTGGAGATTGTGAGTAATAACCGTGATTCTGTAGGCTTTCTTGCCTTGACTAATGCTTGAAGTTTTCAATGGGACTTTTCTGGGCGCTACATTTACGACCACTACTGGCGTTGATAATAGTCCTGGTGCTACGCGAACCGCCACTTTTGACTTTCCGGGAGCTGGAACTCTTACCGCCGAAGAAAAGGTACAACTTTTATAAATCACAATGATATCGTATACTCATGCTACAGTCAGTTACTCAGTTATACCAAGCTTCCTACAGGAGTTCTGAAGTGGCTTTTCAAGCTAGCAAACGGTATGCTCAGTACTCACTTGGCTCTCCTCCAAATATTTACTAACACAGATCTCAACTAAGCTCCCCTTCCATTTGCATCAGAATATGCCCCTGGAGAATTCTATGGCTATTGGATAGGGCTAGAGTCATTGCCCATAAGCGACCATGAGACATCTATCAGTTGGGGTAGTGTGATTTGTTCCTCTAAGCAGGTATTCGGTAAGTAATATTGATAACCTGATATAACGTGTGCCTTGGCTTATTATGTCTCGAGACTTTGCTACCACTCATGAATTTGGTATTAACCAAACTATCCAAATCCTTCAAGATGAAGGTAAAATTACTGGCGTGAACCAATATCCCTTTTCTGTAGGAGAACGGATTGGGTGATTAATCGGTAGTTAGCGTCAGTTCATGGCTGGGTTGGATCTGTGGAAAAGCTTACCTGCAGCAATTTTGTTGCGTAAGTTACGGATACAAATTACTTCCGAAGCTGTAAGCGAGGCCATGATGTCAACTAATACCTAGGTAGCCGTTGGAGACAAAAAGTGGACTTCTAACAGGCTAGGTAGTATTAAGGGTTATTTTCTATGAGCATTGATGTATGCTATATTTTGAGTAAAGTTATACAGAAGACAACAATTACGTGAATGCCTCCTAGTTGCTGCCAAAGTGCAAATGCAACTGTTTCAAATTCTGATTGTTGGCTCATTATCTCACTTGGCTGAACAACTGCTACCGATTGTATTCAACTCTACGGCGGATCTGGAGTTTAATGCAAATAAAGCGGTGTAGCTCGAGCGTACTCTGCAGCTCTGTACCAGTTGCTGGTGGACGAAGATGTTCCCTTGGATAGAGATATTGCGGTGTGCTAGGCATATGTGGCAGGTGTGTACATTGCTCGTTACCTTTCCGAACCTCAAGCTGACTGTAACGAAACCAATGCTCTTTTCATACTATAAGAATCCAAGCTCAGTAGATATCTCAAGTACAGCTTGGGGATGCTATAGACACTCAACTGTATGCGAAATATATCAGAGCGCGCTCTCTTCTTTGTAGAAACAGGGATCACCGACCGGGGTGGCTATTATCTGAGAGCAATCTCCCCATTTCTTCCCTCCTGCCCATACAAAGCAGTACCGACTCTGCAAGCAAAGGTGCGAGGCAACTTCCAAGCAGCATCTTGGCAGTCTTGGAGACTTGGGTTTAATTTGAAGTAACAATGAACAATTTATCGACCCGTCACGAAATTCTCCAGCATTATAATCTATCAGACTATTCTCAGCTCTTAATAAGTAGTTATTACGACGTAGGCCTTTTTGAGAGAAAGATACGAAGAAACAGACAGAGAAAGAGAAATTTTAGATATATATATATACTTGCAGTAAGCATGTTAAGCGTTTATGTACTAAAATACGTTTTGTTATAGTCTTTCAGTTAAAATAGAAATCCGTCGCGCAGCTATAGGAGCCGATGCTGCAAAATGCATGCCCGTCGTCCTTATATCCAGTGAATGATTGAAAGCCGTTAGATCCGCCTCTGCATAAGTATGAGTTCGCTGATTCCTTCTGGCCAGTAGTCTAGTATATCCTTTGCTTTTAGGGAGGAGAGGGAGGAGAACTCCGATCTGAGCACAGAGCACCAATGGATTAAGAACTTACGCGACTTGCGACCATAGCGGTGCCGAATAAGCCTCGTAGCTGAGTTCCCATGTAAAGGTAACCCCGCTTGGGAATTTGCAACTAAATGGACCGCCCACGCCTAATTGCGAAGGGTCAATTTTGCATACGTTATTGCTAGTAGGCAGCTGACAGGCGTTATCATTCGGACAATACTACAGAAAGAGCAAAGGCAGTCAGCACTACAACAAGAAGTTGGCGGATTCAAGAGACAGGGAAAAGCAATATATACCACAGCTGCCGAAAAGGATGGGATTGAGTTTGACCCTTCACCCGGCAGTGGGGTGCAATACACGATATGAATCGAGTCGGCTCGCTTTACAGGAGTGGTCGCGGTAAGACCTTGGCTACCTGCTGGAGCGGCCACAACACCACCAAGAATGGTGGTGTAGGAGAGAAGAGAAATAAGATGCATTGTTGAGAGAAAATATAAGGAGGAAGCAATTTTTTGTTGTGTTATTGAGATTGACTTTTTCGGAGAGCGGGTGGCATGATATTTATAAGTATTGTAGAGCTCTAGTCTTTCACATATTTTCCATTAGTGAAAGCGATAACCAGTGATCAAACCAATGATATACCTAGAATAGTGATTCCCCAATCGTTTAGCTACGACAGATTTGCAAGCGAGGCTCACGCCACTGTCTAAAACATAGGAGATACTATGAAGTGGGTAGATGAATTAAAACTGCTCGTCCTGCCATTTTCAGAAGTTACTAGGATAGCGCGGTTGTTTAGTAATTAATAATGATTCCTTCGTAAAATAACATCTGCTATTTAGTATAATAGCTGAGGATTGGTATGCCTGCAATTTTCATCTTGCATTTGTGGTATATATATAGCGTACCACTTTAATCCCCGTCTTATGCCGAGTACTGAATTGCCGGGTAGCACCTGCGTAACTTGGGAATATCCCAAACCTTATAATTTAAGGGTTCAGTAAGATTTGTATTTGCAACTCAAAGTCCTTATTAAAAACACCAGGTTAAATGTTTTTTCCAAACAGACGATATCAAATAGCAAGATACTAGAAGCCAATATATATTCTACTACTCATTGATTGCTCTAAGAATTGGTGTGCCAAAGGTAAATTCTTGATAGCCTCCTTCCATATTTGGCCGTAATCATTCGCTGTAGCTTATATGCCAGGTTTCTTAACCTTCCTGTTTAGGACTTTACGATAAAAGGCTATATTTGCGATCTGAGGTGCCCTAGTTACGAAACAGTTTGAACATGCATATGACCGAAGATTCTTGTGATATGGGTACCTGCATATCTAAACGCTGTAAGCTATCACCTGAGAGATGTTTGTACAACAAGGTCCCTGCCTATCTAGCAAAGCGGATGTAACGTATGTAAATTGATATTCATCTTATAGGCCCATGTTCATTATTCTCGTGCATGCTGGAAATCCCAGTCCGCCCTCCCTATTCATCAGATTGCCTGCCCATTGGGTTTGTCTGCCTTGGGACTTTAAGTAAATGAAAGGATCGCTCAATACACTGATTTGGGATTTGACATGTAAAGTTTTTCTATCCATGCCTGTTGCCTATCGAATTACATAATGAAGCCAAGGATGCTAGAGGCAATTTTTGAAGCGAGACTAGTATCTATCGAGGACTTTGAAAGTGCGTCTAAATTGGTAAGTATTGGGCTTGGGAATCTTTCATATGTAATATGATCCGAGATATAACGTTCTAGCAGCTTTCTTCACCACGGCAATCATTGTAACCCAATACTTTATCGCGGAAGAGAGCAGCTAAAAATCTCGCGTCATGAGTCGTCGATGAATACCAGCAGCGATGGATTCATATGGCGCTCAAGATTGTCGTTTTCAGTAATGGAGCTAAGATAGGAATATACTTTAGCACATATATGTAGTACATGGATGGTTTGTCTTCAAAGATTAGCTCGGCCTGTGTCGAACCCAAGCTTACATTCCGTTCCAGTGGTCTGGCTGAAACGCAAACTAGTTACAAGATTTATTTTCCGATTTCGAGTTATGCAGAACGAGAACTTCAATGGTTTGACATACTGAAGTACAGTGGTGCTTCGGAGATAGCGACCGTCATGGCTTATGGCTGACACCAACACGGCACAGCAAGCTTGCTCACCGAACACCTTGGAGTCGATTTTGAGATGCGGCGCTTTGTTGCAAAATCCTCCGCTAACTTTCACATGGAAACTTCAACTATGATGCACTTCTTCCATTCACTCTTGATCTACTAGCCCAAAGCGTATCGGAAAAGGTCAACGTCATTCACCTTCTGACTAAGATTGGCCCAGGCAAATTCACCAATCTATCTACTTACTTTTCCAGCTTCGGCAACCTACTTGGTTCTAATGGATATGAGTTTCCGCATGCTTTGATTGAGATTGGAGTGAGAGCCCGATACATGCACACAACCATGTTAGCGGAGAAACGTCGCGAATATACTTCAGCAAGATGCACCGGTTTTCATGCTTAGCAATAAATTATCAGAAGAACCGATGAGAAAAATAAATACAAAAATAATGTCTATAAGCCAGCAACAGATCGGTACACCACTTCGCCCAGGTCCTCAGCCGGAACCCCGTATTTACTTAGATCTACAGCTTTGTCTTCATAGTTTGAGCCGTCCATGCCCTGGAAGAACATAACAAACAGCCTAGTCCACTCCGCAAAACCATCACCAGCCTTGATCTTGGGATCACATTCTCTAATAATCTCTGTCGCATCCTTCTCCGTGACGTTCCAGTCCGCATCCGTTGTCCCCGTGGCATTCTTAATAGCGCCGAAGATCTCCTTCTGTGAGAGCTCGAAAGAGGAAATGTAAAAGGACTTGTTCTTGTACTGTGCCAACTGGGCCTCTGGCAGGCTTAGAAGAGCAGCAACGCCCTCGCTAGTACGTGCAAGCGTTGTCGTCGAGATCTTAGCATCCGCTCCACGAAAAAGTTCTGCCTTTCGACCCTTCACATCAAATCCCCATAACCCAATCTGGATGTTCAGATCAAGCCAAAAGTTCGAAATGACAGCAATCCAGCTGCTCGTCCCTGATTTCTCAATCAAGTTGCGCCTTGCGACCTTTGGTCCCATCATGGAGTGCTCGCCAACAACTTTGGGCGAATCAACGCCAAATTCGGTCGGCAGGATATAGGGGACACCAGCCTCTATGGCGGCCTTGATAAAGAGGTCGCCAAGATCCATGTTAGGAATGGGGACAATGACGATGAGAACATCTTGGCCCCTGAGAGTCTCCACGAGGAACGACTCGTCTGTAAAGGACCCCTTCTTGACGATCACTTCAGGTGGGAATTCAGTCGTAGACTCTGCCCGTTGAACTGCAGTGATGGTGTGAACACCCTTTGACAGTAAAGCTTTGAGAGTCGGCTTGCCCAAGTTGCCGCCGGCGCCGGCAATTGCAATCTTACGTCCCTCTGCCATATTGGTGATGAGGTAGGTTGTTGGTGATAGATGCCGTCGAGACAGTCAAAGAACGTAATGAAATGTGTAGATGTGATTAAATAGTGAAAGCTGGAGTTGGAATTGACTGATGCAGAGAGTGGTCTGCCTCGTTAGTTTATATACTTAGTGGTTAGCTTTGGCTGAGCAGAATTATCGATTGAGGACGGGCAGCTGTTGCTTTGCAATCAACTTCATGCTGGGCCAGTGAGCTCTAATTCAATTTTTGCGCTTTATCAGCGACATGACATGGCATCAGCCTGTTTAGAGCCGAGTTCTTCGGCGTTGGCGAAGCTGCAAAAGTCTCGAATGTCGGGCGGCTGGAGGAGTGGGCTTGACTTCAGCTCTACCTACCTTTGATCCTGGTCCGCACTAAGTGATCCTGGTCCGCACGCTAGTCCTGGGCATCCGGATGGAAGTACTGCACCAGAGGAAACCCAAATTACGGCTCTCCAGCGCTTCGTCAATGCTAGAATGTATTTACTTCAAACAAACGACATGATTTGTCTGTTACTAATAGAGTTTATGATGTCACCTAAAATGTAAAAGTTTGACGACTGACTCCATAGACCCTGGTCCGCGTGGGTGTTCACTTATTCTTCTCGCCAGATGACCTCACGGCCCTCAACCACTACTGCACCGCCGCCTAAGCAAAAAAAAAGTGTAAGTGATATGTAATATTCTCCCGCTAACTGACATCTATAAGAAACGGCCATGTCCCGAGACTGATCAAAACTTCACAAATCTCTAAACTCGCTCACACGTTCCCGTCTGAATCCATTCTAGATTCTAAACTAAAACTGCCCTCCGATACAACCCCGTACACATCGCCAGCAAGATGTCGTTTGTGTTTACCCATCGTAATCCGGACATGCAACTGGAGAAGAAGCGCACAGCCCTCGTGTTTGCAGATCTTCAGAACGAGTTTCTTGAACCGTTTGGAAGCTACTACCCTCTTATCGCGTACAAGTTGAAAGAACTCAACGTATACGACAATATCGAGAGACTCCTCAAGACCGCACAAGAGAACAATATCTTTGTGGCACACTCACCGCACTACTACTATCCCACTGACCTACAGTGGGTCGCTCCGCTCCAAGCCATTTCTGACTATCTTGTCCAAGTTCCCAATGGCTTCGTCGTCCGCAAGGATCCGGTTAGCCTAGACGGGTTTGTCGGCTCTGGCGCTGACTACCCGGAGAGACTGAAGAAGTACCTCATGGATGGTAAGATGATCAATACATCTCCTCACAAGGGACTTTCATGCCAGTCAAACGATCTGGTTAAGCAGCTGCGTCTGCGACGGGTTGAGAAGCTCATCGTTGCCGGGCCTGTCGGAAACTTATGCTTGGAGAATCATGTCCGTGATCTGGTTGAGGCCGGCTTCGAAGTCGTCGTGGTTCGAGATGCCATTGCTGGCGGTCTTAATGACGAGGGCGATGGCTATTCTGCTGCTATGGTCAACTACCGCTTCATTACTAACGGCATCTGGACTACGGACGAAGCCATCAAGAAGATGAAGGAAGTCGCGGTGGATGAGCAATAAAGTGCGTCGTTTAGGGATCAATATCTTCATTACTGGTGGAGAATCAAGTAGAGAGGATAGGGTATCTATAGATTGAGTATGATAAGACTATTTGTTGATACATATAGGCTTGTCCCATTACTGAGACATACGACCATTGACGTGCGATCTTATCATCCATCATTACATAATCCAAAAATTGTCCTCTGCACCGCTTGCACTTGTGCGCGTCGCCCGCTATCGTTAGGTCGACTTCGTCCTGAAGTTTGTAAGCTACATTGTATCAATGCCATCTACCATCATATCTATCAGTCAGCTTCACCCGTCCGGGATTACTTACAGTGGCGATACTTGACAGCCTCTAGTTAATCTGAAGCTGCAACCTTGAAGACATATGAACAATTAGCTTCCAAAAATGGGGCGCCACCTTACCACAAAATATCGCTTTACT